AGGGCTCAAAAATCGTTGATGGGTTGTCCGCCTACAAACAGCCTGTCTTTGTTTACATCGTCCCCAACGGTGAACTGCGCGGCGGTGCCTGGGTCGTTCTTGATCCCTCGATCAACCCGGAGAAGATGGAGATGTATGCAGATGTCGAGGCTCGTGCTGGTGTTCTCGAGCCGGAGGGTATTGTTGAGATCAAGATGCGCCGAGACAAGATCTTGACATTGATGGAGCGTCTTGACTCGACGTACGCAGAGCTTAAGCAAGCTAGCAAGGATACCAGCAAGACTGCCGAGGAGAGAGCCCAGGCAACGCAGGCATTAGCCAATAGGGAGACCTTTTTGCAGCCTACGTATAAGCAGCTTGCTTTGCTTTACGCAGACCTTCATGAGTAGGTGTTTCCTCCAGCCCCAAAAGACGATCTTTGTCTGATTTATGTACAGTCGCGCTGGGCGAATGGAAGCCAAAGGATGTGCGAAACCCGCCATATGGAAAGATGCCCGGAGATACTTCTACTGGGCCCTTCGCGCCCGCATCGCACGCTCCGGCTTGCTCGATCAGATTGAAGATGGTAACCCCGAGATGGAGTCCGAGGAGCGCGCCGCACTGTTGGACTCGCTTATCCCTGATATCGACTTGTCTAACAATCGTGCTTTGGCTGAAGTCCTTGAGCAGCTCGACATCACGCTAACCTTGTCGAAACTCAAGGCCGATCATTTGCTTAGTCACTTTGCGGAGGTTGCAGAGGAAGACCGCAAGGCTTCCCTAGATGGTCTTGTTCGCATCATCGACAGTCTCTCGGATGGCGAGAAGATGACCTTGCAATCCGCTATACAGAACTCTGTGCGCTTAGTCGGTAAGCTTGGTCTGATCGTTTTGCAAGGTTAATTCTGACGCAATATGGCTCCAGGACCTCCTTCGTACTCTAATTGAACAAGACCTGCTCTGATATTTTCTGGCTGTTTTCTCCGGTTCCTACTACGGTTTTACGATACTTTTTGTTCATTTGCTTAGACCATACACATAATACCTCGCATAGATGTCTACAATACGCCAGTCTGAAATGTTGTCAATCCGCTCGGCATGAACTGAATAGTAGTTATGAACAACGATTGACACGAAACATCAGATGCTCGACGTGATGTTGAAGGACCCATCATTCCATTATTGCACTTAGATCTACACAAGGCATGGTAATAAAAACATAAGTAACTCGGTGCCTAATCATACATATCAGCATTCGACGTTGTTCAGAGGAACATCTGCAGTGGATGCCTGTCATATACATTTTGTCCTTCGCTGAGCTCACCCAGGTCGGGATAGAAGGGAACCATAGCATCCGAAGCGCCCAGGTACAATGCGTTATAGACGCGCCAGTAGACCTAGTAGCAAAGTAAATTGAATCAGTACGCGATATAGAATATGCACCTGAAAAGACGCACCTCGCGGACTTTGCGTGCAGGATGGAATAGACCTTGAAGAACGTAGCTCAAGAGGACACCGGGGCCAAGACATACACGCATTGCTTCGATTGCATCCATGACAGCGCCAATGACGTGCGGCGACGTTTCAAAACAGTTAGGCCAGACAAGATTCATCAAGTGCATCATAGAGTCTTCGCAGCCCATGCCCGCGACACCAAGTGCGATGTGCTTCACGATGACGCTAGCAGTTTGACGATGAACAAGGTCGCGATCTGTGAGTGCATCTTCAAGCATGGTGACCACGGAGTCACAGTAGTACGCCGATTGAGGACCAATGTATTCGAAGACGAATGTGAGGGCTTTGAGACAACCGGTGCGCACGTTGAGCTCCGCTGTCCGGTATTCATTCAAGATGGCAGGGATACACGTGAAGGGACCACAAGTCTCAGCGACGATGGCGATGGCGACAGTGCTACAAACACGACTTTGACGTTCTTGCACGCGCAAGTTGGTGAGAAGAACCGAGAGAACATCCTGAGGACCCAAGGACTTCGCGATATATCCGAAGGAGTTGACAGCAGCACGCCGAATACCTTTCTTGTGCGCCTTCAATAAATCCAGTAGCTCGAAACAGATGCGCATCCACTCTCGTGCCGGCACGAATTCTGCCCCACGATCAGCTGGTTGAAGAATAAGTTAGCGAATGAAATGAATACATCACGTCGACACTCACCAATACGACCAATCAAGTTGATAGATGCCTCTTGCACCTTCTCATGACGATTACGAAGGATAGGCGTCATTCGAGGCACTAATAACAGGTATCAGCAATCAATGTTACGACATAGTAAAAGCAACTCACAAAGATCCTTGACCGGCGGATTCATCTGCGTCATACCAACAACATTAGCAATTGCTCCCTCTGCAGCAATGATACTACCGAGAGTGTCGGGATATTCTTCACCAAGCTGCTCGAAAAGAACGAGGCCCAGCTTGCTGAGAAGTTGGTCTTCACCGCACTGCTTGATTACGACAGCCAGCCTCGTCGTGAGATCTGCAGCTTGTTGCCGGACCTTAGCGCTTTTGTTGTTGAGCCGCCAGAGCACGGTAGAGACGATCTGCGTGAGATAGGGTTTGACACGAATACCAAGGGCATTGACCACCGTACCGAAGCCATCAAGCATGACTTGATCCTCGGTGGTCTGTTCCTGGAAGGAGTAGATGATGCCGTCGACGAGACGGACCTCGAGCCGCTCGTCAATATCTGAAGCACCGAGCATGGCGACGACTTTGGTAATTGTCTCCATGACCATCTTCCGGTAAGGCTCAGCTTCATCCTTCAGCTCATTCACAACTCTGCCGACTATCTCGGACACCCCAGCCTTCTGCGCCAGCTCGACAGTCGTTTCTACAACCTGCCGATAGTTTCGCCTATCAAGCGCCATGCGGCGAACCCAGAACGCCCTGAAGAAGTCGGGTAGAATGTCCTGCTTGATATATTGAGGCGTGACACCCTCAGTAGCTGCGCATTGCTTGACCACCTTGAGGACGATCTTCTTCATCTCTTCGTCAGAGGTTTGGAATTCACGAATGAGGATGACTGTGACTTCCTTGGTGTAGTAGGATGCGTACTCGGGGTCCATGAGGGGAATAATGAAGCCGATAGCCTTCAAGAAGGCAGCAAGGCCCTTGCCACGATGTAGACGAATACCGAGCCAAAGAGGCTTCAGCACCTCATCGAAGGACTCGATACCGTAGGGTGCAGCTGCTTCAGCAAGGGCGGCAAGTCCGAGTGCAGTCATGGTCCGCACTTTCTGCTGCTCATCCTGCAGACCGTGCGCAATGCAGGCCACGAGATTGCGAAGATGGGGCAAGACGGCGCAACCCATCATGATAGCGATCTGTTGCACGATACGGATACCGGTATGCCGCGCCTGCCACGATTTCTTACTGCGACATACGGCCTTCAGGAAAGGCAAAAGCGAGGGGATACCGAGCGCAGAGGCAACGACAGAGAATGCACGAGCGGTGGTGTTACGGACGTACTCGTCGGCGTGGTCAATGTCAGGACGCATAGTGGATATCATGTGTGCGAGACCGGCAGCCTTGGAAAGGTTGGATATAATCTCGCGACCCTCCACACGAGCATAGTAATCCTCGTCAATGAGGAGTGGCTCAATGACAACGAGAATTTTGTGAACGTACGGACGGACAAGGTCATCGAGCTTGTAGAGGACACGATCGATGACCTTCACAAGTAGGTGGCGCTCTTGATCCTCGAGAGTACGTTCCATGAGCAAGGGAAGGATCTTGTCAAAAAGAGGACCGGCACCAAACTCGCGAGCCTTGTCAGTGATTTGGCGGAGGGCAGTTTTTCGTACAGGAGGAGTACCGTTTTTTATCTTCAAAAGTAAACGCATAATTTTGCGCTCCTTCATCTCATCCACCGAAAGCTCCGTTTCGTCTTCCTCCTTAAGAATCTTGGCGAAGTACTGAGCATCCTCGGCCTTGAAAAATGCAAGACTACCGACACCAGGTATTTCGGTGGGAAGTTCAGGCGCGAGGCCTGCGGCAGCAGCCACTGCTGCAGCGTCTGAACCCTCCTGGATATGGAAACCACCTACTTCTGTGACCGGTGCACCCATAAGCTTGCGGGGAGCTACCATTGGTGCATACCCAGGGGGAGGAGTAACAATAGCATACCCGGTGGCCGGCAAAATAGCATCCAACTCCTCATCACTGAGATAACGATTATGTTTATCCTCCTGCATGATACCCGGCGCATTCATTATTATCTGCGTCATTGGGGCTTCCGGAATGACAGCAGCTTGATCCCAGCGAGATTTCTTAGGTGTCTCACCGACAGCCTCTGCCGGAGTAGCGTCCCAGCGAGAACGACGCTTTTTCGGCGCAGATGCTTCCAAAGCTTCTTTCGACCATTCGTTCTTATCAGTCTTATTAGGGTCAACATTCTCGTCCACAGGCTCGGGCACGTCCCATCTCCGTTTACGTTTGGTCCCAGAAGTAGCTTCACGAGAGTTCGCGAGCTCCCTTGCAGCGGCAAGCTCCATGGCGACATCCTCGAGTTCGGCACGAGGAGGAGTCTTGTCGAGGTCCATTTTCATCTTTCCTTCTTCTCTTTCCTGCCTCTCTTTCTCTTCAATCGCCCGCCTGACTCTTGCTTCCTCTTGCTCCAACCTAGCCAGTCTCATCGCCTCTTTGTATCCTCCTTCCACCTCCATACCATCTTCAACGGGTTTAAAAGCATCTGCACTCTCCTGAGCAACACGACTGAAGCGACGGTTGTGGTAGTCGGACTGCCGTGCCGCAATCTGACGTTTTGAGGCTGTTTCTGCGAATGGATCAAAATTCTCTTCTTCCGCAAGATCTGCAAACTCCTGTAATATTTCCCTTGGTGCGGTAAACGAGTCGACGAGTCTTGGAGAGTTGGGAGCTGACATGATGGAGGGTGCTGGTGGTGCAGAACAAAGTCGTGAACATCATGACCGACAGCGAGCTGAGTATGAATAATCCTAGTCGCAAGCAAGACCAAATAAATATACCAATTACATTCAGGGACCAGCTGACTAGGGCCTTGATTCCTTGTTGGCAAAATGCACAGATTATTCCTCGTGCATGAACTACTCGTGATAATATGTGAACATCTGTATGACGAAGATGATATCCCAAATGCTTCCAAAGAGGCTCTAGCACGTCTTGCCAGAACCTGCAAGGCCTTTCATGCGGTGGCATTGAATGCTCTCTGGTCAAATCTCGACGGCGTTGCGCCTCTAATCCAATGCTTACCTGCAGAAGTCGCTCGATTGTATTGGCGCCTGGTATGTCGTTTGTTGTTTACTTTATTATTCAATTCATCGAGTACTTATCATCTCCTTAGCCCCTAGGTACAGCAGTGGTTGGTATTGAACGGGCACCTCGAAAAGCAGAATGGGACATCATTCAAGGCTATGCTAGTCGTGTTCAGCGTCTGCGTGTCTTAAACCCTCTTCGTCCTGTAGAACCATCCGTCATCTTTACACTTTCCCGTCCACCTACTGGCACGTCCCCACTGTTCCCGAATCTACGCTCGCTCGTCTGGAATGACAGCAGACCCCAAACGATGTGCTTCTTACAAACTCTATGTGGACCTCTTTTGACATCCCTTAAGTTTGATTGCTTGCGTACTGCTCGGTGGGATGCGGCTGCATCTGCTATTTGGAATGCTGTTCCCACTATTTGCCCTGCTGTCAAAGCCATCACCCTTCCCTCCAGTCCCCCCGGTTTCCTAATTCCAAACATGCTTCGCACATGGAATCACCTCGAGGAAGTCACATGTGGTGAAATCGATATCGTCATCTTTCGTCATCTCGCCAAACAAACCTACTTACACAAACTTGCATTTATATTGTCACAATCCATCTCTCAAGATCTGACAGACCACCCTCTATCTCCGCATACTTTTTCGCGCCTCCGTGAACTGGAAGTTCATGCACCTAAACTACCTTCCTTGATCGACTTCATGCAGAAACTAGACATACATCCCATATGTATCCGTGGTCAAGTGGATGCTGGTCCAACTCCCTGCGACATGGGAGTATTTTTTGCCTTTCTCACGGAGCATTACATGGGAGTCAAGCTGCAGAATATCTCATTGCAGAGTCTGCCTGGTATACGAATGCCCTCTGAGGCTCAACCCCCGCTACTGTCACCTACCGGTAATCGTTTTAACGGACAGCCGTCCCACACCGGCATTCATGGCAGTAATTTCATGCCTCTCACCCGGTTTGGTAGCATTGATACCTTGGTGATTGACGTGAATTGCAGTATACATCTCACAGATGAAGATCTGACATCCTTGGTGGCTGCATGGCCTCACCTCCGGACCTTGAGTATCAACAAAATGCACGGTTGGGTCGTAAAATCCGACATCACCCAAATTGGCTTGCTCGAGATGCTTCAATGTTGCCCCAAACTCCAGACTCTTTGCATTGCAATCGATACCGACACATTTACAGAGGTGCCTTTGGATCGCCCAGGAGGTGGAGTCCAAAATATGAATATCCGGACGCTTGCTTTTGCAGACTCAGTTATCCAACTTCACACAACTACTGTAGTCGCTGCATTCCTGTCCGATATATTCCCCAGGCTCAATGAGGTTACAGCCTGGAAGTCGGATCGAATGCGTATCCGACGGGACGCGGACCCGATGGTGCACGCCACTCGTTGGGAAGGCGTTTCTCAGCAAATCAGGGGAATGATCAGAATTCGACAACAGGAAAGGAGGTGGCGCCGCAACGAATAAACCAGGTACATTTTTTGTTCAAGATTTTGATTCAATATACATTGATTAACTTTTCCCAGTTCGATGTCCATGATTTTCTAGGGAACGGTTGGCTACCAGATCTTACTTATTCGAAGTACAGTGCAGGAGCCCTGACCTTTCGCTCGGTATGTATGAGGGTGCAAAAACATGAAGTATGGCGGTTTCCAGGAAGGAATAAACAATCATTGAAGGCTGGGTTGATTAACTACTCACTCAGTATTCGATCTAATCTCGGAATGATCGGGTGGTCTTCAAAATTTTTGTATCATATCGATCACATGATATTTTGCTGTAATCTCCCGCAGGCGTGAACAGCGTATTTTGCCACTGAATCTGGAGGCGTAAATGAATGTGAGAGTGCGTGTATGATGCATATATATCTCATATAAGAGCTATATAAATAAACATCGATGTCCGACTTACCTTAAATTCCTTACGCGAGAAATCACGCAAACCCTTTTTCCTACAAGTCTACTACTACTTACTCTAGTAGTTCCTGACGGACTTTCGGGGTCCATCTGTTTCTTGCATCGCCTCAATATTCAACACTCAAGCTGGTACACGCCTGATACAGGAAATGGATTCAGAGGGAGCCGGTGGCATCTTTCAATACGTGTCGCATTCACCACCACAACGCGCGCGAATGCACAGACTTTTCCTTATCCAAGAACTTCTTTGTATCATATGTGAACATGTGCAGAACGACCACACTGGCAGTATTGCCGCAGGAAGAACTCTTGCTTCTCTTGCTAGAACCTCCAAGGTCTTCCATCATGTGGCTACCAGAGCTCTATGGTCGCGACTGGATGGACTCACACCATTACTACGACCCTTGGCCTCTGACCTGATTTTCACCGCAGAAACCGCGGTAAGCTCTTTGCCCTGGATTACTATGACAGGTGATCCGAACCTCGAGAACTTATGCAGACATGGCCACAACCCGTGTCAAAGCTTAGGAGGCCACTCAAAATGGCAGAATGGGAGGTGCTTCGCGGCCTTGCACGCCGTGTCGAGCACCTATGTGTCCATGACCCTGCTCGGCCAGTGGATGTCTCAGTCGTTCTCTCTCTCTGCCACCCCCCAACCAACTCGCCTTTGTTTCCAAATTTGAAATCAATCTCCTGGAATGACGAAAGAGCTGAGACTTTCTCGTTCATTCGCACGCTTTCAGGGCCCACAGTTACTTCCTTGGTGATAACCATCACAAATAATAGTCGTAAATGGCATATACCAGAGCTCAGCATATTGGCTTCGCTGCCCTACGTTTGTCCCAACATCACAGAAGTGACCCTGCCCACCGACACTTTTCCCTCTCTATCGGACGCCCTTTGCGCATGGAACAATCTCAAAGAGATCAAATGTGGAGCAATTGAGGGTAATGCACTTTTACATCTCGCCAAACAACCAGCTCTTCGCAAGCTTTCATTCAATATAATAAACAACGCAGGACTCGGACTGGACTCGTCTTTGCCTTCAGGGGCATTTTCATGTGTCCGCGACTTCGAGATCCACGCAGCGAATATGTCTTTCTTAGACCCATTCTTTAACAGGCTTGGAGGATCGCCCGCTTCTATGCACGTGCTAGTGGACACCAATCCGCCACCTACTAGTATCACCTCACTTTTTACTGCTCTGAGGCGTTTCTCGAGTACTCATTTGCAAGATCTGAGCCTGCGATTGAAGACCCCGCCAAGTCCTCGGGTCTTACCATCACATCCACTACATCTATTCGGCTATCCACAACTCCAAGCTAATGTAGGACCTTATATGGCGCCACCCAATCACAATCTGATGGGCTATCCGATCAGTGTGGGCTACCAGCCTCCGCTTGCCCCGAATGGATTTCATGTTCTGCCTTTGGGTGGCGTTTCGACTTCCGGAGTTACATGTCACACTTTCACTTTGGGTGACTTCATACCCCTTACCTGCTTTGAAAGCCTGGGCAGGATAGACATCGATATCAATCACAGTATCCACCTGGATGATGACGACCTCCGGGCACTGGTCTCTGCATGGCCCCACCTTCATTCCTTCTCCCTCAACGACACAGCTGGATGGCGCGCCAAATCTGGCATCACTCAGATAGGCCTCATCGCGATGCTTGACTGTTGTCATGAACTTCAAAAGCTTTGTATTGCTTTGAACACGGATGCGTTCATTGAGGTGCCATCAGACCGTGAAGGGATAGAAAACACAGCCATGCGAACCATAGGTCTCGCTGACTCCCTGATCGAGGCGCGCGCCACTGTAGCAGTCGCAGCGTTTCTCTCCGACATCTTCCCAAACCTCACCACCATCGTCGCATGGGATTCGGTAGTGATGAGTCGGCGCCTTAATGCAGGGATGTATGCTGAGCGGTGGAAGCATGTCTCTGAGCAGGTGCACGGGATGAACAAGGTTCGGGTGCAGGAAAGGAAATGGTGGTTGACTGATGATGAAGGCGAAAGTGAGGCGTGTGATATATCTCAGGTTTGACGCATGGTATTCCAAAACGCATCGACTTGTGTCAGAGGATATGGTTCTTATGAGACTAATGGGTTTGAGCAGCTGCTGAGGCCAAAGCTCTCCATTGGCCTAGAACATCTGATGGTTTCCGTTAAACGGCTTGATTCTTACCACGGCACATACTTGCAATCACAATACAAATGCTTAGGCCTAGGTATCACACGTGAAGAAGTACAAACAGGCTCGACACAATATTCTAGTAGGAAATCAAAGTCTGGGCGTGGATAGATACCCTGGTAGTAAGGATATAGGAATCGTGGTTATCATCCTGGATAGGAGTGGTGAAAATGCCAGTGTCGATAGATTTGTGCAGGTTAAGCGTCAGGCGAGATACGAGAGTCACGGATATGCTGGAGAGCGATGTAAATATAAATCCATTATTATCGCACTTCGAACCACTCACCAACTGGTAAATGTGGCGAGAGTGAATTTGTTGATATCCTTGCCAACTGTCAAGAAATAGTCACAAAATACGGCTGTGTGCTCACTGAACCGCACTAAATCAATATGTAAGCGTGCGACTCGACTAGTATTTCATTGGCCAACTCACGTAGAACATCACGATGTTCGGTATATTAGATAGTGTCATCGCTCTGAAGGAACACGGATCAGATCTACTACATAGAATCACAAGCAACCTCACCCGAAATACATCGCACCTGCGTGCGCTTGGATCAGTATTTCCGGTACAGATACAACGAAATTTTTACCATCTTGGAATATGATGTCAACCGTGTTTTTCCTGGACATTATCAGATACGGTGACCGCAGCATTCCTCTAATTTTGAAAATCCTGGATAATGTGAGGACAAAGATGAATAATTCGTAGGCAAATAGAGCCACCCATGCCAGTCCAGGACCTGTAATCGGATGAAATCATGAAATCATGGTTTATACAAATCTGACTCGCGTTTACTGACCGGCTGGTCTGAAGCGATGTTTTGAGCAGGTGTGCAGAATGGTGAAGAAAATAACGTACGTCACTATTACATCTGATTCGTAGCAGATAACTCCTGACATGACGATTACAGTGCTTGAAGAATGTCCAAATATTCCCGCCTTGAAACCGTTAGTGCTCTCAGAGTAGAATATTATGTGTGAACACGCACAAAAGCTACTCCTGCAAGAGCAATAACGACCACTACCATCCAAATCAGCAGACACTTGCTACGACCGTAGAGAGCATAAGTCCGAAGACTCAATATGACTTGAAATTTCAGTATATGTAGTTCTCGCCATGAAAATAAACTCACGGCAAACGATGAATTGTTGACCAAAAAGGAGGAGTTCTCTGGACAACAAATATTTCGGACAGCTAGGTTCCGTTAAGTAAAACAAGAAAGATTCGAGCACAAAAGTTGAAACCTCTGCGGAAATAAGTTGTGAGCCTGTCAGTTTGGCATACGCGCAATGAAATTATCGAACCTCTTCTGGAACAGGCACGAAATTGATCAATAAACCATACACATTTCCGAGCAGAGCGACATAGCGATTGAGCAAAAATAACATTGCAGATAGTGCTTTCGGACGATACCAGATGAAAGTAATCTCTTCCATGAGGGTCGCTGCATGGTCATACACCAGGATACCTGAAATATCGTGTCATCCTGAGGGCCTCAACGATAAAAAGGCCTTTAATACTGCTTGCCACGAGAACGGCATACGAGTGCATCAAACTAGGCATGTTGAGTCACTATCAAGTCACGTAGTAAAACTATGCACCACTCACATCTGCTGTGCTTCACTGTTATTCATTGCATTGTAAAGCACAACAACGAGAACGTTGGGACAATATGTGCTACGTGTGCAAAGCAAATTCAGTTACACACGCGGTTAACAAGGGTTCACACGTCGCGATTCACGAACTTGAAGTAGTTGGAGAGTCAAGAGCATATGACCATCGTGATGCTGTGTATGATTTTCCCTGGCACGTCGTTGTAGCGCATGGACCTGGGATGATCCATGATCCAAGCTCTTCCTTACAAAGAGCTGGCTTGAACTAATAGCTTCGGAAGAATCAGAACATTGCCAGACGCTGAAAGCGTTCAGATTGACATGTCATTCAGATCAATCCGGATTCCGAATATCTTATGCAACTTGAAGCCTCAAGGACACTGTATCATTCGTGAGACGGGCGGCGAAAAGGAGACCTGCCTCCGCTTGAAGCAGTGCCGGGTAGAGCAGCTTGAGAGTTCATTTGTACGGGCCGGTAACAATATGATAATTCCGAGGCATTTCAGTATATTACGTAAGGTAGAACGGTACAAACACTGTTACACAAACAAACCGAGGACGGGCGTCGGGAACGGTGTCCGACCGAAAGTACGTGCACGCGGTGCTTCAGAATGCATATGTGCATTCAAGACGATATATATCTCGTACTATGGAGTACTTAGATGTTCAAAGGTTCACATTGCTTGCACAGTATCGAAGTTTGAGAAGCAACCATACCGATCGATTCCGAACTAGGTATTCCGCCATCAACCACGACACCAAAGCGGCGGGCTCACTGTCACGATGTGCTATTCTGGTTGCCGGGTCAATTTTCAGTAACCGGCGTGCATGTCATTCCAAACAACCAAGGCGTGCAGGTGAGTTATATGGTTGAATTTTGGTTGCACAGCGACCTGCTCATACTCACGTCTTGAAATAGACAAAGATAAACCCGACAGCAATCTTCATTTGTGTTGCAAGGAGCTGGATAGTTGTGGCATGCACCGACAGACATAGATGCTGTCAAAGCAACAACAGCGGAGAAACGTATTTTCTGTACGAGGTGATACCAGCTCAGCTGAATTTCAATGCGCACATCGAATCCTGCTTGAAAGTTGTACACGCTTATCCAATAATTGTGGAGCATGTCAGTTATGCTATTGTGGAATGTGCAAGCTTACACCCAGACCGAAAGTACGTGGTGCTTCAGAACGCATGTGTCATGTATTCAAGACGATATATATCTCATACTATGAAGTTCTTTAGATGTTCAAAGGTTCACATTGCTCGAACAATATCGATGTTTGAGAAGCAACCATATTGATCGACTCCGAACTAGGTATCCCGCCATCAACCCATGACACCAAAGCGACGGCAGAAGCATGGCTCACTGTCACGATGTGCCGCTTTGGTCGCCGGCTCAGCGCTCAATCTTCAACATACTTATGCATGCATACCCGTCCTAACATCTAAGGCGTACAGTGAGTCATGTGGTTGAATCCTGGTTGCAGTGACCTGCTCATACTCACGTCAGGCATACAAAACTGGTCCGGACAGCAATCTTTATCTGTAACGCAATATGTTGGAAAGTCGGGACATGCACTGACAGACATAGATGCTGTCAAAGCAACAACAGCGGCGAGGAAGGAGAAACGCATTTTCTGTACGAGGTGATATAGAATATTCTGAGGGGAATCTCGAATGATCTCTCCGAGGATGGGAGAACACTATAGGAAGGCGGCCAGCTTTTATACCCCATAAGGAACAACTGTTTCATTCTGTGACTGTTCATGTTGCTGGCCTCCCTTGACTCATTTCTGCCGGTCGCGCCCGTTGTGGCCGTGGCACGGCTGTTACCTATCAGTTTATCAGAAGATTGGTCAAGTCCTCAGTTTGCAATTCTGTTCAGCTTAGCTGATTGACATCTAAGGTTGCCGGGTGACGTGTCCTTGGTGTAATTTACGCAACACCGGGTGAAGCTTGATGTGGCACAATGTTGGTGGATGGGACGGACACGACATGGGCGAGACTTGACTCGCAAATAATGGTGGTGTATGTGTCACTGTATCTGGATGGTTAATGTTCACTGAATCGTCGTTAGTACGATCAGAGACAAGCAAAGCAAGCACCAAGGTGTTATATATATTTGAGACGGACTAGACACCACTGGCGATCAACTGCAACTGGTAACGTTCACGATCTCGGTGGTACTAATACACCTTTCACAATGGTGTCTATTTTATTGGCGACGAAGCAATCTTAGAGCTATATTTTCAATGTCGAGCAACTCCTACTAAGCTCTTACCCTCCATCAGGATAAACAACCGGTCGAACGGCGAAAGAGTGATGTTTTCGATCTTTACTTTTGGTAGTAGAATGACGCTGTCTGACGGCGGGATCCATTTCATCGACGTTTGTGCCGGTCGAAGATTCATTCCTTGTACAAAAGAGGTCAATTGCCTCCCTCGAGCTGACATTGCTATTGGTAGTTGACTCTATCCTGTAGCGTACAATATATTTTGGTCCTACGGTAATTCACCGTATACTAATGAAGATGCCGGTAAATATGGGAACTAGGGCAGATGATGACCGTCGCACTACGAGTGCCAACGTCACAAGGTTTGCGCGAGACGAAAATGTGAGTCTAAAAAAACATGGGCGTTGCAAAGCACGACTCGGATCGACGAAAGTAGAGATATGAATTTCAGTTTAACCGTGCGTCGAGGAAAATGGGGTGTGGGAGCACGATACGTAATATAAAGAAGAAAGGAACATGTTGTAGGTTAACAGGCTTCGTCTCTGCGGATCTGGACACTACCCCGATATTAACTTTCCACTTCCAATACGAATATACAAATCCAGAAATATCAACCTAGCATTGGCGAGAGGAAATCGTGGACTGTACGTTGATCCTAGTAGTAAGGACAGTGGAATCGTAGTCATCATCTTGGACGGGGGTAGTAAGAATGCCTGTATCGACAGATTTGTGCAGATTGAGCATCAGCCGAGAGACGAGAGTCACGGATATGCTAGAGTGCATAGTCAGAATTAATCTGTGTCTACCGCACCAGATACTCACCAGCTAGTAAATGTAGCCAGACTGCCTCTAGTGGTATTCTTGCCAGTCATCAGCAATAGTTAGTCAATAATCACAAGAAGCGGGTGTGTGCTCACTGAACCACACTGAGCCAGAGTGAGCGTGCAACTCGACAAATATTTTGTTAGTGGACTCACGTAGTACGTCAGGATGTTGAGTAGATTAAACAACGTCATCACCCTGGAGGAATACGGATCAGATTCGCTCGAATCGCCGTTTCCCTGGCAGGCTCACGCGAAATACATGGCACCTGCGTTTGCTGGAATCAATGTTTACGATACCGATGAAGCGAAAATTACCATCTTGAAACATGATATCAAGCATGTGTCTCCTCGATATTGCCAGTGACAGTCCTCTAATTTTGCATATCCTGCGAACTGTGAGGACAAATATGAGCAATTCGTAGACAAGTAGTGTCACCCATCCCAACCCAGGACCTGTAATTTAATTAAGTCATAGCATTACGTTCGACGCGAGTCCGACTCAGAAACCACTAACTGACGGCTCTGCGACATCTTTTGAGCAAGCGCACGGAACGGAGAGGGAAATGGCGCACATCTTTTTTGCGTATGAGTCAAGGCAATTAAGTCCTGGCACGACGGCGCTTGAACGGAGTCCAAATGTTCCCGCCTATAACCATAAGTAGACTCCCAGAGTGAATACTTATGTGAACACATACAGTCACTCCCCCAAGAGCACAAACGATGATTATCATCGAAGTGAGGAGGCGTTTGTTACGGCAGTAGAGAGCATAAGTGCGAAGAGTCAATATAACTGGCAATGTCAATACATGTATTTCTCGCCATAAAATTCCACTTACAACAAACGAATATTTGTTGGAAAAAAAAGAGTAGATCTTTCGATGTAAAATATGTCCGACAGCTAGGTCTTTGTTGAGAAAAATAACACATTGAAGAACAAGAGTTGAAACCTCTGCCGAAATAAGATGTGAGCCTGCCAACTGGGTACGCGCATAACGAAACCATAGAACCTCATGTGAAATGGGTAGAAGATACATGGACAACATAAAGACGTTGCCGAGTAGAGCGACATAGCGATTGATGAGGAACAATATTGCAGATAGTGCTTTTGGACGACACCAGATAAAAGTAATTTCATCTGTGATAGTTGCCATATGGTCGTATATCAGGATACCTAGAATATGTGTTATTGTCCCGAGGCCAAAATAAGAAGCCATGAAAGTACTGTTTGCCACAAGAATGGTGTATAACTTGAAGCGTATGGGCCTGGGAGTGCTCAAGTTCAATCGCTATCAGAATACACCAAGTATGTGCATTAAACTTACATTTGCTGCACTTGACTGGAATCTATCACAATGCAAGAAAGGACGACAGGGAAGGATGTTGATAAGAGGGCATCTGACGCTGTTATATATGCGACATTTGTTCTCGCAACCATACAACCCGGTGCTAGGGGCGGCCCGCATACTAGGCACACGACGTCACGGATTGGCGTTGTGAATGCATTATGACATCAACGGCTCTGACAGATTCCTTATTCATTGACAGACCAAGCATTGTCCAGGGAAGCCCAGCCCAGGGAAGCCACCGATAATCGTGAGTTCGCTGCGGAGCTCTTAGTAGGGATACAGCACGGTCTGGATGGATTATTATACATAGTAGTAGACCTTGGATGAAAATGTCGTGGGTATCATTTTGGAACACGACACAACAGCATTGCGAGGACGGACATGTCACTACACGCACAGGGAAAACAAAGTTTACGTCGGACTAGCCGCTAACTCAGGCTAACGACGGCAATATAAGTTCAGACGAACATCGGATAGCATGATATTTGCCTAATACATATATCTATCTAGAATTCCGTCAGACAGACGCTCCACTCGCTGGATCCGGCTTCACCAGACTGCAAGCAGTCCGACACTGCGCAAACCCAAACGTCCTCGAGATTCCCCCGAGGGGAAATCGTGTTCTCTGTCGAACGAGCGAGCGCTGGTGTCATCCAGCGGAATTGAAGGATGTGGCATGTGTAAACATGCGAGACTCGAGTTAGTTTCTATAAAATAGATCCTAGCTGAGTATGTTCTGAAGAAACAGGAATATTCCAGGACAAGTTTATAAAGTTTTCTGTTCATGGTCTGTGCGTGGAAATTTCACTGTAACACCATGTGTCCGTGTTACGCTTGTTTTGGAAGGCAACAGCAACTTTCAGTCGCTGAGATCAGTGCGAGCTGCGCTCCAGCAACATAAGTATTGATTCAAAGCTGTGCAAATTCCAGCTAATGATGTTAGTCTAATGTTCAGAATCATGCGCATAGTAACCACGTAGGCTCGTCGCAACATGACTAGAACAGACTCAGAGCCGTAGAGAGATGTGTACGAGGGCGCTGGAAGGCTTTGGGGCAGGCACCGTCGCTCTACAACCAGGCCATCCGTATCGTTAGGATGTATTGATTCTGCGGATAGTACAAAACATTCGAAAATAATTATGAGTCAATCAAAAATTGATCACGCAGCGTCTAGCTGCTCTAGCACATGATAATCGGGATGAGACCTTTGGTAAAAGAACTGGTGTGAACTTCATTTGGTCTCTCGGCGGTCCAGGTATAGGGACCATTAATTCCATGATAGTTGAAATATAACAAGTTGGGCCAGAGGTGGGGGGAAAGCGCAAAGCAGAGATGAATCACGAGCAGAGCGCTGGAAGCAAGCTTCTCCGCGATAGAATTGGTGACGAGTTCGAGAAGGAAGAACTTCGGCTGCATCCGGTGCGCAAGCGGGTCTTGCGAGTCGGCGGAATGAAGGGGTGATATTGCAATAAGCTATATCGAAGGAGTGACATGGTGATGTGCTGCTCGACACGAAAAACAACGATATGCATACGCTCGTGTAGGATAGATAGTCAGATTTGAGCGCTGGAAAGCACCAGCTGTTGACTGAATGCGATGGGATACATTCTGGCGGCTATAGAGACAAGAGTTGAATGCATATATGCACTGAGGTGCTATATATCGTCGAGGACTGCGGCTATAATAATAACGTACATTCTTGCCGTAACAGTGATGGAGGCGTGGAGGCTGGGCAACGAAACAGATTGACGCACAAAACACACACCTCTGGATCTGCAGCTTAGAGAACGACACCCACAATCCCTTCAAAGTTCACCTCGATACCATCGATCTCCAGTGAAATGTCGGACCTTATTCCAATCACTACACCCCTGCAAAAGTTCAGAGGTCATGGAGACTGTGTAATGGCAGTCGCAATGTTCCCCGATAACCAACGAATGGTTACGAGCTCTTGGGACAAGACGCTTTTGTTATGGGACTTGAAGAGAGGTGTTGTGTTGAAGAAGATGGAGGGGCATTGCAGTGAGGTGAGGGAATTGGCGGTATCACGAGATGGGCAATTGATAGCAAGCGGTGATCTCAAAGGAGAGGTCATCGTCTGGCATGGAGAAACTGGCGAATTACTCATCAAAATCGAAGCACACTCCAATTGGATCACCTCACTGGATTTTTCTCCCGATGGAACAGTGCTGGCCACTAGTGCATATGACAAAACGACGAAGCTGTGGAACACCGAAACCTGGCAGCAACAAGGAAGTCTAATCGAGTGTGGTAGTGATATAAAATGTGTACGGTATTCACCGTCCGGAGAACTTCTTGCCATCGCAACAAACCATAATATCGAGATTTACAAGTCAGACACAAGGAAACGCGTCGCAAAGTTCAAGGGTCACACAAAATACAACTCGTCACTCGCATGGACGCTTGATGGCACACGCCTTCTCACAGGCGGCGATGATTCTACCATACGTGAATGGGATACAACAACCTGGAAACAGGTTGGTGATCCCTGGGCGGGCCACTTTGACTATATCAATGCCATCACCGTTAATCCCACTGGTTCACTCATCGCCTCCGCATCTCATGATAATCATGTCCGTCTCTGGCGGCTCTCAGATCGACAAACCATTGCCACCTTCAAGCTCTCATTTGCACTGAAATGTGTCGCCTTCACCGTAGACGGCAACTACATCCTCAGCGGAGGTAGCGATAACATGATCTCAGAGTGGGCAGTACCTCAGGATATTCATCCAAAGGCATGTCTCCATCCTTGACTCAAATACCACAATTATTCGAGCATGTTTCGTGCAGGTCACGACAGCCCGCGAGGCGTGCATAAATGGAGATTTTTCTACCGCCGAAGAACTACTCACACAAGATATCAACACCGATCCGAACAACCATAGTCTCTACGCCCATCGTTCATTTGTTATGGCGCGAAAATACGACTGGGACCGCGCCCTTCAGGATGCAATCAAGGTGAGATTCACTGACCCACCATGGCCCCCTTCTGAATGAATGGCTAACTCGACTGTGACAAAGTCCATCAGCATCCAGCCCTCATTGTCAGGCTATATTTCCAAGGGCATCGCTTTGTGCGGGACAGGCCATGTCCAGAATGCGAGGGCAGCATTTGATGTTGCATCAATGTACACGAACGAAGATTCACATATGTATTCACGAACTATGCATTTCCTGCTCTTGATCAAGGTATGTTACATTTGCTTGACATGCTCTGCGCTTCATCCTATATTTCAGGTCATTGCACTCTTCAATGCAGATCAACATGATGAAGCAAATCTGCTCCTCAAAGAACTCACTACCGGATGTCAGAATCCTGATACTCGCGCATGTCATATCGTGGAGGTAAGGATCATGCAGCCTGCATCGACACTAATATTTCAACTTGCATATGAAGGCATATCTACGCATTCAACTCGGACTCAAAGCCTTGGATAGCGCGCGTCACGACGAAGCCGCTGATCATTTCACTGCTGCTCTCAACTACAACGCTATGCCATCGAAATCGGACATTCATGTAATTTATGAGGATTTGGTGGTGGTGCGTCAGCATGATGCGTACATGACGCTTTTCATAAAATTGAGTATCGATCTAGCTCTTCGGCTGGGACATGGAGTCCTCGTGGCAAAAGGCACACCAGAAACGGTGTGATGCACTTTTTCGGGCAGGCAGACTTCAAGATGCCGTCAAATCATACAGATACATGATGGACAACATCGACGAAACAACGAAGACCAGCTGCCTTGAATGGTCCAACGGTAAGTCTGGAGTTCGTGATGTCGCCCAGGCTACAATTCTCATCCCCATATCACTCAGCTTTCACGAGAAAATGCAGCGCGCTCTTTCTTACCAAAGGAGATACTGCCCTTGCTGCAGGCGATTTTGACAGGGCTATTGACCTCTACTCGGCGGTGACCGACCTAACTTCTCCATCATATGTTGTCTTTGCAAACCGTAGTCAGGCAAAGTTGGGAAAGATGCTGTGGATGGAAGCACTTCTCGATGCGCAGAAGGTGCGATGGCATTTATTGTTCCTTCACCTATGCTCATTGCGGTGATACGCAGGTCATCGAACTCAACCCTTCGTCTCATATTGGATACAAGTTGAAGCACGCGGCGTTTCATGGCGCCCAACGCTATGATGAGGCTATTTCGGCCTTCGAAACGATGCTTTCAAAATTGGATGATGCTCCTGATAATGAGACACGAAGTAAGCTCCAATACCTTATACGTCAACGTACTTTGACTGCTTCTGCAGAGTTGCGCCAGCAGTATCTCAGTCCATCTGAAGCGGACCATGCTATTCGAAAGGTCATCGATGCTCAACTCGACAATGCTCCGCTGCGCGTGCTCGACACCACCACCGGTCTCTTATGCGACCGAGAGGCGCAGATACGCATCTTCAAATCGAGCATAGAGTATTTGAAGCTTTTATCATTGACAATTACACATCGAGACATCCAAGCGAAGCGCATTAAAGAAGTGGTGATGCCATACTTCCAATACGTCATGCTATCGCACAGGTGGGAAGGCCAGGAGCCGCTGCTGCAGGATATCCAGGGCAAGGTGGTCTACAATTTGGATCCGGTTGGCGGCATCAAGAAGTTACAGTCCTTCTGCAAAACTGTTCGTGATTTGGGGCATCGCTGGGCATGGAGCGACACATGCTGCATCGATAAGAGCAACAATGCTGAGCTTCAAGAATCGGTCAACTCCATGTTCATCTGGTATCACCACTCCACACTCACGGTTGTATACCTCTCCGATGTTCTACCTTCGTCAAAGTCTGGCGCGCTGGCAAGAGCGCTTGGAACACACGGGGATGGACGGTTCAAGAATTCCTCGCTCCCAAAGTCATTCTATTTTACCAGAACGATTGGACTCCTTATGTCGGCGATCGCACTCCCAACCACAAGGAGTCCGTCGCCATCATGCGAGAGTTAGAGGATGCGACGGGCATAGATCGACAAGCCGTCGTGACCTTCTGTCCCGGAATGAGAGACGCCCGGGAGAAACTTCAGTGGGCGTCGACGCGCATTACCACAGTGCAAGAAGACATCGCATACTCGTTATTCGGCATCTTCGGCATCACCCTACCTGTCATTTATGGCGAGAAAAAGCAGAACGCACTCGGTCGGCTCTTGCAGGAAATCATATCTCAGTCGGGCGATATTACTGCCTTAGACTGGGTAGGAAAGTCATCAGAGTTCAATAGCTGTCTGCCCGCCGACATCACTTCATACAAAGCTCCACCATGCAAACTGCCACCTCTATCCGAAGATGAGATTCATTCATCGATCTCCTTGCTGCGAGGTGTTGTGGCTCTAGAGTCGGCTTCGGAATTATATCAGACACTGGACTACCTGGGCGCTCCCCGTTTCGCGTACCACCGGTTGCATCTACCTTGCATCGTATTCCCGGTGACAGAAGCCAGGCGGAGGCAAGGTCAAGACCAGGACACATATACGTATGAACTCAAATCGGACGGGCTTCGCAACCTGCAGATCACCACAAAAGACAGGTTCACCCCGTTCTCGCCGACTAGACCGCCTCCCTCGTGGCAGACAATTTTACTCGTTCGTCCATGGAGTCACGATCTCCTCGGGCTGCGTGACACTGCGGACGATACGCAGAGCGTGGACAATTTGTCCGTGTCCGAATCTTTGTGGCACGATTCACTTCCAGCGCGAACTGGCCCGATTTATTGGGATCCTCACTCGCGAGCATTGCGATTGATTGTTCGCCTTGGACAGCCTTTCAGTGCATTTTTGCTAGCGCGGCAGCGAGACGGAGAATTCAAGAGGATCGCATCGGAGCATGATATCATTGCACAGGTTAAAGGCATGGCTTCCATTAGCTACTTGATGGACATCAGGACACTAGAGGTACTGTAGCTGCATGCACCATGGGAAGCATTTATCATGAAGCCACCTCCCAAGAGATTGATGACCCGAGCAAACTACCCGTAATTGTGGTTGATGAGATCGAGCATGGTACGAGAGAGACCAGTGATGACATTGTTTATTGCGAACTGTATGGCATGATACGGAGGTGAATCGATGGCGAAGTAGCTGAGCCCGACCTCACTACCACCAATTTGTCGAAGCCCACGTGAAGGTTAGCGCAGAATATGAAAAGCCTCACTCTACAATCAGACCATCTTTCGTTTCATCCTCGTTAGGATGTACTGAGTCTGCAGATAGTACAAGACGTTCGAGAATAATCATGAGTCGATCAAAAATTGATCAGGCAGTGTCTGGCACATGATAATCGGGATGAGACCTTTGGCAAAAGAACCCTCACTTAGTAGTCTCTCGGCGTTCCAGGAATAGGGACCATCGATTCCATGGTAGTTGGCATTCCAAACCACAATTTTTTTAACGCGAGGCTCAAGGGTTCGCCGAGGTTAGCGACCATGTTCCACTGGTATTTGTATGGTGCAGGATTCCAACGATGCACTTGATAGGGGATTGGCGAATGAGATAAGGGAGTCGACTGAAACCAGTCGGGCAAGGAAATTCGGAATGGGGAAGCGCAAAGCAGATATGAATAAGGAACAGAGCACTGGAAGCAAGGTGCTCCTCCATGACAAAATTGGTGACCAACTGACATGATAATGACACCAGGCCAGTTCCTAAAATACCTTTGTCGAGTTTGAGATGCCAGGAGGGAAGAACTTTGACTGCATCCGGTACACAAGCAGGTCTTGGGAGTCGGCGGGATGAAGTGGTAATATCACAGTAAGCTATATGCATGCATTCGAAGGACTGACATGGCGATGTGCTGGTCCCTGGAGTAGCTGTTCGACACAATATTATGCAGGATATATAGTCGGATTCGAGCACTGGAAAGCACCGGCTGTCGATTTGATTGATGGGATACATTCTGGCAGCTGCGGAGACAAAAGTGTGATACATGTATGCACTGAGGCGCTGGGAGTTGTATACTGTCAGCGGGTATGATGTGCACACATCGACAAAAGTGTCACTCGCGTGTACGTACCTTATTCGGTTTACAAACCCCGAACAGAATTGTAAACGATATGCATGAGATTGCAGCAATATGCAAGTACTAACAGATGTGAAACTTGTACACGAAGTGTGCCAAGCTTGTAAAGTAACTAACAGAAGTGCGGAGGTAATGCATGAGATTGTAGCATGTATACAAATTGATGGCAGACTCGGATATGTACCAAATGTAAGCTCGTACACGAAATGTGCGAAGTTTGTACAGTGATCAACAGAAGTGCAGAGGTATGTCAGGTATGTATGAGATACTAATAGTAGATGTAGTAGCTACTGTAGCGCAATTTGATGTGCCCATTATTGTGATCAATGAGAATGCATATAAATTCATTACCCATACAAGAACCCTCCGGGAGTTGTAGTGGCATGGTATCGAACGTCACCCAAACAAAGGTGAGACTACAATCACAACCTATTGCAGGATATGTATAAAGAACATGGACTTGTATTGTAGCTCACAAGTCCGTCACTTGTTTGTAGGTAACGTAGCAATTGTATACCTTGTACTGGCTGTTAGGCCTGTTACATGGTTTGCATAGGTTCGTTTCTGTTGTCGATGCACTTGCCGTAATGATGATTATAGAGCGTGGAGGCGAACAGCCTCCTTGAAGTCATGTGCAGCTTAAAGCAAGAGACTCACAGTCCCTTCAAAGTCTAGCCCGACCACGCCCAACGCCGTCAACCTCCAGTAAAATGTCGAAACTCACCTCAATCACCAAACCCCTGCAAGAATTTAAAGGCCATGGAGACGGCATAAGGGCAGTCGTGGTTTTCCCAGATAAACGTCGGATGGTTACGGGTTCAGACGACAACACGCTTCGTCTGTGGGACATGAAGACAACGACTATGTTGAAGAAGATGGAGGGGCATCGCAGTTGGGTGCTGGCTTTGGTAGTATCACGAGATGGGCAATTGATAGTAAGCGGTGATGAGGAAGGAGACGTCATTGTCTGGCACGGAAAAACTGGCGAATCGCTCACCCAACCCATCAAAGCACATTCCACTTATATCACTTCACTGGACCTTTCTCCTGATGGAACAGTGCTGGCCACTAGTGCATATGGCAAAACGACGAAGCTGTGGGACACCAAAACTTGCCGGGGGCAACAAGGAAATTCAATAAAGTGTGATAGTTATGTTAACTGCGTACGGTATTCGCCCTCTGGAGAACTTCTTGCCATCGCAACATTCGACAATATCGAAATTCATAATCCAGGCACGAGGAAACGCGTCGCAAAGTTCAAGGGTCACACAAAGTACAACTCGTCACTCGCATGGACACCTGATGGCACACGCCTTCTCACAGGCGGCGATTATGAGGATCCTACCATACGCGAATGGCATACAACAACATGGAATCAGGTCGGTAATCCCTGGACGGGCCACTCTGACTATATCAATGCAATCACTGTGAATCCTGCTGGCACACTTGTCGCCTCCGCATCTCATGACAATCACGTCCGTCTCTGGCGGCTCTCAGACCGACAAACCATTTCCACCTTCAAGCACACATCTTGGACTCTATGTGTCGCTTTCTCCGTGGACGGCAACTACATCCTTAGCGGAGGTTGCCATAATATGATCTCGCAGTGGATAGTACCTCAGGGTATTGACTCACTTCATCCAAAGGCATGTTTCCGTCCTTGACTGATGTACCACAATTCGAGCGTGTTTCGTGCAGGTGCTACCCTTCACGACAGCCCGCGAAGCATGCATATATGGAGACCTTTGTACTGCCGAAGAACTGCTCACACAAGATATCAACACCGATCCGAACAACCATACTTCCTACGCCCATCGCTCATTCGTCATGGCGCGAAAACACGACTGGGACCGCGCCCTTCAGGATGCAATTAAGGCGAGATTTACTAATCCATCAATGCCCCATCATGAATGGCTAACTCGACTGTGACAAAGTCCATCAGCATTCAGCCCTCATTGTCAGGCTATATTTCCAAGAGCATCGCCCTCTGCGGAACAGGCCTTATCCGGAGCGCGAGGGCAGCATTTGATGTTGCATCAATGTACACGGACAAAGATTCACATGTGTATTCACAAACTATGCACTTCCTGCTCTTGATCAAGGTATGTTACATCTGCCTGACATGCTCGCCGTTTCATCCCGTATATCAGGTCATTGTGCTCTTCAATGGAGACCAACATGACGAGGCAAATCTGCTCCTCAAAGAACTCACTACCGGATGTCCCAATGCTGATACTCGCGCATGTAATATCGTGGAGGTAAGGATCATGCAGCCTGCATCAACATTACTCTTTCAACTTACATATAAAGGCATATCTACGCATTCAACTCGGACTCAAAGCCTTGGATAGCGCACGTCACGACGAAGCCGCTGATCATTTCACTGCTGCTCTCAACTACAACGCTATGCCATCGAAATCGGACATTCATGTAATTTATGAGGATTTGGTGGTGGTGCGTTAAGACGATGCGTACAGAATCCTTTCAATAACAAGTCCCTTGTCCAGCTCTTCGGCTGGGATCTCAAATCGTTGTGGCTCACTGCATACAAGAAACGGTGTGATGCACTCTTTCGGGCAGGTAAACTTCAAGATGCCATCGAATCATACCGATGCATGATGGACAACATCGACGAAACAACGAAAGTCAGCTGCCTTGAATGGTCCAACGGCAAGTTTTCGAAATTCGTGATGTCGCGCAGGCTACAATTCTCATCCCCATTTCACTCAGATTGCACGAAAAAATGCAGCGCACCCTTTCTTACAGAAGGAGATACTGCCCTCGCTGCAGGCGATTTTGACAGGGCTATTGACCTCTACTCGACGGCTATCGACCTTACTTCTCCATCTGACACTGTCTTTGCAAATCGTGGTCAGGCAAAGTTGGGAAAGATGCTGTGGATGGAAGCACTTCTCGATGCGCAGAAGGTGCGATGGCATTCATTGTTCCTTCACCTATGTTCATTGTGGTGATGGACACAGGTCATCGAACTCAACCCTTCGTCTCATATTGGATACAAGTTGAAGCACGCGGCGTTTCATGGCGCCCAACGCTATGATGAGGCTATTTCGGCCTTCGAAACGATGCTTTCAAAATTGGATGATGCTCCTGATAATGAGACACGAAGTAAGCTCCAATACCTTATACGTCAACGTACTTTGACTGCTTCTGCAGAGTTGCGCCAGCAGTATCTCAGTCCATCTGAAGCGGACCATGCTATTCGAAAGGTCATCGATGCTCAACTCGACAATGCTCCGCTGCGCGTGCTCGACACCACCACCGGTCTCTTATGCGACCGAGAGGCGCAGATACGCATCTTCAAATCGAGCATAGAGTATTTGAAGCTTTTATCATTGACAATTACACATCGAGACATCCAAGCGAAGCGCATTAAAGAAGTGGTGATGCCATACTTCCAATACGTCATGCTATCGCACAGGTGGGAAGGCCAGGAGCCGCTGCTGCAGGATGTCCAGGGCAAGGTGGTCTACAATTTGGATCCGGTTGGCGGCATCAAGAAGTTGCAGTCCTTCTGCAAAACCGTTCGTGATTTGGGGTATCGCTGGGCATGGAGCGATACATGCTGTATTGACAAGAACATCGATGTTGAGCTCCAAGCATCAGTCAAGTCCATGTTCATCTGGTATCACCACTCCACGCTCACTATCATATACCTCTCGGATGTCCCGCCTTTGTCAATGTCTGGTGCATTGGCAAGGAGCGCTTGGAACACACGCGGGTGGACGGTTCAAGAATTCCTCGCTCCCAAAGTCATTCTCTTCTACCAAAAGGATTGGACTCTTTATCTCGGTGATCGCACTCCCAACCACAAGGAATCCGTCCCAATCATGCAGGAGTTAGAGGCTGCGACAGGCATAGATCGACAAGCCGTCGTGGCCTTCTGTCCCGGAATGAGAGACGCCCGAGAGAAACTCCAGTGGGCGTCGACACGTATTACCACATTGCAAGAAGACATCGCATACTCGTTATTCGGCGTCTTTGGCGTCCGCCTACATGTTGATTATACCGAGAAGAAGCAGAACGCACTCGGGCGGCTCCTGCAGGAAATCGTAGCTCAGTCTGGCGATATTACTGCCTTAGACTGGGTAGGAAAGTCATCAGAGTTCAATAGCTGTCTGCCCGCCGACATCACTTCATACAAAGCTCCACCATGCAAACTGCCATCTCTATCCGAAGAAGAGATTCAGTCATCGGTCTCCTCGCTGCAAGGTGTTGTGGTTCTAGAGTCGGCTTCGAAATTATATCAGACACTGGACTACCTGAGCGCTCCCCGTTTCGCACACCGCCGATTGCATCTGCCTTGTATCGTATTCCCGGTGACAGAAGCCAGGCGGAGACCAGGTCAAGACCAGGACACATATACGTATGAACTCAAGTCAGACGGGCTGTGCAACCTGCAGATCACCACAGAAGACAAGTTCACCCCGTTCTCGCCGGCAAGGCCGCCGCCTGCCTGGCAGACAATCTTACTCGTTCGTCCATGGAGTCGCGATCTCCTCGGGCTGCATGACACTGCAGACGATACGCAAAGCGTGGACAATTTATCCGTGTCCGAATCTTCGTCATATGATTCACTTCCTGCGCGAACTGGCCCGATTTATTTGGATTCTCACTCGCGAGCATTGCGATTGATCGTTCGCCTTGGACAGCCTTTCGGTGCATTTTTGCTAGCGCGGCAGCGCGACGGAGAATTCAAGAGGATTGCATCGAATCGTGATATCATTGCACGGGTTAAGGACATGGCTTCTATTAGCTGCTTGATGGACATCAGGACACTAGAGGTACTGTAGCTGCATGCACCATGGGAATCATTTATCATGAAGCCACCTCCCAAGAGATTGATGACCCAAGCGAACTACCCGTAATTGCGGTTGATGAGATTGAGAACGGTACGAGAGAGATGCTAATGTCGTAATATATCCGATTGGTTGTTTGGATTGAAGACTTTTGCCAAACTCAGATTCTCTGCACATAACAAGTATCACCGCACAGACTTATCAACTGACAGACCAAACACTATTTTTGGGAACAAAACCCAGGGAAGCCCAGTCCCATGGCCCATGTTTCGTGGTGGGATGTATGCGTCGTAAAATGAGCCCGGGCCATAACATATGATAGGAGTCTTGCAACGAAAGCGCCGATGTGATAAGTTAGGCCCGCGATGATCGCGACCGTTGCGGACCTTACAGCATGGTGTGCTAGCCAGATCACAATGTGGGCCCAACTGCTGTGGATATGAAGTATTATGAACCAAAATCAACTCGGGGGACGAAGCACCTTGGTCGATTGAACCAACCTCGGAGCAGAATTTCCACTCTTTGTTTCATCATCCCCAGCATTTGCGTTTTGTTTCCACCACATCATGCGGTGTCCGCGGCGTTATGGATTGCTGCAGACCCAGTGCCCTTCATCTTGCGTGTCACTGAACGCTTCTACAGAGATGACAATTTATTCAATGGATGCACGAGCATTGACCAATCGCGCATGATATCATCCTGATTTCTACATTCAAATGCTTGAGGTGAGTCTGAATTTCGCACGTTTGCCTATATACTGATATGATCTTCTTGCACGTCCACGCGTCTACCTTGCAGTATTGAATTGATCTATTTGGCAGATTTTGTTTGTGTTATTGATGCACTTTGGACGATCAACCTCGGCGTGTTTTCCGAAGAGCGCATCATGTAAAGAAAATCGGATTCAGAAACTGCGAGCTGCCGATATCTAATACTCGTGTCGTACATATACAAAAATATAGAAACATTATTAAGAGATAAATCGTACATGGAAAAATGATTCCGTACTGTAAAAGAAACAAGGCATATCGTGCCTACAAGTTACAAAAGAAATGAGCAGTTCAACATCTGCTGAGTACATATCGATAAAACGAAGACGTGTCCGTAAGTCACAGGCAGTCCATGATCTGCGAAGTAGATACCGGTAAGAGAAATACAAAGACAAGGAAACAAATCAAGAGCCATTTACACGATGGCGAAGACAAGAGAAGAGACTTGAGATAGACGTATGTAGGAGCCGCGGGCGGTGGCCTTCAACTCCAAGTGCTTTGAGACAAGATGGAGGCGGTTACGCGGTTGCGGTTGTGTCGGGATTGGTCGTAGGGGACATCCGACGTCGAAGACTGCAGGTATAATTGGGCGGCGCGAAGACATAGTTTGTGCGCGGCCAGCGGTGGCCTTCAACCTCGCGGGAATGAAGCTCCAGGTCGTAGGGGACAGCGAGGGAGGCCGTCGCAGACCTTCGGGATTTGGTCGTAGGGGACCTCGGGAGTAGCTTTGTGTGTGAAGGTGTCGGTCTTGAATGATTTCGATCGAATTTCCTGGGTCGGGCGTCTTCTGATCCAGAAGCGATAGTGCAGGCGACAGCATAGAGGGGAGTCCAAGCTGGGACATGGCAGCTGCCCAGCCGTCGACAAGAGCGGTTTGGTCGGCGAGGAGATCGTCATGCAGTTGTTCAAGGTCATCTATTTTAAATCAACAAACGAAGCGGACGTCACCGGAAATCACTCACTGATCGCAGTAGCGTGTTCTTGTTGCTTGGAGCGAGTGCGTTCGATGCTGCCACGGGCAGCGGCCAAGCGAGTGGATCTAGATTCGCGCTAACAAAAGATGGTGAGTGCAGCACTTGGCTTCGCAACGAACATGTCCATACCTTGTGTCTTTCCGGGCGGAAATTCTGATGCCGTTTCGTATCCGGGGGTTTCAGCTGAGGCGACACAATCTGAGGCAGGATATTGTCAAGAGAGGGCGTCGCGATCGTTTGAGTCGAAGCGTCCACGAGAAGCGAAACGTCGGTGGTCGTCAGGTGTCCGTCCTCCAGGATGATTGGCTGGAGCTGCGTCCGCTGAGAGGGTTCACTCGAGTCATCCATCGCGAGTGGTTTCGTGCCTGGGAATAGGTCGCCGCTGGCACAGTCGCTGTCGTCCTATAGAGATTCAAACATTGAGCGATGAAAATGAGGAGACTGTTCAACTTCATACCTGGGGGATATTGCTTTCCTCAAGGTCCACGCCAGAGAAGTCCTTCATGAAGTCATCATCATGGCCGACGAGAGTCGTGTCGGAATCGATTGAGAGGCGCTTGGTGTTCTGAACCGGCGAAGTCGGCAGGATCGGCGTGCATAATGTGGAACATGTCGTAGATGGCGGAGTGCAGTGAGAGTCATTTGCAATTGTTACTTTTGGCGGAGGGCTGCAAGGTTCGGTTGCGATTGATGCAATTGGCGGAGTGCTACATGGTTCGGTTGCGATTGGATTCGATAAAATTGAGTCTGCTGCAGTAGAGAAATCGGACACTTTGTTGCAAATGAGAGGCGCGTTGAGCTCGGCTAAATTGTGCTTCGGAGGGGATTGAGCGTCTTTACTGAGGAGTATCCGCGCGGTCTCGTTGGAAGCTAGAACTAGTACCGCGACAGAAATACAGAATTCGGTTATGACCAGGCCTGCGGTGACGTTCTCCGCTTCCTTGATGGCCTTGGACGTCCGATCCACCACAGTGTGTTTGAAAAAGAATGCTCTGAGACACCCAGCGACGGTGACATGGGCGGCACCGTCGAAGATAGCGGAAATCATATTGTAATGCGAGTGAAAGTTGAGAATGTGTAGTGAAGAAAGTAATTCACATAAATCGGGGACAGGAAATGAGAGACGTATGTCGCGGGCACGCTGTATTTATACAGTAGACTTGCTCATAACGTATAGCGACGGGAGCCACCCTTTCTCTATACACTATGAAAAATATACAAGATGGAATTGAGATGGAACGGTTCCCACGGTCACAGCATCATCGCATGTATTCAACGAGTCGTCGGTATCTAGTCTACTTCAACGTGTCTAGAGTAGCCTGCTTGGCATTCTGAATTTCTTCGCGTCGCAAAACCCCTCTGAGCCTACGAAGATTGTGAATAATATCAAAGGAAGAGTCCGCATTAACTCGTGCAATGCATGCTGCCTCGAGTTGTTCACAGAGCTTGATTAGCTCCATGGTACTCAACTTTGGTTTATCGTGACCAATGGGCCAGGCTTAGGACGCGGCTGGCGTTTTTTGGTGCTACACACCATTGAGTTAATACTAGATGCGCATTAATGAAAAATTTTCATGCTACTTGCAGGATCTCCGACCACCCCGGGCCTTGGTAAACTAGGTGTCATACTGTATATTGGACCACCAAACACTATACATTATACATTATACAATATCCTGGCCATTTCCCCGCATACCACAACGGGAGCCACCCAAACCCAATACAATATGAAAAATATACATTATTACCATATACGTTATGAGCAAGTCTACTGTACTCTGCTATACCGATGAAATTAGCACTGCCACGAAATAAACAAACTCGACGCGCCTAGTCACGTGTATGCAAAATCAGTTTATGTCAGCACCACCACCGCGACGCTTGACGCTACTGTGACAGCCTAAAGGTGCATGGAATGGCTTGAACATGTTCAGAACGAGAGGATGATCAACTCTTGTGAGTGTTTGTATCAGCTTAGAGCAAGAGACTCATCCCTCCAAAGTTCACCTCGACCAGGGGCGGCGGGTATAAATAATAGGGTGCATTCTCAGGCTGCCGTAACGATGTTGAAGGCGAACAGCCTCTGTGGCTTAGAGATAGACAGCCTCCAAAGTCCACCTAAACTGTGCCCAACACTATCAAGATGTCGAAGCTCGTTTCAAACACGACACCCCTGCGAGAGTTTCAAGGCTGTAGAGACGGCGTAAGGGCAGTCGCAGTGTTTCCCGACAAACGACGGATGATAATGGACTCAGACGACAACATGCTTCATATGTGGGACTTGAGAAGAGGTGTTGTGTTGAAGAAGATGGAGGGGCATAGCAGGGCAGTGGTGGGATTGGCAGTATCACGAGATGGACAATTCATAGCAAGCGGTGATCTTAATGGAGAGGTCATCGTCTGGCACGGAGGAACTGGGGAATCACTCACCAAAATCAGAGCACACTTCGGTTATATCTCCTCCCTGGATTTCTCTCCCCATCGAACAGTACTGGCCACTAGTTCACGCGACAAAACGACGAAGCTGTGGAACACCAAAACCTGGGAGCAACAAGGAGAAATCGAAAGTGATGAGGAAGCAAACTGCGTTCGGTATTCACCATCTGGAGAATTTCTTGCCATTGCAACAGACAATATCGAAATTTATACCGCAGGCAGGAGGAAACGCGTCGCAAAGCTCAAGGGTCACACATCGTACAACTTGTCACTCGCATGGACGCCCGATGGTAAACGACTTCTCACAGGCGGCGATTATGAGGATCCTACCATACGCGAATGGCATACAACAACATGGAATCAGGTCGGTGATCCCTGGACGGGCCACTCTGACTATATCAATGCCATCGCTGTGAATCCTGCTGGCACACTTGTCGCCTCCGCATCTCATGACAATTACGTTCGTCTCTGGCGGCTCTCAGACCGACAAACCATTTCCACCTTCAAGCACACATCCTGGACTCTATGCGTCACTTTTGCCCTGGACGGCAACCACATTCTCAGTGGAGGTGCTGATAATATGATCTCGGAGTGGGAAGTACCTCAGGGTATTCGTCCAAAGGCATGTTTTCGTCCCTTGACTCGTATACCACAATTTAAGCATGTTTCGTGTAGATCATAGCCATCACGACAGCCCGCGACGCATGCACAAATGGAAACCTGTCTACCGCCGAAGAACCATTCATGCAAGATATCAACACCCATCCGAACAACCATACTTTCTATGCCCATCACTCAAAGGCACGTTTCCGTCCTTACTCATGTATACTACAATTTGAGCATGTTTTGTCCAGATCCTAGCCATTACGACTGCCCGAATTGCATGCATAAATGGAGACTTATCTACTGCCGAGGATCTACTTACTCAAGATATCAACAACAATCCCAACAACCATACTTCCTATGCCCATCGTTCATTCGTTATGGCGCGAAAACACGACTGGGACCGCGCCCTTCAGGATGCAATCAAGGTGAGATTCACTGGCCCACCATCACTTTCTTATGAAAGACTCACTCAGCGGTGACAAAGTCCATCAGCATTCAGCCTTCATTGACAGGCTATATCTCCAAGGGCATCGCCCTCTGCGGAACAGGCCATGTCTGGAATGCGAGGGCAGCATTTGATGTTGCATCAATGTACACCGACCAAAATTCAGAAACCATTTATTTTCTGCTCTTGACCAAGGTATATTATATTTGCCTCGCATGGTCTCCGCTTCATTCCGTATTCCAGGCCATCGCGCTCTTCAATGCAGATCAACATGATGAAGCAAACCTACTCCTCAGTGAACTCGCTGCTGGTTGTCCGAATACCGATACTCGTGCGTGTCATATAGTGCAAGTAAGTACTATGCAGCAACGTTGGGTTATCAACACTAATATTTGTAACTTGCATGATAGGCATATCTATGTGTTCAACGCGGAATCAGAGCCTTGGATGGCGCACGTCACGGCGAAGCTGCTGACCATTTCACTGCTGCTCTCAACTACAGCGCTTTATCATCAAAATCGAATATCCATCAAATTTACGAGGATTTGGTGGTGGTGCGTCAGCATGATGCATACATGATGCTTTTCATAACCGAGTCTTGTCCAGCTCTTCGGCTGGGATCTGGAGTCCTTGTGGCAAAAGGCACATCAGAAACGGTGTGATGCACTTTTTCGGGCAGGCAGACTACAAGATGCCGTCAAATCATACAGATGCATGATGGACAACATCGACGAAACAGCGAAGGCCAGCTGCCTTGAATGGTCCAACGGCAAGTCTGGAGTTCGTAATGTCGTGCAGGTTACGATTCTCATCTCCATTTCTCTCAGCTTTCAACAAAAAATGCAGCGCACTCTTTCTTACCAAAGGAGATGCTGCACTCGCTGCAGGCGATTTTGACAGGGCTATTGACCTCTACTCGACGGCGATTGACCTAACTTCTCCGTCCGACGCTGTCTTTGCAAATCGTGGTCAGGCAAAGTTGGGAAAGATGCTGTGGATGGAAGCACTTCTCGATGCGCAGAAGGTGCGATGGCATTTATTGTCCCTTCGCCTATGCTCATTGTGTTGATGGACACAGGTCATCGAACTCAACCCTTCGTCTCATATTGGATACAAGTTGAAGCACGCGGCGTTTCATGGCGCCCAACGCTATGATGAAGCTATTGCGGCCTTCGAATCGATGCTCTCAAAATTGGATGATGCTCCTGACACTGAGACACGAAGTGAGCTCCAATCCATCATACAGCAAACTACTTTAGCTGTTTCTGCAGAGTTGCGACAGCAATATCTCAGTCCATCCGAAGCGGACCGTGCTATTCGAAAGGTCATTGATGCTCAACTCGACAATGCTCCGCTGCGCGTGCTCGACACCATCACCGGTCTCTTATGCGACCGAGAGGCGCAGATACGCATCTTCAAATCGAGCATAGAGTATATGAAGCTTTTGTCATCCACAATCACGCATCGAGACATCCAAGGGAAGCGCATTGAAGAGGTGGTGATGCCATGCTTCCAATATGTCATGCTATCGCACAGGTGGGAAGGCCAGGAGCCGCTGCTGCAGGATATCCAGGGCAAGGCTGTCTACAATTTGGATCCGGTTGGCGGTATCAAGAAGTTGCAGTCCTTCTGCAAAACCGTTCGTAATTTGAGGTATCGCTGGGCATGGAGCGACACATGCTGCATCGATAAGAGCAACAATGTGGAGCTTCAAGAATCGGTCAACTCCATGTTCGTCTGGTATCGCCACTCTGTGCTCACTGTCGTATACCTCTCGGATGTTCCACTTGCGTCAAAGTCCGACGCATTAGCAAAGAGCGCCTGGAACACACGGGGATGGACGGTTCAAGAATTCCTCGCTCCCAAAGTCATTCTATTTTACCAGAAGGATTGGACTCCTTATGTCGGCGATCGCACTCCCAACCACAAGGAGTCCGTCGCCATCATGCGAGAGTTAGAGGATGCGACGGGCATAGATCGACAAGCCGTCGTGACCTTCCGTCCCGGAATGAGAGACGCCCGGAAGAAACTTCAGTGGGCGTCGACGCGCATTACCACATTGCAAGAAGACATCGCATACTCGTTATTCGGCATCTTCGGCATCACCCTACCTGTCATTTATGGCGAGAAAAAGCAGAACGCACTCGGGCGGCTCTTGCAGGAAATCATATCTCAGTCGGGCGATATTACTGCCCTAGACTGGGTAGGAAAGTCATCAGAGTTCAATAGCTGTCTGCCCGCCGACATCACTTCATACAAAGCTCCACCATGCAAACTGCCATCTCTATCCGAAGACGAGATTCATTCATCGGTCTCCTCGCTGCGAGGTGTTGTGGCTCTTGAGTCGGCTTCGAAGTTATATCAGACACTTGACTACCTGAGCGCTCCCCGTTTCGCGTACCACCGGTTGCATCTGCCTTGCATCGTATTCCCGGTGACAGAAGCCAGGCGGAGGCAAGGTCAAGACCAGAACACGTATACGTATGAACTCAAATCGGACGGGCTTCGCAACCTGCAGATCGCCACAAAAGACAAGTTCACCCCGTTCTCGCCGGCTAGACAGCCTCCTTCCTGGCAGACGATCTTGCTCGTTCGTCCATGGAGTCGCGATCTCCTCGGGCTGCATGACGCTGCAGACGATACACTGAGCGTGGACAATTTGTCCGTGTCCGAAGCTTTGTCGCACGATTCACTCCCTGCGCGAATCAGGCCTATTTATTGGGATTCTCACTCGCGAGCATTGCGATTGATCGTTCGCCTTGGACAGCCTTTTAGTGCATTTTTGCTAGCGCGGCAGCGAGACGGAGAATTCAAGAGGATCGCATCAGAACATGATATCATTGCACAGGTTAAAGACATGGCTTCTATTAGCTACTTGATAGACACCAGGACACTAGAGGTACTGTAGTTGCATGCATCCATGCATTCATTCAGCAATCTCACACCTGTTCCGGGAGAACGTTTATCGTCACGCCACCCCCAAGAGATCGATAGCCCGAGTGTTCCAAATCCACCTGCAATCACACTTGATGGGATCTAGCATGGTACGAGTGATAATCATGGATTTACACACTAATCTGTTGTGGAACGACCAGTGATGATAACGTTTGTTGGGAATTATACGGCATGGCTCAGAGGCGAATCAACGGCTAAGCAGCTGAATTCGAGCTCACCACGACCAATTTTTTCATGCCCACCACGTCGAGGTTAACACAGAATGAAAAGCCTCAGTCCGATAATCAATTTTCGTTCAATGAAGACATCAGCCGAGAGTCGAGAGCCACGGACATGCTGGAGGGCATAGCAAACATCCATTCATGGTTATTACACCAAGTTACTCACCAGCTAGTACATGTAGCGTGACTGCCTCTGAAGGCGATATTCTCTTCAATCGTCAGCAAATAGTCAATCTAAGATGCAGCGTGTTCATACACCAAGGTATGAGCGTACCCAATCTTTCTCCGTGGACTTGTATACTAAAACATCATTCTGAAGGAATGCAGATCGTATTCACTCGAACACGATTTCACAAGCACGAACAAAACACGAACTTCAAGTTTCATCATACGCCAACACAAAAATGACATGTATTCTTTGATCTTGTCCAAGGCTGCAAGTACAAATACCAGCCAATAGCAACAAGTTGCTGTCTCGTTATTTATACGATTTAATACAGTCACACCCCGTCGAGAAGCTAACAACAGCGATATGAACGGACGTGCCCGCTGCCGCCGCCATCGCGCAGGGTTTACAGACTGGAGACTTACATTTTGTGCACGGGCCGACGAGTTCCACGTAGTTTTCCTTTGCTACATTCTCTGGGGCTTCTTCGGCACAGTCGTGGCAGAGGTTCGAAGCTCTACAGCCACGACATCCCACAAGGTATGAGCATCCACGGCAAAATGGCCTGGCGCAGCGATGACAACGTAAAAAGAAGCCGCCTTTTTCTGTGCAGAGATCGCACGTCCAGGTTTCCTCGCATAGGCAGGTTGTGCCGCCCACGACACAATCAATACAGATGTCACTGTACCAACAGCGGTGTCCTGCGGCACATGGCCGCCAGCGCATGCAGAACAACGGAAATGCAGCGCAGCTGCGCGAAGGACACATGACTTTCAAACAAACCTTGCATTGGAGAAGGTCTGATCGACAAATATCACATCGATGACTGTGTCGAGGGTCTGTGCTCTGGATAAAGCCTTCTTTCATAAGGAGCTCATGATATTTCTGACGCAAACGATTTGCATTCAAACAAATAAGTCAATATTGCGAACTAGCTCTCACCTGCATTTGAACTCGTTCCCACACCTGACCTGCAGGGTAGCTCTCTGGTTCGTCTATTTCGTATTCTGTTGGATCTGGGGTAAACTGAGACCTCATAACGGCGAAATCGCAGATCTCTGTCACGGTCGGCACGAGTTCAGACGGGACGGGTATACGTGATCCTTGCGTCATATCTTCGATCTGCATAGACGGTACTATGATAGCAAAGCGAGGAGAAGTCTGGCTGGATAGACCAAAATGGATGAAAAGGCTTGATAGTACAGAAGATTCATCAGATGCTTCTGAATTTTCATAACCAAAGGTTGCGGTATGTTTTCCTTCATGGATCCCCGACGGTTCATTTTGCGGATCCAAAAGTCCGTAAATGGTTTTCATGATGCGAAATAATTTCACAATCATTGGGTGACAATAATGTTGATCAAGGTCCTCCATGGTTGGCGGGATGATTGTCCAGCTAGGCATAGTGAAGCAGAAATCGTGATTGCAAGGGGAAATGGTAATAACTATAGTAACAGTGAGAGGTGTGTGAGATGCGTTGATATGTCTTGATTTTAGGACATGTATAAGCTACAGAAAATGAAAAGAACGAGAGCAAAGAGGGTACTTACAAGATCGCGTATATATCTTGTGCGCCACTGTACAGTGTACACGCAACCAGCAACTCCAGCGTGGTTGCGATAGGATATTTAGTAATATCAGCCAGCTACAGAGGATCCAGAGTTCACGGCATCCACCACAAAAGATGACAGCTATCGCAGCGAACTCGCGAGTACTTATGCCTATGATCTAGGTGGAGGCTGGAAACAATATGATCATGAGTCCGATCAGATTATTTGACCCTGTTTGTTCCATTATCCATAGCAAGCTTGTACTTGCTCGGTCGTAATTTGTCTAGCTAAATATCATGTCCTCGAATCTGCTGAAGCTCCCGGACAACATCGAACCATTGACCGATGCAGACGAGGAGGTCAGCTTAATTCAATTATATCATGAATCAAATGTATACCGTCGCAGATCTTCCTCGTATACACAGCTCTAAACCAAAAACCACTCGACCCGACAGGACCAGATGGGTTCCACGGCCTAGGACACGTTGATTCTCGCCAGGACACCCTTTCCATCCGATTTGAACTCACCGCTCCATCACAGCCAACATCTTCGGGAGCCGCTGAATCTAAATCGGCGTCGAGATCACGGAAGGGCAAGTCTGCGAGGAAAACTCGCGGTGAAGAAACTTCACATGTCATCGAGATTGAGCTTGCGCAAGACAAAACTGCGCTGCGCAGTCGAAAAGGAGATACTGGGAGTGTCTTGTGGCGAGCGAGGTAGGATCATGCTGCGTACTTTGTTCGCTAGACAGATATCCGACGAGGTGATGGTAGCATTGCGTTCGCTCAAGTTATCCTGCAACAGCATTGCTTCCCTCCAAGCAACCCATTAGTCGATAAGGATCTGCTTCGAGAGAGTCATGTACTTGAGTTAGGGTGAGTTCCGACGTTTGTGGTTGTTGTTTTCATTAACCCTGATCGGTTGGACAGTGCAGGCACAGGTTTGCTTAGCATCGCGCTTTCTGCATGTGCAAAGAGCTACACTGCAACAGACATCGCGCCCCTTCTCCCACTTATTCGAAAAAATGTTGGTCTTAATTTCGCAGGTTGGATGCAAAATACAAAACCTTCAGAGGGGTCACCAGGATCGAATATCTCCGTGGAAGAACTAGACTGGGAAACACTGTTGTCCTTGCCGCCAACCAGGCGGTCACTCTATTACCCCAAGCCACCTGAGCCCAACGCCGAGTGGGATCTCATCCTGATCGTTGATTGTATCTACCACCCTTCGCTTCTTCCCGCACTCGTCGAGACGATTGAGACTGTCTCAACTGCAGGGAAGACGTGGGCGTTGGTGATCGTTGAACTGAGACAAGAAGATGTCGTTAGGGAGTTCCTTGAGAGATGGTTGAACAAGGAGACTTGGCGGTTGTTCAGAATGGACGGGTTTTTGGATTTGCCTTATATAGTTTGGGCTTGTCAGAAGTATGCTTGATTATCGAGCTGTTCAACGTGTTGAATGCAGTGCTTGTCGGATTATTCGGGGACAAGATTTACCTTCGGATCTAACAAGCTCCAGCCTCGGTGCCTTGCACAGCCTGAGTATGAAGTCATGAAGACCGACGATGGGCTAGGTCTTCCTAGAGGTTATGCAAAGGACTGTCACAAGATCGACGACGACGTACGTCTCCTAGCTAGTTAGAGGACTGCGTTGCCCTATGCTAGATGGGATGTAATGATGTTAAAATTGTACATTTTGTTAATTAAGTAGGCCGGGGGCCAGTTTCGTGAAGTTTTGATGACGACCAAGGCGCTGACTAAAATGTCTTGGAAAGCGGCAGCATGGCGGCATCCGCACTGCGCAGTACCCAAGCACTTTAGTGCGTTAACCGCTGTGCGAGCACACAACCACGTTCTTTCTTTCCCTGAACACTGCCTCTTTCAAATATTGTATATCGTATATTAAGTTCCCGTTTTCATCGCTTTCAAGTCACCTCGCAATGCTTTCCTCGTCGACACTCGCACTGTCTTGCCTCCTCATCGTCTCACCAAATGTTTTTGCTGCCCCAAGTTTAGTCCCGGCTGCTGGCCAGTCTATCCCCCTCGTCCGAAGAGCTCAACCTGAACGAACCGTCGCTGAATGGGAAACATGGGCCAAGAACGAACGAGAGGTTCTTACTGCCAAGTATGGGGGAAACATGGAGAAAAGGAGTACTGGAACAAATTTGTGAGAATGGGCTCCTAGCAGATCCAATTTGCCCTCGCTGATCATTGCACAGGTTAACCAACCAGAATGCGGATTCAAGGTCAGTCAGCAGTTCTCTACCGCAGATTAATTCACCGAACGCTTCCATTTGACACAGTTATTTCGGAACCGTGGCCATTGGCACTCCACCAGTCTCCTTTAATGTCATCCTCGACACCGGCTCGTCGTGAGTCATCTATTCCTGACAAAATTTCCGACTGTATTCAATATTGTCCACGAATTAGCGATCTCTGGGTTGCAGATCAAGCCTGCACCACCGGCTGCTCTAAAATCCAGCTATACGATGACCTAAGCTCATCTACTTTCCACAATCTTTCTGAGCCCTTCAACATCCAATATGGTTCTGGCGCTGCAGAAGGTACATTAGGCCAGGACATTGTCCAGATGGCTGGGTTCTCTGTTCCCAACCAGGTTTTCGCTGCTGTCACGCAAGTGACGTCGGGCCTTCTGGAGCCACCCGTGTCCGGCTTGTTGGGCTTGGGATGGCAGAGTATAGCTAGTTCGAAAGCGACGCCGTTCTGGCAGACCTTGGCAAGCTCTGGGGCTTGGTCAGATCCTGTCATGGCGTTTCAGCTCACCCGGTTCATGAATGGTTCGAACGTTAACACCGAGGAACCTGGTGGATCGTTCACTATGGGTATGTCATCTCTGCTCGGAGTCTGTTTACAAGTTGACGGACTATCGCTAGGCTTTGTCAACAGCAGTCTTTACACCGGCAGCATCGATTATCAGGCCATTCCCACGGTACCATCTTATTGGATTCTACCGATGGCATGTAAGTTCATCCGTTGCTCAGCTTTGCAAAGTTTGACACTGATTGTCCCCAAGCGTTAACCGTCCAAGGAAGCTCTATCTCCATTCCCTCCGGTTCTTCATCCTACTCCGCTATCGACACCGGGACCACTCTTATCGGCGGACCTTCCAGTGTCATCCAAAGCATCTTCGCACAAATTCCGGGTTCGCAGCCCGGCACAGGCAACTGGCAGGGCTACTACACCTACCCCTGTACCACCGCCGTCAACGTCGCCATCTCATTCGGCGGACCCAGCTGGCCCATCTCTCCCGCCGACTTCCAACTCACAAAGATCAGCTCCTCCCAATGTGTCGGCGCATTCTTTGAACTGAACACAGGTGGTACTGCGCCAAATTGGATCGTTGGCGATACTTTCCTCGTAAGCTTGCTTTTCTGCTGCTTAAACGGTCAATGTGCTCACTTGAAGTGATCGTAGAAAAATGTTTATTCAGTTTTCCGGTATAACCCTGCTGCTGTTGGTTTTGCTGCGCTCTCGAATACCGCGATTGCTATGAACGGGGTTAATGCTGCTCCTCCTTCGGCTACTATTGGTTCGGTCTCAGCTAGTGCGACAGCAGGCACGGGAGGTGGATCTAATTCTGCCTCTCACCGTTGGGGTGTTCCATGGGCACCGCTTGTGGGTGGTATTTCTATCGCTGTCGGTGCTGCGTGGATGTGAGATGCCTTGTTCTTTGGATTAATTAGGGGTGCTGGATAGATGTGGGCTTGGCCCGGGACTTTTACTGATCATATTTTTATCCACAAGGGACTCGACAGGACAATGTCACTACACTACACTATCCTACGAGTTGTATATTTAGGCCATCAGTACGATATGGATTGTTGTATATTGAATTAATATCTTAACGTTGCTTTGATGTCAATTTTAGCAGTTTGGAAACATGCAGTGGGATAGAATGGCGGGGCCAAGTGGCAGTATAGCTTCACGAATCTTCTGATGAACTAATATTATAGTTAAACCGCGTTTATTTGCATGGCTATCGACAAGAGAATCAGCCATACATGACCATCACAAGTCTCATCTTCCTAGACACCGCCTTGAGCATTCATAGCGACAAATTCTCCTTCCTCGGTATCATTGACCGGTGCGTTGTCAAGGCTGTCGAACGCGTCGCTCGTGGTGCCAGACAAGTCGCCAAAGCTGTCGGATACGCTGCTGTCCATGACAGGGCTGGAGAAGCCGGCTGTCATACCTTGGGGTATTGGTGTGTCAAACGCAGATGAGTCGGACTGTGCCAGTGTTGTCTCCGAATCCGCAAAGGAAGCTGCGTTTCCATAGGGAGGGCTTCCCGCAGTGTTGGCCGAAGTTCCATGAGGGTCCGAGTCGCTGCCGGGGGGAGTACCAGTCGACGTGGGCCCAGCTGTAGTACTTCCATGAGTCTTTGAAGGAGATGGGGCAGGTGAAGTAGTAGTCACAGGAGTCGTCGAAGGATTAGCAACAGTGGGAGAGCTAGCATTTTGATCACTGTACGCTGGAGGAGCACCTCTTGGAGTGGTTGTGTCAAGTATGCTGTCATTCTCTGCTGGATCCCCGAGAGCGTTGGATAAGTAGCTGCCTTGCTGACGAGTGAGGAGGGATGGACGATTACTGGACTTACATAAGAGTGGGAAGTCATCATCGAATGCAATCCGAAACATGACATAAAGGTAAAGATGAGCAAATAAAATAAAGAGTAGGTAGTCGGTGAAAGCGTGCTCAGAGTCTCCGGTGGGAGGGCTGGGTTCTTGTTTGCCAAGGAGGACGGGGGCGTGACGAGGGTTTGGATAAGCGACGCCTGCGATGACGCAGGAGGGTGACTAGTAGTAGGACGAGCGAATAGAATGAGCAGTATGCCTTGATGGTTAGTGAGAGACTTACTACATGTTGGTGGTGGGTGGAGAATTTAAAAGGTGCTGCGAGCACAGATGGAAGTATGAGACTGAGAGTTAAAAAGTAGCGCATTATGAAAAAATGTAGGGTAGCCAAGTCAAAGTCGGGGACCAAAGGTGATGCAGGTCGGAGAGCGCAATGAACGAGTTTTTGTATGGCTGAGCTTCAAGTGGCTGACATGGACTGGCTGACAGAATTCCCGGCGTGTAGACCCGGACGTCCAATAAATTGTACTCGGAATATAAACGATGCCAACGACGTTGTCAGACGTAAAGTATATGGAATCGGCTCGTCATTGCAAGGTGCACGCCCAAATGGTCCAGTCGGTAGTACGAAAAATAGATATTAATACAATAGAATACAACTCGACCACTACAAATAAATAAAAACCCTCTACGAACGCTCGCCACGAAGCCGCCGTGCAAGAGCAAGATCTTTGGGTTGAATAGTAACACGCTTTGCGTGGATAGCAGCCAAGTTGGTGTCCTCAAACAATGAGACGAGGTATGCTTCGGCAGCTTCTTGAAGAGCCATCACAGCCGATGATTGGAAGCGCAGGTCGGTCTGGCAAAAGCGATCAGACACAAATGAAGTTAAGACATACAACAACCAACCTTGAAGTCCTGTGCGATTTCACGAACAAGTCGTTGGAAGGGGAGCTTGCGGATGAGCAGCTCTGTTGATTTCTGGTACCGACGGATCTCACGAAGAGCGACGGTACCGGGACGGAAACGATGGGGCTTCTTGACACCACCAGTGCTCTGAGAAAGTATTGTGAGCAAGGTCCAGTAGTTCAAAAACGATACGTACTGCTTGTGCGGTTTTGCGGGCTGCAGACTTGGCTGCCAATTGCTTACGAGGGGCTTTGCCTGATAGCGAATGAGCTCGAGTGTCTTGTTGTAAACGCAGAGTGTGACTTACCACCAGTAGACTTGCGAGCGGTTTGCTTGGTACGAGCCATTGAAGTAGTTGGTGTGGAACGAACAAGTAATTGGTAATTGGGGGGGAATGAGCATATGTCACCGAATGGGGGTGACCCTATATACAGACGCGTCGCGCTGTCACGTGAAAGGTCAATCAACAAACCGGATACGGATATTCAGCACAGCCACCTCCCGGTGCTATAAAAGCAACTGTTGCTCATTTCGGCGACCCACACATTCCCGTTTTATCACACTTTACTCTTAACTCAACTGCACAATGTCTGGCCGTGGAAAAGGTGGCAAGGTAAGTTTCCTATCACACCACGTGTTCTACTTTGGATCTCATTTATTCTCAAGGGTCTCGGAAAGGGTGGTGCCAAGCGTCATCGTAAGATTCTTCGTGACAACATTCAGGGTAAGTCATTCGTCCGTACTTCAAATTCATTCATCTAACTGGCATGTTTAGGCATAACAAAGCCTGCTATTCGTCGTCTCGCCCGTCGTGGTGGTGTCAAGCGTATCTCCGGTCTCATTTACGAGGAGACCCGTGGTGTTCTCAAGATCTTCCTTGAAAATGTACGTCGACTCGATATTGACGCCGTCATCTTCTCACCTTTCTTTGTAGGTCATCCGTGACTCGGTAACATACACTGAGCATGCAAAACGGAAAACTGTCACCGCCCTTGACGTCGTTTACGCACTGAAGCGGTCAGGGCGTACTCTGTATGGTTTCGGTGCATAGACATTTCACGATTTATCCTATTATTTATACTGTATCAGTACTGTAATTTTAACTCTTTGTTCTACCTAAACCCATATTTGAAATTCCACGTGGTTCGGATCATCTGTCACTGTCACTGTCAGTTCCAAACTTATCCTTTACTCGGTCCTCCAACTTGCTGACGGTCAGTATGTCCGTGGTTTTACCGACTTTTCACGTATCTTTGGATGCTCTTTTCCCAACGAGTGACCCCGGCTACGACCTGCTATGCACTCCACCACCATGGCTATCGACCTAAATGCTGGACAGTACTTAGCTGCAGACTCGGCCTGGCGCACATTCCTACCAAATGAGACACTTACTACTATCTGTCGTGGTCTCTCACCTTCTGTTCTAGCAACTGTTGCCCGTGTATCACGCCAGTGGAGGGATGTCGCCGAATGGCTGCTATATTCAAACATCTTCATCTCAGAAACTCTCTCTGCCTCATCTTCACTCCCATACAGGCACCCTTCGTTGCTGCCAGACCATTCGTCTACATTCACATCTTGCCAACGGACTCCGCAAACTTCATATCCGATGGAAATTAGAGTATGGTGCATACTATGCGCCAGACTTCGACATCTTCCTCTCCAATCTCACACAAGCATTAAGCCTCGCAACCAACCTCCAGTCCCTAGACCTACATCTCGGCCTGCCATCTCTGTCGGAACACCCAACTTCAACTTTTCTCTCATTCCCTGCTACCGATGCCTGTTATCACTCCCTCCGACGCGTCTCTCTCAGCGGCATCGGCCCCTTTACCCACAACCGTCTCACAAATTTTCTCAACATTCTCCCCGCCGTACGACATCTCCGTCTTCCCGACTATCACGATCAGATCACCCTTATTCCTCAAGCCCTCCCATCTCTCGTATCATTTTCCGGCTCCCCACGTGTAGCCGCTGCAATTCTACCAGGAAGACCCGTACAATCCCTTGTACTCATAGGACAAGACTACATCCCTGACCTAGATCTATCCCAAATGGTCCTGACAAGCGTACCTCTTCGCCATCTGGATTTGTCATCCATGTTGGTTACCCCGACATTACTGCGAAATTTATCCAGGAACCTTAATACAGTCGAGTCGTTGAAAGTGAAGCTTGCGTTGAGACATACTTTGCATTTCGCAGGTATCGTGAGTTTACTTCTTATTGAGTTTTCTCTTGTTTTCTTTGCAGCCCCGTTTTTCCAAGACGTTTTGTTTAGGCTGAATGTCGTGTTTTCTGTCCTAGGGCTTACTAGCCGCGCTTTCACACCTTCTCGGAGCATTTCGCAATCTTTCTACGCTCGACCTCTCGCCTACGCACGTAGACTATACCGGGCTCAGTAACAGCGCAGAAGAACTCTCACTCTGTCGATCATGGCAGAATGCATGTCCTTCACTGCGACGCGTCGTCTTTCCTTCCCAAACAGAGTGGGCGTTCCGGGAAGAGGATAATACGTGGGTGTCTGTTCTCGTAGGGGAGTTGCGGAGGCGGGTGAGTGCATATTTAGGCTTTTGTGACATGCTGTTAATGTTCGATCGAATGCTGACTTCTCATTATCCCCTCGTAGCCCGCGTTCTACTCGCCAAATAAGTTCATTGGGTCCTGACCTGATATACGTAATCATGATATTCAGTATTGTTGGTTGGTTTATGATTCCCTCGTGGCAATGCACAATTTTTGGACAGCAAGGGATGCAAGGGATTTACCTGTAGGAGCCGGCTGAACTTATTTAGAGGTTACAGTTTGCTCTCCGAAAGACGTGGTGACGTCGCGGCCGAATTGCAAATCACTATATTGACTTGTCGCTTTACGAAGAACGGATGATTGCAATAAAATGATAGGGAAGTGACGAGACGTGGTGCGTGAAGCATGCTATCTATCATACAGTTTCTCCCTGTCAACACAGATTGAACAGACACCACATCAGGAAAACTATTCCGCGCAAACTCAGATACAAATTCAGATAGGTTAGCTAGGTGTCTGTGGACCCTCTTACTCCCGTGCAGTGTCCGTGGGTGCTGGCCACGCTGAGATCACTCTCCACTAAAGATGTGCTTACCGTTCGCGGAGAACATGATGCATGTCGTCGAAGACGAGTGCTGGAAGATGGCAATGACGGTTCGTCGATCAGCGAGCTGCCAGAGACGGACATGATGCAGAAGCGGCGAGCATGCTAGCAGAATTTGACGACAATGGCAGCGATATCGCGAGTGTGGCTTGTTCAGGCATCAATACAGAAAGCAGGATGGTGCCGTGCGCGATTGATCAATGCTCGTGCATCCATGACATAAAGTCTGTCATCTCTGTGGTAGCGCTCAGTAACATGCAAGATGAGGAGTACTGAATCTGCAGCAATCCGTGACGCATAACATGGTGGAAACAATACACAGATAGATAAATGAAGAGTGGAAGTTCTGTTCGTGGGTTCAATCGGCCAAGGTTGTTCGTCCTCCGAGGGTATACTTCATATCCACAGCAGCAGGGCCCAGACTGTGATCCGGGCTAGCACACCGCGACCACTGTAAGGTGTGCAACGGTCACGAACTCGAGATTATCGTGATAATACCAGTGGTGACTAGTCGACCTGCAACCAACTCGAACCTGGAACGACGATTTGAATGAAGGAGTCATGCACTGTGGGACCCACCCCTTAATCTGCCAGCGCTAGCAGTGGTTTATCAGGTACCTTTTATTATCGATACACAGACACTCACAATATTTGATTATCCTCTCGTTCTGAACATGTTCAAGCCATTCCATGCACCTGTAGGCTCGCGTCGCGTCGCAGTGGTGCTGCTGACATAAACTGATTTTGCCTACACGTGATTAGGCGCGTCGCGATCGAGTTCGTTTATTTCGTGGCAGTGCTGATTTAACTGGTATAGCAGGGTATAAATACAGCGCGCCCGCGACATACGTCTCTCATTTTCAGTCCCCGATTTACGTGCAGTACTTTCTTCACTACACATTCTCAACTTTCACTCGTCTTACAATATGATTTCCGCTATCTTCGACGGTGCTGCTCATATCACCGTCGCTGGGTGCCTCGGAGCATTCTTTTTCAAACACACTGTGGTGGATCGGACGTCCAAGGCCATCAAAGACGCGGAGAACATCACCGCAGGCCTGGTGATATCCGAATTCTGTATTTCTGTCGCGGTACTAGTTCTAGCTTCCAACGAGACCGCCCGGATACTCCTCAGTAAAGATGCGCAACCCCCTCCGAAGCACAATTTAGCCGAGCTCAACGCGCCTCTCATTTGCAACAAAGTGTCCGATTTCTCTACTGCAGCAGACTCAATTTTATCGAATCCAATCGCAACCGAACCATGTAGCACTCCGCCAATTGCATCAATCGCAACCGAACCTTGCAGCACTCCGCCAGACATAATAATTTCGCCGAATCTAATCGAAAATGACACATACTGCACTCCGCCATCTACTGCAAGTTCCACATTATGCACGCCAATACTGCCAACTTCGCCGGTCCAGAATACCAAGCGCCTCTCAATCGATTCCGACACCACCCTTGTCGACCACGATGACAACTTCGTGAAGGATTTCTTTGACGCCGACCTTCAGGAAAGCACTATCCTCCAGGTATGAAGTCGCACAGTTTACTTGTCTTTATCGCTCAATGTTTGAATTTTTATAGGACGACAGCGACTGTTCCAGTAGCGAGCTACTCCCAGGTACGAAATCACCAACGATCGATGACCCGAGTGGACCCTCTCAACGGACGCAGGTTCCTCCAATCTTGGAGGACGGACACCTGACGACAACCGACGTTTCGCTTTTCGTGGACGCTTCAACTCAAACGATCACGACGCCCTCTCTTGGCTGCATCCTGCCTCAGATTGTCTCGCCTCAGCTGAAACCCCCGGATACGAAACGGCATCAGAATTTCCGCCCGGAAAGACACAAGGTATGGACATGTTCGTCGCGAAGCCAAGTGCTGCACTCACCGTCTTTTGTTAGCGCGAATCTAGATCCACTCGCTTAGCCGCTGTCCGTGCCAGCATCGAGCGCACTCGCTCCAAGCAACAAGAACACGCTACTGCGATCAGTGAGTGATTTCCGGTGACGTCCGCTTCGTTTGTTGATTTAAAATAGATGACCTTGAACAACTGCATGACGATCTCCTCGCCGACCAAACCGCTCTTGTCGACGGCTGGGCAGCTGCCATGGCCGAGCTTGGACTCCCCTCTATGCTGTCGCCTGCACCACTGCTTCTGGATCAGAAGACGCCCGACCCAGGAAATTCGATCGAAATCATTCAAGACCGACACTTTCACACACAAAGCTACTCCCGAGGTCCCCTACGACCAAATCCCGAAGATCTGCAACGGCCTCCCTCGCTGTCCCCTACGACCTGGAGCTTCATTCCCGCGAGGTTGAAGGCCACCGCTGGCCGCGCACACACTATGTCTTCGCGCCGCCCGGTTATACCTGCAGTCTTCGACGTCGGATGTCCCCTACGACCAATCCCGACACAACCGCAACCGCAGCGGCATAGCCGCCTCCTTCTTGTCTCAGAGCACTTGGAGTTGAAGACCACCGCCCGCGGCTCCTACATACGTCTATCTCAAGTCTCTTCTCTTGTCTTCGCCATCGTGTAAATGGCTCTTGATTTGTTTCCTTGTCTTTGAATTTCTCTTACCGGTATCTACTTCGCAGATCATGGACTGCCTGTGACTTATGGACACGTCTTCCTTTTATCGATATGTACTCAGCAGATGTTGAACTGTTCATTTCTTTTGTAACTTGTAGGCACGATATGCCTTGTTTCTTTTACCATTTTTCCATGTACAATTTATCTCTTAATAATGTTTCTATATTTTCGTATATGTACGATGGCGAGTATTACATAGATATCGGTAGTTTGCAGTTTCTAATCTGAATCCGATTTTCTTCACTTGATGCGCTCTCTCTGGAGTCTGGCAGACACGCTGAATCCTGATGTCAGTCGTGAGTGCAAGTGAAAAGTGGTCGGTTTTGCACATAGGTCAATAACACGAACAAAATTTGTCAAGGAATACTGCAAGGTAGCGCCGCCCAAGCCAAATTACTGCGCCGCGGGCATAAAACATAAAACGGACAAACAACACACTCTTCCTACTATGAGGGGGCAGGTGCATCGAGAATCACAATAATAGAAATTTGCTTACATTGGTTACACAATTTGGTTACACAACTTGGCAGGTTCGGGTGTACCATTGGACTGGCGCGGCTGACAATGTGCCTGCCTCTGGCAGACGGAGGCTGGTGTGGCCTCAACCTAATGATTGTGCTACCTACGACAACGCCCGAAGGCTCTACCCCTACTGACTAAGCTACGCAAATGGTGGCAAACACCCGCCTGTGCCACCCCCCGCTGGAGGGGTACCCCACTCCACCATAACTTCGTCATGAAGTCATGTTAACAGTGGCCAGTCATAGTTCTATCGGGAGAGAACTCCAGCGAGCAGATCCAACTAGACAGAATGGACTTTGCTGGGTTCAAATTGGTCTCCAGTTTGCGGCCTCCGCGCGAGCTCTCGGTCAACATCATCCACTTGCTATTCATTGATACCGCCAATGTTGACACCCCACCGCGCATGCTCGAGCTCCTTCATCTGTCTCCAAGTCCCACAGCCTAAAGGTCTCATCGTTCAAGGCTGTGACCATTCGTCTTCTGTCCAGGAAAATTGCGATTGTCCTGACGCATTCTTCGAGTCCTTTAAAACTCTTGCAGATTCGTGGTGCTTGGAAAAGAACTTCATCAGTTTACTGGAGGTCGATGGCGTCGAGGTCGACTTTGTGGGCGTCTCTCTCTAAGCTGCAGGGGTGCGTATAGATTTATGCTGTGTCACCGGCGCACTCACCTCTCATGTGCTTCCGTACTAGACGTGCAGTGCGTTGAAGCGCCGTAGTGTGCATCCTGTTGAATATCTGAAACCAGGATGTATTTCATCCACGGTACCATATCCCTCTGGTCAACTTCTAACGTGCATGCGCTTCAAATGGCACATTGCGGCTGAAAGGTCCCACTTCTCGTTTCTCGTACCGCCACCCAGTTCTGCAATGAAGGCCTTACAAGGTTCCATCGTATCTCACCTCGCATAGTATCACTAGTACATTCTCAGCATCTCCATGAGATTGATAACGCCGTGCGGGATCGTGGATGGCATACCCGTGCGTTAAATCATCACCGACACGATCCCTCGCCGCCTCGAAGTGGATTATCGACCCAGCAGCTCTAGCCTAAAAGGAAACAAACTGCTACAGACGGCAGGGCAGACACGTAAACAAGAAACGAGGTCCAGCTTGTTCCAGAAAGTGGGAAACGAGTCGACGTCGTTCGGAAGCGCATCTACACAAGATCTACACGATGTACGAACGCATGGAAACTATGTGCTTAAGTAGGGTGACATCCAGAATACTACCATGACAATAGTGTTACTCATGGTTCTGTTCGCGAACATTCGGAGGAGTGCAGAGAGCCAATTACTGAGGTGGCGATCGAGGAAACTGTTCTGCAGGGCAAGGATGGAGATGTTGGGTCAGGGAGAGGACAAAGTGGGGTTGGGGCTTTTGCCAAAATGACATGTAAGCAACTGTTCTATTGTAAGTATCCCGATGGCATATGGAAGACTGACGACCCCATCACATCAATGCGCGGTCATTGTTGCATGTTTTCAACCATCACTACTATCCTAATCCCTCATCATGATGTTTACCACAGCACATGGTCACAGTGGTGTCTGCATCCCATAACAAATGATTGAGCGGTCGACATACAACTTGTGGCTGTGGATATTGGCGTCGATGTCTCGTGAGAAGTTGTTCATCGGTAGACAAGTCTCTCGCTATGCATGCATTGCGAGCGGTCGTGTTAATGGCGAAGATCTACGACATGGGACATGCTCAGATTGCATTGTCATAATCAGTGATGGAATCGTTGCTTTGAATCGGAGACTTCAACTTGAATCTATGACGGATTCGGAGGCGACGTTTGCTTGGACGCGTTGGAATGCGAGAAAGTTGTCTTGGACTATCTGCATGGGTAGTGAGATGTGAATAGGGAGGGATGGTGAATCAACCTTCGCTGACGTTTGACCCGCAGCTCAACTCACTCCAGTAAGCAAGCACCCTCTGATCGTTTACGAGATGCAAAAGTGTACAACATCAATGTCATGCCATTCAATCTGATCCACTGATCTCTCAAGCTAATTATAAGTCATACACAGTACTTGAAGGCTGGGTACATACATATCATCATGGTCCGAACTAGTACGCATGGATAAATAGAATCACAACCCAACGATTATATCAAACGAGTGACTAGAAATCTGTTCCAAGACCAAAGCCACAGCCAACCCAGGAGTAGATGACCCTGGCCTGCGGCAGTAAACGGGTATCGCGAGAGGGAAGGGAGAATCCACAGCAAGTTGCCTGCCCGAAGAGGGGCAGAGCCTAAGCACCCACTTCAGCTTCATCAACGAAGATGTCGGAGTAGTGGTCTAAAATTGTTTCGATCGCCTGTAAGGTATAAATCAACATAACAAAGCAGATCCAAGAGTTATCAAGACTTGATAATCACCTTGTTCTGAAAAGGAGCATCCGCCATGCCCCCGTTTCCATGACCCGAAAAACTCCCGTTACCGGGTATCATTTGACCAAAGAGAGTCTGTCCGAAAACGATGGCAAGATTTTGGATGGACATGGAATTATCTGCCTCGTACTCCGCGATCCTGTAGCACGGGGCCAATTGATTTATCAGTGGAGATACATGACGACAAGGGTGGACACACTTGTGCAGGTGCCCCAAAAAATATTTGAGTGTAGCATAGTTCGGGTCCGGTAAGTCGTTAACTCGCTCGTGTAAACGTATGTGCCGCAGGCGATCGTTCTCGATTTCTGGAACTTCTGTGAGAAGTTGCCATATTTGCATAGCATATAGGACTTACTAGCGGCTTCCACGAAGCCCTGATGCAGGGTTGATGTTAGTAGCGGATCTGGAAGCTCTCTGAACCACATCTTGAGGACGCTAGTCACATTGTTGATGTCAGATATCCACTCTTCCGAATCCAAGTTGACGGAGTCTATATCTGCGGAAATAGATAGCCGTAAGACTCCAGGGTCGAACAGAGCCGATAGATATGAACCTTTGTCTAAGCGCTCTTTCAGTGAAGCGACTTTCCGCGCCATGCCACTGATTCGATAGATGCCTTGGGATTGAAGGCCATGCTTTTCAATAGCAGTACAGCACTTTTCGAGGATCGCTGGAAGTTCAACATTGTCTCTGGCCATCTGCTCTGCAAGATCTACGCCGAATGTTGGCCGGCCCTTATCAGGTATTTGGGAGTTGTGACTACTCCCAACCGGAGCATTTGTATGAACAGAATATGCGCCACCCCCGTGGGTCGGCAGCGGAGGTAGCTGATAGTCGCATTGATGAAAATTCCAAAGAGAAAATGTGAATGACGTACAAAACCTTCTTCTGCTGGACCTTCACGTCGCGGACCACGGGGAGCGGCTCCACCACGTGCATATGCATAGTTCTGCATGTAGATCTTGAAGTCTGCTCGATTATCAATAGACTCGATCGTAGATTTCAGGCCGATGCCTATTTGATGTGTGATGAAGCGTTTAGCATTAATTTGTGACTAATGAGATCTTACCATCTTCTGGTGCTACCGGAACAAGAGTTGATCCGTCGCTTAGAACTATGCTCTCGAATAAAAATGCATATCTCGTCAAATGATATTGCGTCCCGAGGTCTATTTCGTCGGCACATTCTTTGAGAGCCTATAAGATCACATCAGCCCCATCACGACGTCACAGTTTGATTTTACTCAACACGCAGTATCCGAGGGAGCTGGAAATTGAAGTACTCTTGTCTCATTGCTTGGGTATCAGTAAGTGCCTTGCGGTATAAGTCAGATGCATTCGAGACACGGGTGCGGATGTCGTCTTCTTGTCTTTGTATCTGAAATGGCGAGTGAGGGACTGTCGTGAACAGCATAACAAATGCCAACGTTTCCAGGATTCTTCCCTTTGAGCAGAAGCCCACCTTTAGCTACTGCTTTCCCAAGTGCTCGTTTACCTGCGACTCCTCCTTGGTTCTTGGCCTGTAAACCACCGTCCTTCAGGGATTCCCCCTCCTTCTGAAGCAAGACTCGCTCAAGTTCCTCTGATGAGACTTCCAATCGATTTTTGGACTTTTCCATGTTCAACTCTGATTCTTGAAGAGCACGTTCGTAGCGACTAGCCAGCTCCTTAGTCTAGGCAACGTCAAACAATGACCTTCAAGTGGAACGATGCGAAGTACCTGTTTTCTGTTCTTGTCCACTTCCTTTGCGAGCGAGGCCAGCTCATCGCTCATCTCATTCAGCCGCTGGGCAAAACGAATCCTGTTCTCTGCCATAACTTCATGGATTTTCATGGATGACTGCCAAGCACCCACAAAAGACCTATGAATTGTGATTAGTGATACGCGAATAGTACTCGGTCCATATTTACCCAGCCTTCCCATCGTTCATAGAGTAGACTTCGGACGTAGTTCGCGCGAGCTTCTGCAAGCTCTTCCCATACTCATCCTCCAAAACCGCTCTTTTCTTGAAGAAAACTGAAGCTTCCTGCCAAGGGAACTTCATGTAATGCCTTTCTCGAAACTCGACAAATACTCACGCGACACGAGACCATACTTTGTTTAATGCGATCCAGTAGCAAAGGTACACCACACTGGGGCGGTGCCAAGACATGTCAATGAACATGGCAGATATCACCAAGTTTTAAGAGCTTACGTCCAGCTCGCACAATACTCTTAATACATTCTCATCAAAGTTGGTCTCCACAAGACTGATAGCGTCGCTCGGGATCACGGATAACGTATCCTTGCGTTCAATCGTCACCGGCACGCTATCTCGCCATCTCGAGCTGGATGATCGACCCAGCGAATCCGAGCTTGACCTGGGAGGAGGTGATGACGGTTTGACTGGTAAAGACGACAAGGCAGGAGCAGTGGCAGATTCGTGAATGAGAGACGGGCTATTGGGCTGGAATAGGCCATAGTAGGGAGTCTGGCTAGCGTTAGGATCGGGATTATCAGTTGATTCCCAAGCAGTTGAGGAGTAGCCTTCGTCGGCCATGGCCACATTCAGCGCGGGTTGTACAGGCTCGGGAAGATGGCAAGCAATTGTCAGAATTCCGTGAGCAAAGTCCTCGAATGTGTGGAATAACTATCGTGGATTATGTAACTTTTCCAGAACAGGCATGTGTCGTTCGGAGAGTGTTGGTGCAGTGCTAACTTCCCCTGAACCAGGGTTCAATAACAACGTACAAAACTATTTCATCGTGTTGAATAAACTATATCTTATGCCTCTTCGATATATACAAGTTTCGCATAGCTTGGGTAAGGATGATTGCATGACTTGGTGACCCAGGAGAATACCGTGTGCAGTACCACGAAACCAGACACCCGAACGTCAAACGAAAGGTAGGAAATTGTAGATATAAAAATTGTTCTTTAGTGGCCATTCATGATCCCCCCACAACGTGGGCAGGGGGCACTGAATTGTTCCATAATCAATCCTTGATCAGGAAGCATTCTGGTGGTCGTGAGTTCGTAGTCAGAGTTGTCAAGCAAGATGCTAACGTTTGGGAGCAAGTAGATTCACAACTGTGCATGCCCGTCTGATGCGATGGACTGAAACGACAGTCTCTTTTGCGACAATCGACCTGCACAATGATTAGTCGTCGACGGAATATGCATTGTAGTCAACACATACCACTTGTTGTCTAGTGACCGTTTGATGACTGCAGCTATACTCTGCGTACTGAATGATTTTGTAGCACATCCAAGGAGAGATTCGCAGTCGAATAATTTACTGATTGACATTGAGGGCTGGGTTATAAGTTACTTTGGGATCTATACATCACCAAATTGACCTAAACTCACCTGACCGCAAAAACCGGCGAATGTATTAATTGAGTTTCATCAGCTGTGCTCTTGGATCCACGAGTCAATGTAATCTAGTTCGCGATCGCAACTTAGCTCCACTCAGCTGCTTTGGGTTCGGCTATTGCCACCCCCAGAGCCCCGGGTCGTGGCTTTCTCCAGAAAACAGACGCAATCTACCGACGAGATCGTCTTCCGCAGCGGAGCGGATCATCGGTCACGATAAGGGGCGATATAACCACCACTTGCATTGAGGCTGTATTCGCTACTTTGGCGATCAGTGGGTGAGCGGTAGGAAGAGCACGACCCCGGAGATACTCACTAGCGGCATGCGCGCTGTCGATAAGGCCCGATCCAGGTTATATTGAACGGAATAGGGAGGCTCACAATATTGATTGAGAAGCGCTCAAGTGGGTTAGCCATGCCGCTTTCATATTACTGAGTGGTATTATTCGTCGTGTCAACCGCCTGGAAATTGATAGGTACGGGCCGAGACAAGATCTTCAAGGCTTCGCATGCTATAATCGACAATTAGGCATCCTCGTTGAAGACATACAATGTCCAACAGGAGCCAACAGGAACTCTGAATGAAACCTCAATAGCCTCAGGCAGGCTAAATGGGATCCCACGAAGGTTCTAGCGCTCTTCTACGATAGTTTATTCGGCACCGAAATTGAATGTTCCGTGGTAATGGGACGAATTTTACGCACTTTGGATATAAGAGGGAGGAAAAAATCGAGTAAATTCCAGTTGGGCGAAAAGTAAAAGGTGGAGCTCAAGTTTTGCCTAGGTATACCGAAAAACATACTCGCATCGAGCACAGTTAGCCGGCGGTACGGAAGTTCGCCTGCCAGCACATGGGCTTTTTTGAAGTTGCATTAAAGTGGTACTAACTCATAATGTCAATGAATAACAATAACTGCAAAGACGCAAAAATCAGGTGTGTCACACCGCAGCGACAAACTTGCGCTCCAAGATTTGTTTTCCCCCAGTGCCAATCATTGTGCATCTGGCAAAATACTTCGCCAGTGACAGCCGTACACCTTGGAGTGCATGGAGTGCCTCAGTTGTCCCACCAGAACCGAGCTTTGCGACCAAAACACGGAGATGCTCATCGCCGGATCCTTGATCAGTTCTCGCAATTACTTCTTCCAAATGCTGTAGCAGAACGCACGCGCCTGCGTACGGAAAGAGTAATGTGGCGTCTAGCAAAATAATTAGGCACCCGACACGCGTATATGGACTCTTTCCGTACCATGTTGCAAAAGTTGCTGGGAATCGCACAGTAGAACTGCCCACCACGATTTTGGAGAAAGCCCGTCTTGGAACATTGATACAAGATCCCAAGCAGCATCTTGCAGATCCTGATTACCCAGGCGCTGATGAAATTCAGCGTAACGAACCGCAAACATCAAGCGGTGGACGAATATGCCCTGTGCACCGGACTGCATTCGAAGTGCCTGGAGTGACGGTGCAATGCCAGCCACGTAACGGATGAATTGTGCCGGCCCTGATGGTATTTCGTTTAACACCAAGCAAGAAGATTGAAGTTATTCATACCTGCATTGATATACTCTTGTAAAACGCGATCAACCACGCGACCTAGTCCAGGCCAATCCTCCGCCGAAGAAGAATACGAAAGTGCGAGTCCGTATTCCTTTTCTTGTACAAAGGTCTGAGCGGCTATCTGTGTGAAAAACACGGTGAAACATAGTTGGTGTAAATTAGAGATGATGCATACGCGACAAATAGTTCGTCGAACTTCCTCGCGCTGATATTCATAGCACGTCGCATTGATGTCTTTTACCACACCCGCAAGATCTCCAGACTTTAAGTTATCCGCGCCGTTTTGCTCCCCTTGGCCATGGGTAATTGATCCGACGGAGCGCAACTTGAGCGGAACGTGCATTAACACTTCATCGGCACTTCTGACGCCAGTTTCTCCACAAGAAAACATGTATGCCACAGTAATTCTCCAAAGCGCAGGATCAGCGTGAAGATACTGTGCATAACCGAGCACATAAAAATCTCTGACATTGAGACCTGAGCTGCAGAAGGTATAAGCACTGTTATCCCCAATAAAAGACCTTAACATACTCCTCATTTGCATCTTTTTCGATTAAAGATAATGCTTGCATTAAATCTGCCATATGCGCAGCAAGCCAGGGGTCGAGTTGGGCCGCATGGGACAATGCTTTGGCAGGGTCACCGCTGAACAGCGCTGCATGTACCATATCCTCCAAATTCGTCGGATCTTGGGGCATATCATCAAGGACCTGAGAGGCGACCTCACTTTTAAGGATGTCAGCATAAACTTGGTCTTGAAAGAGAGTAACATACGGTAAATCCTGTCTTCGTAGCCTTGCATCAGCAAATACGCCCCACGAGACAGAAATTTCTCTCCAGTCTGCGCCAAGATCTTCGCAGACCCGACGAATGACTTCGTTACGTCCTTCTAGTATACCAACGATGTCACTCAACCGATCCCACCAATTCTCGATCCCATCATGCCGATCAGATTCAGAGACACTGTCTAGTTCAATTCGCAGAGCTTTCACCTTATCCTTCCATCGGTGAGAAGCATATGCAAAATCACGCTCCGCCTCAAAAGACTGAAGGTGAGGCTGAGATTGAATCAATGGGGACAACCGTTGAGCGAGCCGGCGAAGGTTGTCGGAGGGGTGAGTTGATAGTGTTGCGAGGAAGAAGGCTGCGGCTTTGGAAAGACCCCTCAAAGTCACCCTGTACGATGTTAGCTTGTTGAGTATCATGAAAATAGGATCCTACCTGACAAGATACGGCCAGAATGTCTCGTCTTCCCAAGGGCGATCTAGACCCGATAGGTGATCGCCCTCCTCCGTGGAAGGTTCAATGAAGTGGACATTCAACCACTCCATTAAATCGTCACCTACTGGTGCGTCTTCGTACCCGTACTCGGGTACGTATAAAACAGCAAATAGGGCGAGACACGTGTATAAGCTGCGATAATGATCACCGGAAAATTGGGAGGCGCCCTGAGACTGAACAGACGTTTGCTATCTTCCGATCAATACCTCATGGTGAGACAACATGCAAATACTCACCGAGGTGTGTATCCAGCACTCTCTGGTGAAATTGACATAATCCAGGGTTAGCTTTCTGATCACATCATGAGTTTCTTGACTGTGTAACCTAATGTGGCATGGGATTAGTGTATATGACAAATAAGTCATTAATCCTAGTACCATTCTTGTCCTCGGCTTTGAGCCGTGTTGGTCAAGTTTTGTAGCGCAGCAAATATTATGGACGTATCTCCGATGAACTATCCAAACATGAACGTGTGCGATATAGTATAGACTGTACGGACACACCAATCGTCTTTCAGATGATGGCGAAGTTTCACTGCTCGCGAAGAATATGGGCTGCTCTTCCACACCGCTGGCTTTTATGCTCGGGGCATCTTTCTAACACAAATTATGAATTGGTATTTCATTGCAGCAATTTGACGGCGTGAAACCTACTCGGGCAGATGGAAATACAGCGTACGACTGGTTCAAAGGTGACTGAGTAGATAAAAGTGTCCTTCCCGACTGGATGAACTGTTCGGCGTGTCCAACTTGAATAAGAGGAGGAAAGAGGTTCAGGTGGTGATCGATGGAGCTCATCGGATTTTGACGAGTGACACTTGCAAATAAGTATATAAGAGTTCCCTGCTCTTCTGCACTATTACGTGTGAATATGGAGCGAGTCCGGGACGATCTAGTGACTTGGAAGTTCGAGGGTGGTTGGTCTCAGTTGGTTGGACTTCGATGATATTGATTACATGAGCTCCCTCATTCGGATTAGGACAACTAATATTATCATATAAACATTAGGTCAAATAAACACAAATATCAGCTAGGTGGGGCTAATAGGCAAATATCTACCGCAGAAAATGGAAACACAATTGACAGCGCGTGCTGCATTCGGCACTCTAAACTTAAGAAACAAAAGAGTGTCGAAGGAAGGGTTGATGCATCAATGCATTGATCAGGCGTGGCGCTGATCTCGCAGACTGCTGATCACAGGCTTCCAAAAATGATTTATTCCTTTAATTTTGATCCTATGTGGATGGCTTTGCATAGGTAAAATAATCAGTATTTCAGCCTTTTCAGAATCATGGGAAATTGACTGTATTTTTAATTTAACCGTAAGTTGATTCAATAGATTCTTATAGTCGGAATAAACTCATCGTCTTGTGAATAATACGATGCACACTATAGGTGACGGAGAAGCGCTGGTAGCAGCACTTGCAAGGCTAGTGGCAGGAACGAGAAGACGGATAAAAGGTTTGCAGGCTTTTTTGCAGCTGCACCGCGAAAGAGATTACGTCAGAGCGTGCTAGCTAAAAATGAAAGGAAGGTCGCTTATGTAAAAGTAAAACAATTCTAGAAAATCTAAAGCACGAAAATAGATTAAGGTTTATAAGAGGGGTACAAAATATGTTGAATTGCAAATGCGAGACTTGTCTCCCACAAAAATAATATTTATTATATTACCAGCCTACGGAAAGTAGTAATAGGAGAGGCCCCTAAAGCGGAAGCTTAAACTTAAGGTTCACTGACATATGTAATATAATATTGTTAGCATAAACTCAGCTCATTAATTAACTGCTAAAAATTTCAGGCAGCGTCTTATTACGAATACCCAACAGTTTCGTCATTCAATGACGGTCTCGACCTCCCCTCGATAAACTTACAGCTTATGCCTGAGCGCAATGCACTAGATCAGCATACATCATCCCCCCAGTACTAGCATGCGTTAAATTGATATGGCACTGGCCGCAGCCTGCATGACATCGACATTTTATTAGGCACATCAAGCTAAAGCGTTTTGCAGGAGGGCGCGTTACGACGACCTAATGCAGCTTGGGCCTTTTCAATCGGCGTTTATTCGAAGGTATACCCACACCCTTGATGTCGTGCTCATTTCCGCGAGCATCTACGGCCACCTTAATCCGAGCTCGGAATTTTTCCGTGGTGTTGGTTCAGCGGTAACCTGACACATCCTGGTTCTCGAAACCTTAGGATAAAAAGATAAGGCCAAGGAAAGAAAATTCAAGGTGAGTATGGTTGTCTAATTCCTTTTTTTGAAAGAGATGAGAGTACCTTTCGTGGACGGGGCACAGTAGCTTTCAAGACCGCTACTGAGACTGACGCATTCACGGCAGTTTAACCTGGTGTTGCTCCCCGTTTACAGAAAGGCCGCGGTACAACGCCATATATCTCAGGACGTAATTAGCGAGTTACGTGCCGTGATACCCAAAGTTTGAGAAACCTGTGCGATAGCACCGATGGTCGATGTTACCACATTGGGCAAAGGGCTTCATCTTTCCTTCAATCTCGATTGACCCAGTTTCAGCCCTCCAGCTCAGGAGGGCCAAGGTTTTGGCAAAGTGATGGCACCCTGTACATCCGTGAGAGTGGCCCTGTGGCCACCTCATGTAGATGGCTGATTGAAGACCCAATGCTATCTATCGAAGCTTCTCGACAGATCAGAACATCGAGGCATATTCTTGCCTTCGTTTTCGGGCATTCCATTTTAGCAGTTCCACGGTGATCGCAGATAGGCAAGCTACGAACCGGTTTGTATGACATCCAGCCTGATCGTAGACTCCGTGATCAGCTTGAAATGCTCATGAGGCTCTCGTTGAATATCCAATCGTATCTGTGGTTTTTTGTGAATCGATGTTTTTCTCCATACAATATTTAGGGACCATGGACGGTTTAAGAGAGAAGCTGAGGGGATTGTTTTAGTGGCCGCAGCTCTTAAGTTCTAGACTTACTAGAGCGCCATTTCTCAACCATACTTTTCTGTTCTTGATTTTTTCACAACAGAGGCACCAGCCATCAGGAGCGGAACTAACGGTCCATAAAACATATAGATCGTGAGTTGACAGGGCTAAGTCGTCAGCGTGTTGAGGTCCGAGCTTGCAGTTCAGTGGCGTGAATGAGCGTTTTGATCTCCGAGGTGGAGCCATTGGCGCAAAAATCAGGTGACATTCCCCTTGTTTCCACTGATCACCTGTGCTGTGCCTCGAGTCCTGGGCATGCCATCGTCCTATGGTAGTACACATAATTCAGTAGCGATTATTGGACAAATATCCCTTTCATAGGTTATTTGGCATGTCTGATTCCCTTCGCGACGAAAAATAATTTTAGCCTGAAGCAACGTCCACGTACCACATTCGACCGGTCCATATCTTGCACGACCCACTGACATGACTTCACGACCAGGAAAAAATCTCCTGATCCAGAAAAAAAAAGGTCATAATACGACCTTGCCGCAGAGGATGAAGAAATATCACAAGGGCTGCCGCTACTCGCTTACACGAAACATACCTGTGTTGGCACGTGGAACGTTAGGCACATCACCGCACTGGCCACCGCTTGCGTTTGGAATGTGTTGATCCAATTGTCTATCTCGCCTTCAATGTCAAGCCAGTCATACTTATTTCACAGGACGACGAGTTGCACTCAATACGATTTGGTACGGTGTTTAGGGAATGGGGAGCAGGTCATCCTAGTTTGTCTGATGCGGCCCCCAGATTGGTGAGCAGAATCTGATTGGCTTTGAAGTTTCTGCGGTACCGAAGGATTATATCCAGTCATCCGAGAATAGGAACACACCAGTACGCCATCTACACGCCTCATCGTCTACATTCGTCCTGAGATGCAGCTGGCATAGAAGGCACTCCAACCAGGGTACCGATTCCTTGAACATCACCGCTCATGTCACTCCGGTGCGCCGATGGCAGAGAAAAGGCACGCTCCGCACTTAAGGAATCGGTACATCATGTACGCAATGGCAAGCTCTTACCTTCGAATGTACAACGCTCATCGTCCTGAGGATTACAGGTCACAGAAGTCGAGGTTGCTGGGGAAAGGGCGGTTCCGTTCCGCTAGTTGAGACGAATCATGTCGTCTCACTATTGGGTGCGGGTCGTAACAAGACTGGCCATACCGACACCGCAAGGCACGTGAGGCATCAAAAGATTGGAATGTTGCATTCCCAATGAGTCCAGCCGATGGTCCTAAAAGTGGGATAGTAAGTTTTGCGGCTGTGTTTGGACTCCCGGTAGGTCAATAGTTACATGTTCCACATTGTCGTTGTCATCTAAAACATATATCCAGCCAAAGTGACTTCATTGGAGTCAAATGACATCAAGTATTAAATCCTCCGATACCTCTGACACTACTCGATACATCAAAGCATCGGAGACGAACTTTCCAACCTGCAGTAATGGAAAGTAACAGCGTCTCCTGCGAAACCGAATTTCATACCATGCAGTACCGTGACTTTACTGCTATATATGATTGTTATCTCACATTCATGACGCGTGTCGTTTCCCCTTGCAACGTAGCATATAGGCTGCCTGGTTCCTTGGGGTAGCATGCAAATCGGGTTTGGTCTTCCTCCTCTCGATATCAGGGCAAATCAGCGCCACAGAGACGGCAACTCCAGTGAAGTTTCGTTCAGCTCACCAGCGTTATCCGGTTTTATCTTTGATGAGCTGCCCTCTGTGCCGCCACTTTCGGCGCCCGCGTTGGCCAGTAACGTACGGTCTCGAGAGTACTCGGGTATTGGATCGAGGAACGTGCTGGAAAGACATCGCGATGCATCATACATGGTGGACTTGGTGAAGTGAACTTCACATTCATGACCCGCTGAAATTGAGCTCCACCAGTCAGGAACTCCCATTTCACTGGAGAAGATTAACTCACTCCGATTCTGTGAATTTCTATCTCCGCGACCCGCTGCAAGATGCTGGACATTCTTCTACCAGATGCGTATCCCCAACTTGGCGGAAGTTTGTTTAGAGACCTTTAATGGCGATCCATTGTTTTACAGCACATGTGAACCACATTCGGACACGACGCCAAAGTCTAGGTGCGTGAAAAAAAAAAGAACGGCCCACTGGCTAACATGCCACAACATTCTTTTAATCATCTATGTACCCTGACGCTCCCACCAACATCACATTCATGCATACGAACCAAGTTTCCTGTCACCGCTATCAAGGACATAGTTCAGGGACCTAGGACCTGTGACCAGTGGATTTTTGTCGCGGACCCCCAGTCTGTTCCGGTTAGCCAGGCCCAACGCATGTTCTTTGTCAGTCGACTTTTCTCTTTTTGTTGTTTTCGACTCCAATCTATGCCCATTAGGGCATTGTACGCAACGTTGGACAGTACGACCTTTCTCTTACCATCATGTCTCGAGTCAAAGATCCAATCCTCTAATTTTCCACTCGTGACCCTTTCTTCAGCTCGGTCGAGGATCCTGGATCAATATTTAGTCCGGGTTCTTTGAGTAAATGGTCATTCGTAGAGGTTATTCGGGATGGGGAGCCGGCGTTCTTAGGAAAATCATGGATTTCCTATTTGTAGGATTCGTCGTCAGCAGCCGCGTCTCCAGAGATTGCACGCTAGCGAATTGAAGGAGTAATTTGGGAGCATCATGGATTTTTTTTCGGTCTGATTGGTAAGCCCACATTTATCTCTTATATATTGTATGGCAGCGCTGTAGTAGCGTCCAGATTACCAGCGCAGCATGGTGTGGCACACGGACATGTGATGCACATGGGTCGTTTGAAGAGCAGATGGTTGGAGCACGAGTATCATCGTAGTTCGCTTTCTGTTGTTTCGCTCCTTCCCCAATTCATCCGTGGAGCGGATTGATGTTGATGACAGGCATGACAAACCAGTTCCCTCATCGAGAATAAAGTACTGGCTTGCACAAGCTAAATTGCGCCCTGTGTAGACCTAGAACCCTCTAGTCACTCGCTGACTCACCAATATCACTCGGTGACGTACTAGGACTGACGACGCTCAAAGCTTATGACAATGCTGGGCTAGAATGTGGAGTCAAAAATTGACTGGAGCTGCGAACGAAGAAGGGGAGAGCGAATCACTTTGCCCTGCATACCCTCCATCACGACATACGGCAGCGCCATCGACGAACACCAGTAAGGTCCTGGATTGTGCTGTATCTAGGCTGAAGTGCAACTCACCGTACAAGCCACCTAGCGTGCCATCTGAAAAGAGCTGAGCGCCCGAAGCATTTTTGTCCTGCGTTACCGCAAGAGGCTGTAACACGGCTCGGCGACGTGTCCCCTTCCCAAGCCAAGCAGTGGTCTTCACAATCGATAGCGCGAACCAAGCACCAACTCCATAGTTACGTTTTCAGGCGCAAGGCCACCCAAATTAAAGCCTTGTGCCAACGTGCATACACTCACCCCTTTACGCTTTCACTCCTCAAGGAAATCCATACTAACCGAAGCACTAGCCGCTTAACGTCACGTATGCACCGAACTTTATGTGCACCATGCCCAGCTTTTACTGCTGTGTGTACTATGTCTCTAGGCATAGGTAGCAAGGCGAGGCAGCCCTTGGCATCGCTATTTTCGGAATATTTTGCTGCGCAACAGTTGTGTTATAACCAACGCGTTTTCCACGATGACGTATCTTACTGGGCCGTTCTAATTTGCCAACTGGTATGACTGCGCCACAAGCTCGTCTACAATCAAATGTATTGACGTTTGGTTCAGGGTCAAACGTAATATGAGCCTCGCCGAAAGCATTGACACAACGCGATTGATATATACAACCGTCACGCTGGATGAGAAGACGCAATATCAATCACTTACTTCCTTAACGGTTCTCTTCCTGATGCATTATGGCTGCTGTCGTTAATATCAGGTGTGTGAGTGTGTCGCGAATGCAGGCTGCCAGAAGGCATCATTACGCCTGGTACTCATTTTGATCGGCAGTGCTTACACGTTCCGTGTTCGGGTATCAACCTCGTTCAGGACATTCACCGCTTTCTAGCCTTATGCGACGAATGCACGACCCGCCACAGTGCCTTTATAACCAGACATTCGAGTCTATGCTTGAATCATCCCCCACCATCCACGTCGAGTGGTACCCTCAGGATGGCTGATCCGGAGTCCGACAAGCATAGGGCTCATCTCGGGCTGTGCGGAAGTGCGAATACCGTTTTACCAATGAAAAGTGAAATGTTATCGTGTCTGTCATCGAGGTGTCTTCATCATAACCCCAACGAAGCGGCCACCAAGCTCCATGGGCCAGGTGGCTCGTGCCAGAGTGACCCTGGTATGCTCAATGCGGTGCATGAGATTGCACAGCACAAGCCACAGGTGGATAGTCACGTCCCAGAGATGATATGGCTCCATCAAGTTGAAGAGACATGCACAGCAAAACTCAGAAGAAGGCTAGAGATTGACGACCCTGTACGATGCAAACGCATCTTGAACATCCACGTATCTTGGAAATTTCAGCCGATCACGAATCTGAGCAAGAAAGAGTTTAATCGCGTATGGTGGATGGTGATAATCTGTAGGTGTCCTCCCTTATTGCGCTCATCATTGTCTATTGACCACGAAAACAGACCATCGTATCCTCTGGATTAGCGGCGTTCGTCAGTATGACGTTAACCCGAGTAATCTCATGGTTTACCGGACCCCGAGCGATTTAGTGATGGGCGCCTTCAACGACTGCGACTTGTCATCGCCTGAAAATGGGTCCGGCAGCCACGAGCGCACAGGAATGATACCATTCATGGCGATGGACCTTCTCACAAAGAACACCATCGAGGACAAAGCGGAAGCCCTCGTACCCGCACATTGCTGAATCATTCATCTGGGTCCTCATCTTGGTCTGTCTTCAGTATGAGGACGGAAAGCTCCTGAACAAGGACAGACCACTGCATTGCCGGCTCACAGGGGATGCTGTTGGTTGCCAGAAGATTAAACGCGACTGCTTAGAGTTGGCAATGGAAACCCGAACAAGAACCCCTCCGCCGCACCATTTTGTCTTGGAGTTCGATCTATTTCTCCTTACCTTTATCGCCTCATGTTATGTGAAGGGTGGCGAATTCGTATGGGAAGATATGTTTCGTCAATGGTTCGACGCGCAGCTACCATCATCAATACGATATATTGTCCACTCGCCAATAAGCTCGAAATAGATATCCCCTTAACCCCGCACCCTTCGAATGTACGCGCTACGTGGCACTACTCCATGACCCTCTAAATTATGGTTTGTATCCATCTGATAGTATGCCATAGCCTGTTGGTGACAGGTGTAGTTACCATATTGTGTTGTCTTACTGTTAGAGCGAAGACTGAATTATTGGTGGACCAATTAGAGACGTCCTCTGCCTCATCTCCATCCTCGCGCAGCAGATCACGCTGCATACTATCGTACTGTGAGCTAGACATCCTCTTCAATTTGTCACTGACGAGGTACAATACGTGTCCACTATCTCGGCAGAATCGGCCGCAGCTTTACGCACACCCATCTCACTCAGTTTCTCAACATTCTCCCCGCCGCACGACATATTTGTCCTCCCGGCTATTCATGATCGGAAGGCCTTCTTCCTCGTCCTCTCCCACTAACTTCCTGCACACTGCCGCTTAAAACTTACGGTATACCCTAACTTGATTCTTACAACTCATACATAGGACAGACTTATGTTAGCAAATGCGGATGTGACTAGGTCTATCCCGAACAAGTGTTCCCCTCCGCTATCTGGAATCTGGATATCTTCCATGTTGGTATTCCCTGATGTGGCTGCAAAATACAGAATATTAAAATACGGACCATTTGTTGAACGTTGAAGGCACGTACTATTCTACAATGTACGCGGCATAACCGCATGTTGTCCATGACGTCATGCTGTGTCGTCTCTTTTTCGGCTCTATCCGTTTTTTTGCATTGTTGCTCTTCCTTGCTCACCACTATGGCGACCTCTGCTTGGTGTTGTTGGTCTTCAAGCTCAAGAACGGAAGCAGATATCAGATTGACAAAAAGAATTACTGGCGTTATGACGCTTTCATCGCGACTCCAGAACTGGGAGATGTTCGAATCAACCATCAGTGAATTGATGAGTCCTTGATATTGTAGCCGTGGGAAGTATAACATGATTTAATTCTGCTACCGCCAGATATTAGCTTGTATATTGCGAGCAATTTGAGGTGCACATACAATGTCATACATACCCATGTATGCTTATAAATCCAGCTTAGCATTAATGATTTATGACAATGCTGGGACATTCCGCCTCTGCAGCCAATGAGTAGTCTGCTGGAAATATCTACCAAGTCCAACATTTGTATATGTTTGTTCACGTGACGGTGCGCTCACAAAAGTTCAACTTTTCTTCCCTCGCTGCTTTCCCTTGCTCATTAACATTGCTCTCACTCGCTCTCACTCATCGCTACTCTCACTTGCTGCTTTTGGCCGATGATGATGGTGCGATGACGACGACGGACGATACAACGACGACACGACGATGACACGACGATGACGATACAACGACGACGATGACATGACGACGACGACGACGACGATAACACGACGACGACGACACGACGACGACGATACAACGGTGACACGACGCGACGACGACGATGCGACGACGACACAACGATGATGACACAACGACAACACGACGATGATACGACACAACCACGACGATGCGACGATGACACAACAACGACGCGACGACAATACAACGACGCAATGACAACAACGACATATCTCTCGCTTGCTCTCATCATCTGAACCTACTGAGACTCGTTCCTTGATATATCAAGGGTATGGTAGATTTGAATGATAGATATATAGATGTTCTGTCAGATTCAAAATTTAATGGAATTGAAAAAGCTGCCCGAAAATACCGTGCTAGTATTGTCGTGAATTGAGATCCTAATTACGAAAATTTGAAAGGAATTAAAATAATTGGACAGATTGCCAAATCATCAAATTCTTGCAGATTTGTGCAAGTTGGATCGCATTTCATCCAATTTAAGAAGGAGGTTTTTCCTGAGTAGCTTTGACATCGGAAGCAGATATAAGAAAATGAAGAACGCTTCTTTCCTCTATAAGGTCAAACATGATAATGTAACGATCGATGGCAGAATTATGCTGATGTGTGCGATTGTGTACTATATATTGTGATATATGGCCTTCTACTTTCTTCACCGGTTCACTGATGCACGTATGGTGCGAATATCGCGTCTGCGGAAGACGGAATCTATCTATTGGATGCACGGACCACTATTGGTCCTATTATTGACGATGAAGGAGCGTTATCGAGAGTAAGAACGCGAAGAGACACGTTGTGCTTATTTTCAGAGGCGAATGAAGAACAAGACTGTGAATATTGTATTTCCTGACTTGCTACTGTAAATACTTACATTAATGAATGACACCTACGCCTTAGTAACTCCATGAACACAGAATGATTAATGTTAATGAGGGCCGGCAGCCGACCGAAGGCGAGTACTTCATTGTATAGTATGATACACACAAAGTATCCATAAAAATCACTTAGATGCATATACAGTATTTCTATCGTCTCGAACAGAAGCCACATTTTTGAGCTGCGCAATGATATCACAATCTGACGTGACCCTCTTGTATTCTCCGCCGCACTAGCAAATGTGCGCCGAAAGGCTGCCCAGGCGACCAAGGGTTGAACCGCAATACTCGCGGTTCTACATCATCCACCTCCTGTCTTGCAAGGGAACGGCTAGGTGAGTCCTCTGACGCAGAAGTCCAATAATCCCCCTCGTTCTCCGTATCGTCCCCAACGTCGGGCAGATCTGCATTGAAGTCAGGTAACTCTGATCCCAGGGACTTTGCCCGTTGAGCCTAGGAGATGTGCGGGCATGCATGACAGGTGGAGTTCAAACACCATCGTACGACCAGTTTACCAATTTGCCAAGTGACTGGGTATTTCATGGAAGCATTGCGTCAAAAACCGAAGTGGCATAACTCCGTATGTTGCAAGTACTATATCAAAAGGCTTACGTGGTTGGAAACGATGTTTGAAGTGCGCTGCATTCCACTAAGTTTCAAACGTCTTCCATCTCGGATCCATAAGATAAGGAAATGATTATAATGATACATATACAATACAACAAGCTGCGATGAAGTCCTCAAGCATCTATGCCCCGAAACCGTACAGAGTCCGCCCTGAGCGCTTCAGAGCGTAAACAACATCAAGGGCCGTGACAGTTTTCCGCTTTGCGTGCTCAGTGTATGTTACCGAATCACGGATGACCTACAAGAAACCATCAGTATGAATACTTGAATTCAACGAGCACATGCACGCACGTTTTCAAGGAAGATCTTAAGGACACCACGGGTCTCCTCATAGATAAGACCAGAGATACGCTTGACACCGCCACGACGGGCAAGACGACGGATAGCAGGCTTTGTTATACCTAGGTACACCGGTTAAACAAAAAGACAAGACCAATAATTGCCAAATGACTCACCCTGAATGTTGTCACGAAGAATCTTGCGATGACGCTTGGCACCGCCCTTTCCGAGACCCTTCAAGATATGTCAGACCGGAACAAAAAAAACTGACTCTGGGGCTCACCTTGCCACCCTTTCCACGGCCAGACATTGTATTGAGTTGAAAGTAAAGTGTTGTGAAGTGTGTGAGTTTACTGGTGCTGTGACGCGGAAGATACAGGAGTAGCACAATCAATTGCGAACTGTTATATACCGAGGCGCGTGGCTGTGTTGAATTACTACATCTGGAATGTTGATTGGAACACGTGATGTGACGCGACGCGTCTGTATATATGCCACGGCAGAGGCATATGCCCTTTCCCATACCAACATCCACATATCCGATTCTTTGTGCAATTATCCTTTCTCATTAAACAATGGCTCGCACTAAGCAAACCGCTCGCAAGTCTACTGGTGGTAAGTCACACTTTGGGTCTACAACATAGGACTCGAGCTCATTAGCTACCAGGCAAAGCCCCTCGTAAGCAATTGGCCGCCAAGTCTGCTGCCCGCAAGACTGCACAAGCAGTGTGTACAATCTTTTAAGCATTTGGAGTCTTCTCACAATAGTGTTCAGAGCACTGGTGGTGTCAAGAAGCCCCATCGTTTCCGTCCCGGTACCGTCGCTCTTCGTGAGATCCGTCGGTACCAGAAATCAACAGAGCTGCTCATCCGCAAGCTCCCATTCCAACGACTTGTTCGTGAAATCGCACAGGATTTCAAGGTTAGTTATGTCGTATATTTTAACTGCATTCGTGTCTGATCGTTTTGGCCAGACTGACCTGCGCTTCCAATCATCGGCTGTGATGGCTCTTCAAGAAGCTGCTGAAGCATACCTCGTCTCATTGTTCGAGGACACCAACTTGGCTGCTATCCACGCAAAGCGTGTTACTATTCAACCCAAAGATCTTGCTCTTGCACGGCGGTTACGTGGGGAGCGTTCATAGACCTGACATCTTGTTATTCGTATTTGTGGTGTACCTTATTGTATTTCTATATATTTTACCTTTGGCATCCCCATGTGTGCTTATTTTCAGCGTGACTAGCAACGTTGGCCTTTGAAGATCTGATATTTAATGCGTCTCATCTGAAGATAGAGTCCGACAAGGTCACGCTGGTGTGTTGAACCTGAACAAGTATATCAACTTAGATGCTTAAACTATGTACCGAAGTACATTCATCTGAAAGGGATTGGTGGAGAAGTCCACATTTTTTTCGGACAATGGAAGATACAGTCATGAAGATAAAAGACATCCACACGAGACACAATGAGACTCCGTGGACCCTTGAACAAGACTCCACACGTGACCACGCGACGCGATCCTATAAAGCAGTCTCACTTCAAAGACATTGTGCCCCAACCAAGCGAGATCTAAACTCTTGATCAACACTCTACTTCTCCTATCAATGGCCCGCACCAAGCAAACTGCCCGCAAAAGCACAGGCGGTAAGTCGCCGTAACCTTTCCGGTTCACTGCCACCTATGCTCATTCACAACCAGGTAAGGCTCCTCGAAAGCAGCTCGCAGTGAAATCGGGACAAAAGGCTCCCATGCGTGCACACGCGGTATGTTGTACATTTCTTTCCAAACCCATTTAACCTTCCCTCAGGCAACCGGAGGTGTCAAGAAGCCACATCGTTTCCGTCCTGGCACGGTAGCCCTTCGCGAAATTCGCCGCTACCAAAAGTCGACGGAGCTGCTCATCCGCAAACTTCCCTTCCAACGCCTTGTCCGCGAAATTGCACAAGACTTTAAGGTCAGGATTTACGATAATGGAATCACATTGAATTCATTTGACATTCATGTCACAGACCGACCTCCGGTTCCAATCATCGGCCGTAATGGCCTTGCAAGAAGCGGCTGAGGCGTACCTTGTATCGCTGTTTGAGGACACCAACTTGGCTGCTATCCATGCCAAACGTGTGACTATTCAACCGAAGGACCTTGCTCTTGCTAGGCGGCTGCGCGGCGAACGTTCGTAGAAGTTTTATTAAACACCCATCAATCCTCTTTCCTGCAGCACGGTTTGCTATATCTGTTTGTTCTTAACTTCGTATTTGAGAGTTTGGCTTAAAGTTTGTATTATTTCCTATAATGAGCAGCAGAAATTAGACCTATCTTCTTGCTCTTGTGTGACCCGACTCGAATTGTGTATGTTTTCCAGACGTGCAATTGCCAGCCTTTCAGGCAACATATCATGTCATCTATAAAGTGGCAGTTCTGACTCCACCTAAAGTCGTGATCATCACGCACCACTGGACAGCAGGTAGACAATCATTAATAGCTCCCGCGAAGCAAATTGCGCGCGAGTACCGGCGATGAGCAGCTTCAGGCACTGGAGCAAACTCTTTGATCAGTGCAATCAAGCTCGTTACCAGCCAGCACACATGCAGTGTTGTCCACTTTGTCCAATTCGTCCATGCTAAACGTCGGCCAATAAACTCCCTCCCCCTTCCAATGCCACGTTCGTCAGGGCTTCAAGCTTCGAGGTCAAGGCATGTTAAATCGGGCCCTACTGAATTCGCCTGACAAGTTTCTGTTGCAGATGGCTCTCTGGGTTCCATTCTGACCGTAACTTGGCTGTGATCCATGCTAAGCGTGTGACTGAATATTCAACTTGCGCGGCGACTGTGTGGCGAACGTTCGTAGAGGAATCTCATATTCGTTAATCTGAAGTATAATATTGAGATTCTCACACGAGAACGCACTTGCTGACTAAGTCACAAAGCTATCCTTCTCTTCCGAAGTCCGATACAAGCACACTGACCTCTTCCCTACCTTTGTTGTAACTCGTGTGTGGTACATGACTTGCATATGAAACTCATGCTTCGCCCTGAATGGAGGCTTTGGCCGATCTCCACTTTTCTTGGTGTTACTGACCTCAAAACTGGCGTCACTGTTGTCCTATTGTTTGCAGTAAGCATCGTGGTCTTTTCCTTCGACCAATGTCGCGAATATAACTTACCTCGCAGCTCCTCAACAAAGTAGCAGGCGTTTACGGCTTGATTGCTGTCATAACCGGTGCAAACAGCAACTTTGCGCAGCTCAGTTTGTATATATATTCAGTTCTCGGTCTCGTCGCCCTAAGCTGGGGACTAAAATCAGTCAAAGATGTTCGTTGCTCTAGCACAATACTCAATCACCAATTGACATCGTCTTTGTTTGACAGGAAAACCCTCAGCACACACTCTATTTTGCGTACTTCTTCTTCCTCGACCACATCTTCTCAACAATTTGGACGGTATTCTTCTCCATTATCTGGTGGACTTATACCTCGCATGATGGGCAGCAAATCTCCAATTCACATGCACAGGAGGCCATACGACATAATGCACCAGCTGTAAACCACACTATGTCGGATGAGCAGCGGGCTCTGGAAGCGAATATTTTGTGGCACGAGGAGAAGGGCACTGCCATGGGCGTCATCATTATCAGCTGGCTTGCAAAGGTATATGACCACCAATTTATCTACACCACTTCCTCAATTCCCAAACTACACAGATATATTTCGCACTATTACTCTACTCGTACGCCACACATCTCCGCAAGGGCTCGTACAACTCCATCCGACACTTGCGTTCGCATTCGAGTACTCCCGCCGGCTACACCGCAGCACTGACCGAAGAGGAAGATGAAGTGGACGATTTTTACCTACCCTCGATACGAAAGAACCCGCCCTCGCACGCTTCAAATGACTCTATATCACACCTTCCAAACGGCTCTACACCGTATTTCCCCAACGGCTCTGCTTCATACACCCCGAATGGCTCATCTTCCCATATTCCCAATGGCTCGATATCGCATCTGCCCGATTTTGTGAGCGCCCCAGGAAGACACGGGAGGAAGGCGAGCAGGGGCTCGTCAGGCAAGACCAATATACCCGGAAGGAAAAGTGAGGGGAGCAGGGAGGTTATCTTTGAAGACGATGGGTCGTAGACTCGTGGGTAATATACCATTTTTTGTGCCGTGTGGCAATCTATCAGCGAGCATAATATTTACCCTAAGATGACTGGCAGTCCTCGACGTTGATTCTCCATGAGCAAAGTGACAAGGGTGTCAGTCACGTATTGACACTATCTTTAAAGGATTTTATTTCTCGCTGGCAAGCCTTCGTGTTTAGCGCTGGAATCTTTGGTGGTTTAATGTTTCCCGGATCGTGAATAATATGGTCTAGTACACATCTGAGTATCCAAAACCTGGAGTTTTATATAATTTAAGCACATCAAAGTTCGTGAGCTCCACAACATCCATATCTCCTCCGTTTACCAGAAGCAAAGCACGTCGAAGGACAGCGTGTTACAATGTCAGCCTGTTCGCGACTTCTTTGCCTCGGGACCCTCGTTCGGGACTCGAGCTTGCATTGCACGCGATTCAGATTCCACATTTTCTTCCAAGAACCTTTCCTCGATATCCCGTACCCATTTACCTCCCTCGGCTCCTTCAAACAGCCATACGTGGCTAAATCAAGACTCGATCAAGCAATGTACAAGGATCGCTATATAGTTTGACGACATACCTCTTGGCAACACGAGTGGGCTCGGTTTTGCCCATCATCTCACCTGAGGTGCGCTTTGCTGGTCTCGCTAGTGACGGAACGTCGAGGCGCTTCCCCACTGGAGGTGGCAACTCCCACGCAAGTTGTTCACAGAGGTGTTGAACAATGTCATCTGCATTTCCAAGAAGGACGATCTGATCGTTACGAACAGGTGGTTAGTGTCATCGATATCCGAAAAGGAGGTATGTGTACGAACATCAGGGTTAATATGTCGGACAGGAGTTTTATTGATCAGAATCTACAACAACTCTTGGCTCAGAGAACAAACAGCACGCTGATAAGATAAAATACCAACCTGGGGAACCGAATGCGGAAGATGCGCTGCCGAAGGTCAGGTGCTCATCTCAGAATCGTATACATGTTCAACTTACAGAGAATCTCGGATACAGGTGAGACTTTTAATGAGGTTCCGATGACGATCAACAAGTCGACTTTATCTCGATCGTCCTCGAGGGCGTGATCAAAGTCATCCGCGAGCTTCTCTCCAAAGAAAGTGATGTCCGGCTGTGCACTCATGTCATCAATAACTCGCATAAACAGAACAACAGGAGCAAACCAACTTTCATCACGCCAACTGGTATCGCCTCATCCTCTTCGTCACTCCCCTCCTCCCATTCCTTCCTACCTCGCTTCTTGGCCTTTTTCCTGAAAGCAGCCTGGCGAACTTCCTCGGCTTCCTTCTTGGCCTCCATGCACACAGTGCAGAACGGGACACGGTGTTCCATGATATCCTTTTCAATTTCGTTCCCTGGTATATGCCGTTTGCACTGAATGCACGTCGCAGTCGCAAATGATCCATGACACTGCAATACGCGAGTAATTCCGGTGAGTGTTTCTAGTGTGTCGATGTTCTGGGTGTAGTTCTGGTGATGACTTTCGTCAACTTCAAGCAAGTAGAGGGAACAACAGGACTTACCCGGAGAAGCTGTTAATAACCCTCGTAAGATTCATTAACCCTATGAAAAACATGCCACCTACCTTGCCTCTATCTTCTATAGCTTTGATGAATCGATGACAAGGAGAAGGTATAAAGTTAGATGGATATATCTGGCTGTAATTTTTGCATCAGTTGAAGTATTGTCTCTCGGGGTCGGAGCAACAACCTCGCAAATGAGCTTGATGGCTACAATGTCAGCATGTGGTCAGATATTATAGAACATCGATACTTACTAGAATACTGTGTAAAGCGAATCCAGGTTAACGACGTCTCACAGAAGATGAGATCTCTCACCTGCAGGATTTTCTCTAAAATAGTGTATATCGAACCTGACAGGTGTCAGATTAGGAGCACATGGAATAGCTGATCATCTTACATCTGTTGAGGGTCATCGAGGTCATAGGTCCCCCGTTCCTTCAGCATCGCATACAAGCCATTATGCGACCCTAAACAACCCTTGAAGATACCGCGTTCAAAGTGCAAAAAGGAGAGTCACGTACTGAAGTCTGGAATACCGCATGAGACGCCTACGCACAGATTCAGTGATGCAGTCTTGATCGAGAAGGGGAATAGACAGACTAATGCCAGCACCAGTGAGCACAACCATGCGCTTTGAGGCTTGGATTAGGGAAACCGCGTCGGCAATGGTGTTATATTGAGCCAGTTTTTCCCTGAGATGAAGCCTTGTGTGTGGAACATTGGAATCATCGTAAGCGATGCTCAAGAGGGCCTATGGATTTTTACCCACTCTTTAGCCATCGCGACCCGCAGAAAATATAGCATTGTTTGAGGTTGCTTTTCCCGCAATTCAGGGCACTATGGTCCAAGTCAACGAGTTCCATTGTATGTATGCAGATCAAATGACGGAGTTACCAAGGAAATCCCGAAAGCAAACAGAAGTTTCACTATCGGAATATTTTGAGTGATAACATATTCTCTGACGAAGGAACTCATTCCTGTAGGAATGTGATGTAGCGCATGAGATTTGAGCCCACGCCTTTTTTGTTTGTGAGAACGTAGGCTTACCGCGTTCTTTCAAGTGATGCATCATCTTTCGAATTTCTTCCTTCGACCATGCTCCATCTGCTAAGGTGACATCAGCTCAATGACATTCATCGATAAGAAGTTCCATGGACTGCGCTCTCATACTTCGACATTAAATGAATATACCTACCTTCCCGTTTCAATTGTTCTATGACCTCGGTTTCCACTTCGAGATCGTCCAGGTCGCCACTCTCCTCTACAGCACTGTGCCGCTCATGCGCAGGGAGAGCCAGATTTTCTGAGTCCAAGTCATCATCTAGGTCGCTCTCTTGGACTTCCTCTTCTTCATCTTCATCCTCCAAACCTTCGAGCAAGTCCTCGATTGTATCTGGGTCCACGTCCACATCCTCTGCAGCATCTATGAAGGCTCTCAACTGAAGAGCATATAATGCGCTATATGTCTTTGGTTTGCCCTTGTCTCTTGCGGCAGTTTCATGATCGTTGGGGACATTATGTTGCCCATTCAATGTGCACATTTGTGAAAGAGGAAGGAGGTGCACCTGTAAAAGCAAGCCCGTTAAGTAATGGTCTTACTCTCCATTCGGTGTAGCTCAGCTAACGAGTATACTTTGAGGTGTACTTATCTGGTCTTCCACAAATTACAACGCCTCTCGAGCCGGTTGCAACTTGCAAGGCTCAAGCGCAAGCCCTGGCCAAGCGTTTGTCCAACTTGGTCGAAACTGCAATTCATCATCACCCATTTCACGTGATCACTATTAATTTAGTATACACGTGACACCCTCTGATATTGTATGACTATAGTTATCCGAGTTCCGCGTCCTTCAACGACTTGGATGTCTCTAAATTCACAACCTTGTCATGGAGAGCTCTGATTTTGAAGACGATTTTTACGAGGATGATCTTGAATCACTGGTTCATAGCTCTCCAAGTGCATATACCCATACTTTCACCTCGCCAGCTCCAGAACAACGCGCAAGCCAGCACAAGGACATCCGAGTCATTGCACCAGATCAAAACAAAATCACTCACATAAAGACACCTCAACTTCCGATTGAGGTCGTCGATTACATCGCTTCTTTCTTGTTCGACTCTTGCCCATCTGGCTGCTTCTTCCATGTCCACTCGTTCTCTCTGGTCTGTTCTCAGTTTAGACATGTCGCACTGCGTCATTATTTTTCTTCCATTCACGTTGCGTCTGCAAAGCAACTTTCTGCATATACAAATTTTCACTTCTCATTGATTTCCCGTAATGCCCCGGGCGATAGTGTTGGACTCGACTACGTCAAGTGCGTTTTCTCACACATGCTCTCACACACTCACCGATAAACTTGACAGAACACTTGTAGCACCATCGCATGCTCTCGAAGCAGCATCATGGAATCCATCTCTCTATAGGAACCTGAAACACCTGATGATCTCTTCCTCATCGGACGGAAGACAATCTCAGACAACCCGACTCAAGCGCATCTTCTCCCCACCGGCAATCCCCCTGGTCCCGTGGTTTCCTCCTCAACTGACGTCTCTCACAATGACAAAACTCTGGCGAATTGACGTACCTTTGCTCAAAACCGTTGCATCTGCGTTCCCTTCTGTGAAGATTCTGCACCTCAGTTGCTCGGAACAGTTAGACGTCTCCTGCTGTTGGACTTGCTTTGAAGAAAGCTCAACTGCAGTCGTGCACTCGCCAATCCCGAATTACTTCAATGACATCACGAAATTGACGGTACGATGAGCTGTGTCACCCTATTTTCAACAAAATCCGACGCTTGACAGGACCACTTCGCGGATTCGCTGGAACCACTGACCCAGTTGACTGATCTTCACCTTGGCATTTTTCTTTCAGATGAGGAAATGGTGGAAAAGCATATCGAGCACTACGACACCCCATTGGAATTCGACCATATGCACCGAATAACGTTCAGTTCCAAAGCTGCATCTCCACCCACCGGAAACATCCTCAGTCAATTGGAAACCGAGACTACCACTGGACTCATATCGTATTCAGTAGACCAAGATGACAAAAAAGAAGAGTCTCACTCCGGAACCTGTACCGAAGATCTGCCCTTTCCTCATGGCCCAGAGCTCTGCCGTACATGCAAGCTTATCGGATCCGCCTCCAAGGTACGCACACGAGAGCTGGAGGCAAGTCTCGCGCTCGCAAGGAAAATCAAAACATTACGCACGGTCAGCTGGAGTTCGTTCTTCACATCTCAGGTCTTCGAGCCAGACGACAACAAGGCCGGCGATTGGCTTAGGAGGACTACAGCCTACATTTTACGCGCGAATGGGAGGGTGCGAGTGCGCAGGAGACCTTGGTAGCGCATAATTTAGCAATCAGATAAGCAAACGTTTCTTCTCCATTCATACCCAAAGCAGCGTCTTTTCGTCTATGGAATGTTCCCGTATTCTGTTACGATGTATTGCACACAATTGATGTCCCCGTCTACGATCTCATCATTCAAAAGATTCAAGGTGTGGCTTGAGCGACAAGAGGATAGCATCATCGGATAGAAAGAAGGGAATCAGAGGGGCTCGGAACAATGGGCTCATGGATTGTGCCACTCGGGAGTAGTTCAGCACATGGAGTGTGGTCAAGTTCACAGCTTAGACTGATTGTCAAATCACACAAGGACGTCCACAGAATTAGACACATCCACTGTGACCATTCAGTAGCCGAGAAAATTATAAGGACTACCTGACGTCCGCGTTACTCCCTCGTACTACATTGCGCGAACAACTCCCAAGTGGCTCTGAAAGTATCACTCATCAACTCTCAAACCTTGTTTACTTACACTCCAGTATGACGATTGCCATTACAAAAGGCAACCCTAAGACAGCCGAATTTACTCGGCTTTTCGAATTATTTGATCGCATTGCGACACGGCGCGCCAGGGGATCTACGGAGCTAGCAATCTCGATGGATGACATCCAATCAGTTCCTGCCGAATTCGCACCAGTCCTGAAGAATTTGTCTACTGTTCTTTCTTTACGCGCTCAACGCGACCAAAAACGCCTCCACAAGCCCATAGGGCGCCCCCGCCGCAACACTGTCGGTATTGCACCTATGACACAGGATACCATCGACGAAGTGGAGGATGTAGGGAGCCCTACATTTCCCCTCGAAGAGCATCACCCGTTTACATTCAAGCTTATGCTCCATAACTTATACAACGTCGACGAATGGGCCCAGAAGGTGAAGAGTGCTGTAGAAGTGTCAAAGGAACAGTTTAAACCACTGGCGGAGAGGAAGCAAGAGATGATGAGGGAGGGTACAGGGAAGGAACGAATTGTAGGGAGGAATGTCGTGCGGTCTAGAAGTCAGTCCGTCGTAAACCCGAAGTCCAAAGGGAAAGCGCTTTCCCGAGAACAAGTGCCCGCATCGCCGGTACGTGCGAATGACTTTAGCCGAGTCTTGAAGAAACGCTGCGTTGGGAGGCGCAAATCTATCAGTGGGCCACTTGCTGGGGGTGTATGGGTTTACGATGCAGCCATATCTGCTGTCGAGCTGGACGGTGGTCGCCCATCCCTGGAAATTACGATTTCAAAGTCCAAAGACACCTTGAACAATACCGGTGTGCGGTCTCGGCACCAGTCTCTCGCTGGACTGGAGGGTATTCAGGATAGGGACACGACTCGTAGGAAGGTACGAATTGCAGTGCCCTTAGCGCGAGATGATGTACAGGGCGCTTCAGCCCTCGACGAAGAGACCCATTCGCGCAGTGGCCAACAAGGCAACATTATAAGATATCCTTGTCGTAGGACCACTCCCGCACGCGGACTGTCGATAATACCTGACGCTGGATCGTCAGGTCACCACATGAAACAATCTCTTAACGCACAGTAGTTTGGTTAGAAGTAGATGTCTCGTAGTCTGGAGATTCACGATTCAGTTTGTGTATCATACGGCTTCAAGTTAACTATCACGTACATCGACTGTTCCTAAGTACATACCCCATACTTCCACTGTAGTTCATCATACTTTTCGATACGACGACCACCGTGATGGTTCAGAGAGGTCGAGATTCGAGTGACAGGTGGTCCGACCTGCAAAGAAATTATGATGACTAGGTGTCCGTTATGATCCCGGCCTTCAATTAAGATGACCATGATAATTGAACATCAACGTCGAGTCTCTGTAAAAAAAAATCTATCTAGTCCTATGATCATCAAGTAGTAGGTTCTCGGAACCCACCGAGTTTCCAAGCAGCCAAAGACAGCCTAGAAATATCAAAACCGAGAAGTCACCAGGGTCCAGGAGTCGTGAAAAACTTCGGCTCAATATAAATCGTTGCTAGCCAGCTGAACAGCAAAGGCATGGTACAGAGAACACCCAGCGAGAAAAACAAAAAGCAGAGGCAGCAGACGAGTTGGAGCCTGCTGGCCAGGAGCGTGGCGCGACCACTGAGCGTTTTGAATTTTGAATTTTTATATTTGGCTTGATCAGGTAACTAAGTTCCTCGATCTGTTGTGGTGTGAATTACCTTATTTGTACTGTGTCCGGTGTGCTCTAAGTTCGACTTGTCTTCGACGTAACCTTGGCATATTGTGTCACACAGGCCTTCGTATCGAGATGTATTACAGAGCGCAAATTCCGTCACGGTATCGCAAAGTGCGAACTGCGTATATTGTCCCTTTACGACCCTTTACGAAGAACGCTAGAGGACGGATGATTGCAATAAAATGGTAGGGAAGTGACGAGACGTGGTGCGTGAAGCATGCTATCTGTCATACAGTTAACACAGATTGAACGGACACTACATCAGAAAAACTATTCCGCGCAAACTCAGATACAAATTCAGATAGGTCACGTTTCTGGGGACCCTCTTACTCTTGCGCAGTGTCTGCGGGTGGTGCTGCTCACGCTGAGATCACCCTCCACTAAAGACGTGCTTGCCGTTCACGGAGAACATGACCAATGTCGTCGGAGACGAATACTGGAAGATGGCGAGTCGATCAGAGAGCTGCCACAGACGGACATTACTTGAAGCGGCGAGCATGCTAACAGGATTTGACGACAGTGGCAGCGATATCATGAGTGCGGTCCATCCAGGCATCAATTCCGACAAAAGTAGGATGGTACCGTGCGCAATTGGTCAATGCTCGTGCATCCATTACATAAATTCTGTCGTCTCTGGTAGCGTTCAGTGACATGCAAGATGAGGAGTACTGAATCTGCAGCAATCCGTGATGCATAACATGGTGGAAACAATATGCAGATAGATAAATGAAGAGTGGAAGTTCTGCTCGTGGGTTCAATCGGCGGCCAGGGTTGTGCGTCCTCTGAGGGTGTCGGTTCATAATACTTCATATCCACAGCAGCAGGGCCCAGACTGTGATCCGGGCTAGCACACCGCGACCATACTGTAAGGTCCGCAGCGGTCACGAACTCGAGATTATACCAGTGGTGAAATGTCGACCTCCAATCAACTCGGACCTCGAACGACGATTTGAATAAAGGAGTTATGCACTGTGGGATCCGCCCCTTAATCTGCCAGCGCTAGCAGTGGTTTATCAGGTAAGTACCTTTTTCTATCGATACAGACACTCACAAGAGTTTAACGTTGATCATCCCCTCGTTCTGAACATGTTCAAGCCATTCCATGCACCTGTAGGCTGGCGTCGCGTCGCAGTGGTGCTGCTGACATAAACTGATTTTGCCTACACGTGATTAGGCGCGTCGCGATCGAGTTCGTTTATTTCGTGGCAGTGCTGATTTAACTGGTATAGCAGGGTATAAATACAGCGCGCCCGCGACATACGTCTCTCATTTTCCGTCCCCGATTTACGTGCAGTACTTTCTTCACTACACATTCTCAACTTTCACTCGTCTTACAATATGATTTCCGCTATCTTCGACGGTGCTGCTCATATCACCGTCGCTGGGTGCCTCGGAGCATTCTTTTTCAAACACACTGTGGTGGATCGGACGTCCAAGGCCATCAAAGACGCGGAGAACATCACCGCAGGCCTGGTGATATCCGAATTCTGTATTTCTGTCGCGGTACTAGTTCTAGCTTCCAACGAGACCGCCCGGATACTCCTCAGTAAAGATGCGCAACCCCCTCCGAAGCACAATTTAGCCGAGCTCAACGCGCCTCTCATTTGCAACAAAGTGTCCGATTTCTCTACTGCAGCAGACTCAATTTTATCGAATCCAATCGCAACCGAACCATGTAGCACTCCGCCAATTGCATCAATCGCAACCGAACCTTGCAGCACTCCGCCAGACATAATAATTTCGCCGAATCTAATCGAAAATGACACATACTGCACTCCGCCATCTACTGCAAGTTCCACATTATGCACGCCAATACTGCCAACTTCGCCGGTCCAGAATACCAAGCGCCTCTCAATCGATTCCGACACCACCCTTGTCGACCACGATGACAACTTCGTGAAGGATTTCTTTGACGCCGACCTTCAGGAAAGCACTATCCTCCAGGTATGAAGTCGCACAGTTTACTTGTCTTTATCGCTCAATGTTTGAATTTTTATAGGACGACAGCGACTGTTCCAGTAGCGAGCTACTCACAGGTACGAAATCACCAACGATCGATGACCCGAGTGGACCCTCTCAACGGACGCAGGTTCCTCCAATCTTGGAGGACGGACACCTGACGACAACCGACGTTTCGCTTTTCGTGGACGCTTCAACTCAAACGATCACGACGCCCTCTCTTGGCTGCATCCTGCCTCAGATTGTCTCGCCTCAGCTGAAACCCCCGGATACGAAACGGCATCATAATTTCCGCCCGGGCAGACACAAGGTATGGACATGTTCGTTGCGAAGCCAAGTGCTGCACTCACCGTCGTTTGTTAGCGCGAATCTAGATCCACTCGCTTGGCCGCTGTCCGTGCCAGCATCGAGCGCACTCGCTCCAAGAAACAAGAACACGCTACTGCGATCAGTGAGTGATTTCCGGTGACGTCCGCTTCGTTTGTTGATTTAAAATAGATGATCTTGAACAACTGCATGACGATCTCCTCGCCGACCAAACCGCTCTTGTCGACGGCTGGGCAGCTGCCATGTCCCAGCTTGGACTCCCCTCTATGCTGTCGCCTGCACCACTGCTTCTGGATCAGAAGACGCCCGACCCAGGAAATTCGATCGAAACATTCAAGACCGACACTTTCACACACAATGCTACTCCCGAGGTCCCCTACGACCAAACCCCGAAGATCTGCAACGGCCTCCCTCGCTGTCCCCTACGACCTGGAGCTTCATGCCCGCGAGGTTGAAGGCCACCGCTGGCCGCGCACACACTATGTCTTCGCGCCGCCCGGTTATACCTGCAGTCTTCGACGTCGGATGTCCCCTACGACCAATCCCGACACAACCGCAACCGCAGCGGCATAGCCGCCTCCTTCTTGTCTCAGAGCACTTGGAGTTGAAGACCACCGCCCGCGGCTCCTACATACGTCTATCTCAAGTCTCTTCTCTTGTCTTCGCCATCGTGTAAATGGCTCTTGATTTGTTTCCTTGTCTTTGAATTTCTCTTACCGGTATCTACTTCGCAGATCATGGACTGCCTGTGACTTATGGACACGTCTTCCTTTTATCGATATGTACTCAGCAGACGTTGAACTGCTCGTTTCTTTTGTAACTTGTAGACACGATATGCCTTGTTTCTTTTACAGTATGGGATCATTTTTCCATGTACGATTTATCTGTTAAGAATGTTTCTATATTTTCGTATATGTACGATGACGAGTATTACATAGATATCGGTAGTTTGCAGTTTCTGATCTGAATCCGATTTTCTTCACTTGATATGCTTTCCGGAAGATACGCCTGAGGTTGGTCGTGAGCGCAAGTGAAAAGTGGTCGGTTTTGCACATACACCAATAACAGGAACAAAATCTGTCAAGGAGATTAATTCAATATTGCAAGGTAGACGCGTCCGTGAACCAAGCCGGGATCACAGAGGTTAATAGCTTCCTAGCTGAAATTATTAGGAGTGTATATGGTCGACGTTCAACTACCAATGAAACGCGAACATCCCCAATCAAAGTCAACGTCCGAATGACAAAATCAAAGGAGAGGTCACGTGTCACAAGGACGTACAATAGTTACATTGACATTCAATCTCGTCAGATACATTTTCCTTCACATATATCTTACCAGGACATGATCAGTGTTGTGCAGAAAATAAGAAAAAATAACAAGGAATGAAGTCAGGTAAATAAGAACAGTAACAAAGATTGCGGAGTCGTAGAATAATATACATGCTATAAATGAAAGTATTCGTGGAAAAGAAAACTGCCCTTCTAAATGAATGTATGAGGATAATCCTCGTCTGTTGCGGAGATTACAAGTAGGTAGATGCTGGAATTATAATACTCTGTAAATCGAGTCTAAAAAAAGATGAATGAGAGGCTGTTTGCACCATTGTGCATTGAGATCGACACCGCGAGTAAGGAACGTGATAGACTATGAATCGGAAGCTCATACACCAATCAACCCGAGCCTAGTTTAGCTGGGATTCAGGAAATTCAAGCTGTTCTGTTTTTTCTTCATGTTGCATTAGCTGGCTGCACATTTTGCTCCGTTTTCGAAGCGAGGGTCCATACAAGAAAAGAATCTTCGGTGGTGGGTTAGTAATGAAGTACCGAGACATATCGAAAAACTCACGAAAGGAACTGGAATGAGGAGGACTGCGACGCCACCAAAGATAGTGTTGGCCCATTTGTATGTGAGCTTCTTGAACATTATGTGAGAGAAGAGAGGGAATCCAAAGCTACCCATGTTACCTATGGTTGCTCAGCGCGTGCATACAAAATATGAGTGACAACGTACGAGCTAAACCCTGGCCCGCCAAAGCAGAAGACGCCATTGGACCATAGCTGCATGAGCAGAAAATGTGGAACACAAATACAGTAGAGATGGTACGAGGTACTTACCAGTCTGCCAGATAAATGAAAACCACCTGGTATGAAACAAATGAACAAAACATGAAGATCTGGTTAAAATGGTGCCTGATGAGCATTCCCGATCCTCGTGTACATATAAATGATAAACACACCGATAAACCGACAACAGGCCACATCCAGAAGATGCGAGAGTCCGCAGTCCATGCATAGATGAATATCGAGGTAGGCAGCAAGAGTGCAACTAAACAAGCGATGTATAGCCTTGCTTCAGGGCCCCTCCGAGACACGCATTTCCTAAACAGATCGGTTGGGTGCGGTGCATAATTTTATTGTTACAATCGACTCACCGGTACAGCACATCCTGGTAGAAATTGGCAAGGAGTCCCAGTATACTTCCCACACTGCGAGGACGAATTAAGCGAGAGGGTCAAACGCTCAACATCAGGACACTTACACGACAGTAATGAACACTAATCCACTCTGCCCGACGTTGAAGTGATATATGTGCTTGAAAACCCCGGACACGGATCTGCTCGCATTACTTAGCGGCAAGTCCTCGCTGGAAATAACATATTTGCATACCCGATCTGGACGTAGAGCACACCAGACATGAAAAAGACCCAAATCTGTGGAGAGAACTTCAGAAACAACGAAATACAACGGGAAAGGCTACCGACGCATATACTAGTCACGATGGGTTCAGTGAGAACAAACACTAACCACCATCAGCACCACCTTGCATAGCAATCATCAAATGACGTACTGATTGGCCGAGTACACGACATCTTAATCATGGCACTCAATTTCGGCCGTGTCTCCTCTCCCCGGACGCGGTACCGATCGTCCCCGGTTTCCTTACAGAGTTTCTTGGCTATGCGTCGGAGGATAATTTGCGATCGAGTCTCCTCCATTATAATTAGGCTGAGAAGGAAGTAGGTCCCCTGAACACTGCATTGATTGTTATTGGAACGTATTATAATTCAGAAAAAGGTATACGCGCATCGCTTGAATCCTCTGGATCCATCTCCATTGGAGATGAGGGTTCAGTTCCAGCCAAGCAGAGATGATCGACCCCAGACCAGTGGTAACCATGCTCACCATGGAGAAAACAGCCATAGGCAGGCTGCGCCTGGAATATGAAGTATAGAGTGAATGTAGGGCCACGAAAAAACACAATCACGTACTCCTCAGGTCCCCATATATCGGCAATCGTTCCACCCACCAGTATTGCACCGGTCGAAGCAAAAGCACCGCCCAAGACACGCGCAACCATAACAGTTTGGATATTATCGGAGCTACAGTTCATTGATTGTCAATCCAGTCCACAAGAAGCCAGAGCTGCAGCACACACAAAGCAGCAAGTACGTTGCACGTAGCCCCAAGAAATACCGACACCAAGTAAATTGGCCTCCTCCCAATTTCCTGCAGGAAGCCATAAGCGCTGATCGACAACCTTGCTGTCATTTCATACCTCGCTCAGTGCGGACGTGAAGAGAGGGACGATACCAAAGCCTAGAGAATAAAGACTGTATGCAACAGTAGCTTGAAAGCGCGTGCAGCTAAGATCCTGTATCATGGAATCGTAACCCATAGCAAATGATGGAGTCGCAGGGGCTAAGGATGCCAATCAACCAGTAATATTTTTGGGGGGATTAATAAGCCTTACAAGTGATCCCATTGAATGCACAAACGAACAGGGTAATGCACCATTTTCGCACCCATGAGTAGTTGATTGGATTCCTCGGGTCTCCACATCGAAACTCCACCTAGCAGTGTTGATGTTAATGTAACGGTCGGATATGAGCAGAAAAGTGGTAATACTGACATAGAACGAATCTGTGGGGGAGACTATGGTCGACGCAGCATAAACCGAGTCTGTAGGCGAGACTATGGTCGAGGCAGACTTATTGGCGTTGGGAAGGGTCCCAAGGGATAGAGTCTTCACCGGACTGATGGGCACATTGAGCAGCATCGAGGACATGTTTTCAGGGGCATTGTCCGTGCCCATACCTGAAATTGGAGAAGACTGCACCGACGGGCTGGCTATGCGGAATGGGCTCTTGTTACGACCATTGAGAACGTTGGCTTTTGAAGAGAATTGACACCGTCATTTTGGTAGCGGGATTGTCATATTCGAAAGTGGTTCCTTCATTTGTGAGGTTTCGGGGTGGGGGTGCATGTTACGTGTTCGGCGAATCTATTGAGATCGATCATCCTAGGGTCGTTTAGACCATTGACGCAATCGAATGCCGTGTTTGTTTGTTCGGTTTCGTAGTGCATACTCGGAGAAGGCTTCCCGGCTCTTGGAGGACTGTATAGCCGTGGCATCATTATGAAGTGCTAGCACACAATTTACGAGTCAACGGGCATCAGCGTCAATGTGCGTTGGGCCGTGAAGACAAACGCACGGAAATGCAACCATACAGTTGTCATATAACCCCGGCAATATTTTCGTCGTTCGCCTTAGTCACAAACCGCGTAGTGTCACAGTGAGGGTCGAAGGCGAGTATCATTGTTCCGATTAGTAAATGTAACAGGACGGAGATCACGCCAGGTGCGATATCAACAGGAATCATGTTGGCCCTCAGGAAAGCGGAGTATACTCTTCCAGGTCGTCAGCTAGAGCTGCAAAAGCAGCTTTGGGGCAGACACACCGACTGGGAGTGCTTTCAAAGTTCATCTACTTTCTACCAACTTCAATATCAGCATATTCTACTACACCATTAGCATCCAAGGAGCCTCTTTGGACGCTTTCGCCGCGAGCTTTAAGGAGATCCTCGATATTTCTGAGTTTTCCATCCTCTGTGCTATCCTTGAACCAACCGAGATTATCCGCGATGAGATGCCTGACGGGGAAAATATAGGCTGTGAGATTTTGTAGCGACGAGATTGATGAGCCCGCACCTATTTTTGCATCCAGGGCATTGTACAATGACAATACCACGTTCGTATGCACGCTTCGTAAAGGTGTGCGAAGAACGATGAGAGCATGCTTCCGCTGTACAGGTAAAAATGATGCCTAAGCGAGCCTCTTGGATCGGAGAATCATCCTTAATCTGCTCCGAGGATGCAGACGAATGCGAAACCGACAAGTTTGCCCGAGGCGTGTATGAGTGCACGGACGATTTTGATCGCGTAGTTCCAAAGGAAAGACAAGCAGTTTGTGAAACCCTTCTAGATGTCAATTTAGTGTGTGTAACGTGGACACTGTAGGGTATACGGATATTGTTGATGTTACGAAAAAGTTTTGACGAAAACATCCTGCTCCAACTCTGAGTGACTAGTCCGAGTGTAAGGCAAGGTTAGCCGGCGCTTGGTGGCATTTGCTGCCGCAAAACTTGAATCTCCGCGACGCAATCCCACGATTACATAACAATGTCTGGCTCACTGACAGAAGAGCTCTGAAGTTGCTCTGAGTCTGAAGTGCTTAGCGCTTAATGCTTGTTTTGGTGCACGACATAGCGCTGCAAAACGAAATTTTAGCTCCTGACGGGTTGCAAGTTCTCAAGCTTTCAGCTCGGCACTTACAGTTCCTCAATGGAATTACCCGCTCATGGCGCGCTACCGTGGCCGTGGCGAATATGCCACTGTCAGGAATTTACTCATCGTGCGGTGCGGTACGTTACTCATAGTACTGCGTATATCATAAGAAGCCAAGAGGAGGTACATATTCTGTCAATGCAGAATCGCATCATGCTTCATCCACTAGTGCTACGTCATGCTCGGGCTCCATTTGTACATTCCGAACCAGCAACACGTAAATTCGGTACGATACATGCTGCGTGAGTATCAGGATCTTGTAGCCGCTGCAGTGTTAACTTGATGCGGGTAGACTGGTTTCTGAGAACTTGCCGATCACGGTGGGGTACCCTTACGGCTGTCACTTGGCCGGGGGGAGCTGATATGCGGTAACGAGCTTATTTTCTGCGCGGCAACGACTCGGAGCGATCAAGCTGATTATAGGCCCACCGCTGACTCAAATGGTGGAGAGACTCGAAGGTATTATATATAATTTGAGCTACCAGAATGGGTTGTATTAGACATGTTGTTCATTTCGGTCTGTTTTACAGCATGCTGTCCGTGGCCCTGTATAATATGGGTTTGTAAAGGCGCAAGAACTTGAGGGAAAGATTAAAGAAATTTAACCGGGCAGCAGCATCAGCCGAATAAAGCACACGAACAAGTACTAATATCGGACATTTACTATTCGATTTCGGTGGCGAGATAGGTAGTCAGATGTGCAGAACATGCCATCGGAAACTTGCGTACAGTATATCACACAAATTTGCACTTAGCGAGGCCCTCATAGCAAGTCATCAAATGAAGAGTGTAATAGGTGCAAAAATCAGATTATGGGAGCAACAAGGAGAGCTGCAGCGTCAGCAGAATATAACATGAGTAGAAGCAACGTTACACGCCAAAATCGCAAAAAAAACACGACAGCGGAATGTTTGAATTTCAATGTCCGATATCTTGCAGGCAGCGCAGCATTGATCGCGACCGTTGAAAGTTTGTGGTCCGACGACTTATTATTTTTTGATCCGGCCTAGTAGTTCTGCAGACAAGTAATGTACGTACATACATGAATAAGATTCTAATTGGATTCAATGTGTCAAATCCCTGAAGTGCCGATGGGCCTTAAGTGTTATATCTACTTACTATTTGAATCACGATCTTATTAACTTGTGAGGTATCAAGAAATGCGCAAATCGCAGAGAATTTGTGGGAAATAACCCATAAGGCCCCTGAACGGTCCCGTCAGCTGACCCGGAGTAAGCTGCATCATCCACTGGACATCCGAATCCTAGGATCGTAAGTAGCCCTGGCTGTCGCATGTTCCGCCCCACATACAAAGATCGAAAGCCGTTCGTGTTCAATTTCTAGAGCAATTGTAACATGAGAGATTTCGTTAGGCTGCGTAGCACTGCTGGAGGGTGTATTCCCATTTTGCAAGGCCAGAGAGACGTGCACGTGAAAAGAACCTGGAACAATGTTAATACGAATGATATGCCATTCACCTGGACGCTTGCTATTAGTTGTATTGCCACATGGGACTGAGAGAGCTGTGGCCAGATGCGGAGGAGCTTCAATTAGGATTTTCCAGATCTGCTTCTTGGACCACAAAAATAAATCAGTAGTGTGAGAGCGAGATGGAAGATACCAAATTGACTAAAGGGGGACCGCGCTGCCAAAGATCATACTGCCAGATCAAACTAGAATGGAGAAGGCACTAAAGCCGAACAAACTGTACCGTGCTGTAAATAGCACACCACCAAAATAAAATGGATTAGAACACCAAGGGTCCTTCGAGAAACTGCCTTCGGTGAGCTGGTGTGGTTACGAAGGGTATATAGGCTGAAAGAACTTTTGAGCTACGTGCGATGACAACTGTATAAATAGTTCCGTAAGCAGTCCGAGGAGGCATAAATGGGTGTAGGGTCGACGCCACTGTCAGCCATATCAGCCGAAGTGCCATAGCCATATGAATATATATTATACACAATAAAAAGGATGAGAAGACATGTTGGACGGTGGTCCTTCACAATGTTCAAGGTAAAACTCACACAACCAACGATTAAGACAGGCTAGGTTTGTCAGCCAGCTGCGCCTCGATGAATCTCTATAGTGAAGAGAAACATCGAGAATACCAGAACCGAGAGGAAACGTCACCAAAAAAATGCGCCTACAACATTACCGTGACATGAGGATTTGAGCAAATGTGGCAAGAAACGGGACTGACAGAATACTGGTAATGAGGAGAATGCTGAGGTTGGTGGTGATCTTGATGATGTATCTTAATGGAGTTGCAAACTGACATCTATGCGGGTTATCTGTCCAGTTCGTGCCCCAAGGGCCGAGGAGGCTGCCTCTCTTCATCGCCGTGTCAAATCTGAGCTAGAGGGTACAGCATATGGAACGAGCGATACCGAGAATATAATTGACGTGTGCAGTGTGGAATAATTGTATGGATGCAGACAGATACAGAACGCCTATTGTGGTGATAATATTATTGCGTGGGGACGGACTCAACTGAACTCTGATACGTCCAGTCAGCTGCAAGTGATACCACATGAGAAATTAATATATACCTGGAGTATACCGCTAACGGGACACTGAGTCCACCCATGAATTAAATCCAGCAAGACGAAGGACCCGACGACAGGACCCGAAACGCAAAGGTCGATGCGACTTGACGACGGCATCTGTTGTCGAGGGACAATGTAAGAAGCTACGGCAGGTGCCGAATGCGCTATGCTTGCATGACGGACAAGTCTAGTGGCGTCAACCTCTCAAAGATGTACTAGTCCAGGCTGGTTAAGCTACACCGCTAAGCGCCGCTTTGGCCCGAACCGAGGTAGTGCGAAAGTTATATAACACACATAGCAACATGCTAGGTACTAGTTCGATTGGAGCCTTGCCACATAAGTAATAAATTTAACCTGCACAGGGTACATATGCGGTATCTATGAAAGGTTTTATCCCAATCCTGGATGATGACTTGGTTACAGCTGGAAATTCGTCCAAATCAGGGCTAGTATACACCCTTTGCGGTGCATATATCGGACGCATCGAGGTCAGTCATATAGAACAGTCGAAAATTAGACCCTGTGATAGACCTGTGACCCAGCTAGTGCTAATATCTGAGTGGCCTGTCTCACATCTGTGTGCATATTATACGCTACAACCGCTGCATCCACGAAAGCACCGACAAACGGACAATCTAAATCACAATCTTGGGCGTTAATGGTACCATTGGCACAGTAGGTAGTATACATATGATGCAGACTAAAATCTAATTAACAAATACATATCGGCGCACAAACAAAAGTGTCATAGGTTAGTCGACAGCAAGAAGAGGCAAGGGGTGAAAGAGCGCAGTATGTCTGTTGAATTTGGCCCATATGTCATTGAGTAGGGCCACGAGAGAATGTTCGCCCTCAAGTTTCATGGCATCAATATCATTTGACCGTCCCAACCACTCCTGAATAAATGTCCCCTCCACAGGAATGCGAGGGTCCCACATTGGCCATTTGCCTCTGGGAAATAAAGGGTATGCTGCGACGAATGTGAGCCAGAAAGCATTGCATCCCCATGTCCATAATTGAGACCTAGTGTCTACATCGTTCACCAACCATTCTTCGATCTCCTTCGATAGTGTGGCCCATTCCATCGGATTAATATAGTTGAAGGTTCGTCGGAGTGGGAGGAATGGAATAATGTCATCCGCTTGGGAGGAAAGATCGTTGTTGGCTTGACTGGGAGTTGACTGCACGAGGTAAGATCTACAAATATTCAGTGCAGAATTTAGAACTCACATCATCCATTAATGGTGAATTCGAACGAGTAGAGCAAAGATCTACTGATATGGCCTCCATAACTGGGGAGGTAAACGGTCCATATTCTTCGGCAACAGAGACCAAAATGTGGACAGGCTATCATGCATAATAAAGAGCAAGCATGTTTATAGCGACAACAAGTACTCACGATATTTTTCCGTTGAACTGTCTGCTTTGGGAGCCGGCCCGAAAAACACACCGTAAGGAGGATGCGCTGCAACGGTGCACTGTCAGAACTATCTGACCGATGAAGGTTCAACGATACAGCGAGGCACAAACAATGCTCCTGACTGTATCTATAAATGTTGTAAGGTCGCGCGTTGCCTAGTCTGCTATACTTGAGACGACAAGTGCGTTCGACCCTAAAGGGGAAGCGAGTGCAGCAAGGATCTAGAGGTATGCGCTGAAAGCGCTACTGGTTGGCCAATGTGAAGCGCGAGAAAGCGCAGGTGCGCGCAAGGCGCGGGAATGCGCGCGTGTATGGCGCGAAGCGTGGGAAAGCGTGTGCGTGTATACAGATACGAGAGAGAGTAAGAGTGAGTTTGCTTAAGTGATGATATGATGTAAGACAAGAGAAGAGAGATGCGAGGTGTAAACAAATAGATTTCTACTATGTTCTGCTAGGTGAATAGTGGGTAGTAACCAGTAAGTCCTCTGTCGTTCTGGTGGGAGAGTAAGTGAGTCCCGGTGGGTGAGTAAGTCAGTAAGTAAGTATGTACTGCTGGCGCTTAAGTATGGCGCCTAAGCGCTGTCATGCGGAGCCGAAGCGCTACCGAGTAAGGTATGTAAAGATATATGTAAGTAAGGGTCCATGATAAAAATAAAGATGGAACGATATGCAAATGTGAGAAATGGAAATATACGCACTAGGGAACTTGGTGGACAGTGGATGGATGCTTCCGGATGGCTGGCGCTATAGGGCGCTCAAGCGCGGGAAAGCGCGCGCGCATATACATCGTGAAGCGCGGGAAAGGTACGCGCGCATGGCGCGCGTTGCGCGGGAAAGCTGTGCCTCATATAGAGATAGCTGCAGGTAGCACACAGAGTGATGCTACAAGTTCGTGCCATGTACTCCCCAGTGAAAACTGCCATATTGCACAATGAGAGGCATGAGTCTCTACACCGACTTTCTGGATTGATAACGGTCGAAAAATGGGTGACTTTGTTGCTCATTGTGCAGAGTTGATGAAGATCAAGTTGTGATTGGAGACATCGCGCCGTGGGACTTCGGACTTGTTGATTTCAAAGACAAAAGCTCACGTGATCATCAGCGACTTTCGACGCTGATCAAGTTGCTAAGTCCAGACTTCAGTTCGGCATGACACTAAATAATGCAGACTTGGTTGATGGTATTGGTGCGTCTTTCGTCTCGTAGTATGAATGTTTTAATGAATTGATACTGCAGTCCTTCGATATTCCGATAACACCCGAAAGCGCATCCAATGCACGGTCTGCCCTCTCAAGCATGGCAAGTATCGTTTGATGGAGTTTCGACATATATCCAAACACATCATACAAGGAGTCCATGTCTGTCACACTCAAATAAAATGTTCCAAGCAGCGCCGAAAAGTCATTCAGGCCGCCGCCCATACTAATGATGTTGACGCCAATGACCCCTTCGATATGAATACCGACTCTCCGATGGACACGAATTTCTATGACGCGCCATCATCTATGGTGCCTGTGTCAGTGGAAGATAATGGGCCCTCCGAATCTGAACCTGGATTATCTGAGCTTTTGCACGAAATTGGTGACTGGACGTTCGGATTTGACGAGGGACCTTTGGACTTGTTTGCAGAACTCAAGGCAATTATTACTTCGGGTGAAGTACCGTTCTCAATGCCACTTGCCCCAATCAACAACGAGCAAGAACTTTCTGATGACAGCGCTGATTTCGGGATAGAGCTTCCTGGTGAGTGACATTATGATTAGTTTGGCAAGCCTACATTACACTACTAGATGATATCTACGAAAGAACGAACATCAAGGACACTGTCCCACTGGATAGTCCAACATATCCTTGGCCGTCAAAAGCGGTTTGTCTCTCTTTGTGTTAGCAATATCATTGTACTTAAATCTACATTAAGCATTTCGTGACCTCACTCCTTTTCAGCTCTCCGCGTCTCCCATTTTCTGATGCCCAGAAGAGGGCCATTCTCAGTTGGGCGCAAGAGCTTGGCGCTCGAGATGTCCCTTCACTTGGCGCCATCAAAAAATCCCATATGTATCTGGATAACATTGTTGGCGGTTTAACGGAGAAGGTGACAGCTCGCTCTGGGAGTGTATTCTATATTAATGATGTTGCGAAATCAATTGCGAAGGTATGTTCGGTGTGTTTGTACGCAACAGTAACTATGACGCCATGATTTAGGACTATGCAAATCCCCTCACTCGTTTTGCGATGGAAGATTATCCGGAAGATGGCAGGGAGGGGATGTCGCAAGTGTTCAACGGCAAGAAGATGTTGCTTGACCTGCCCTCACCACCCGCGGCTCGTGTGGACGGAATGATCTATTTCACAGGTGAACTATTACAGGATGATTCTGGAGGGTATTTTATACCAGAGCGCTTTTTTCATGCCTCGCTACCTGTAGATTTGAGTGACAATGTCTCTGACCCATGCGAGCAGTCAGATGGCAAGGCCTTATATGCGCTTGGTCGGGTGGTTGAACGAACGGAGGTACGTCTTTTCGTTGCGAAGGTATCTGGATATACAAAGTGTTACAAGTAACATCGGTCACGTGGCCCCCCTATCATTTTCCCTTCATCCTCACCCTCACCATCTACCGGCTCGTCCTCCTTTACCGACTTTCCGTTGACCGGATCCTCGGGACTGTTCCCGTCCCTCGCATCGCCCGCCTCTACGCACGTGCACGCACGTTCCTCCCCTGATTCGACCACCAATGTGGTCCCGCACCTATGACTTGGTCTGACTCGTGCCACCAATGTGGCTTTCCTCTTTCTGTTTCCCCTGACTGCGGATTCCCGCACATTGTATTCTTACTGTTGGCCCGTTCCAACGTTTCTCGGTCTCATTCCACATTCGACCACCCATCACTAATCCGGCTATGTTGCCAACGCACCTATACCATTCTCGTTTCCCCTTTACCCTTACCTACTGTGCGGTAGCCTTGCCCTTAACCCTCTCCACTTAGTATAAGTAGTCGGTCACCCTGTACTAGATTCTCTAACTTGAATCTACTCAATCTTCCCTGGAACATACTTCCCTCTGAACGCCCCTTTGGCTTCAGTCTCTAGTATCTTTTCTTAGTTGCTCATCGCGACTAAGTCTACCTCGATCGACTTCATCGTACGGACAAGACAGTCCTTACCTTGAACGACTTCAAAGACATCCGTCTACGAAGTCACGTGACACGCGCGTACTGTGATCGCTGCCGACTCGTCGTCGCCAGTATCACTTGCTATACCGGACCCTTCCGGTTACGTCACGAACGTTAGCGGACGACGCCCCTCTTAGGGCTCCGCCTAACAGATCTATTTGAGTGCGTAACACAAAGTCCTCACTATATTAGGCTGGATTCATCGTTAACGAGCAACGCGAGATCATCTCAACGTCCATGTTTGTGCGATCGTTTGAAGAGATTGCTGCAACTCCAGGCGAGCTCGACTGTGGCCTTACACGTGTGTTGATTTACATTCATCGCACCAGTGACTCGCTACTCACAAAACAACAGCTTCGTCAGGAAAATATGCATCACTATCTCCGAATCCACTGCGTGCTAAGTCTAATGGCCGGATGGTTCATATGGTTCCTCTCATCATTTTTATGGACGATGTTTCTGGCAATGTCTCCAAACAATGGAACAAGCACCACGCAATCTATATGTCAAATGCCAACCTACCGCGCAAGATGCTCGAAAAAGAATTTTTCGTACGATTTGTCACATCGTCACCGCACGCTGCTCCCATGGAGCTTATGAGGGCCATGAAAGAGTCTATATGGTATGTTGTTTCCTTTATCTGCTGAAGTCAAAGTTCTGACTCAATCTGCAGTAACGCTGCCGAATCAGGTATAATTGCCTGGGATTGCAAGTATAACGAAGAGGTTTTGTTGATTCCATACGCGCTCTTCCTCGCTGGAGACAACCCCATGCAAGCAGAAGAATGTAGCCACGCCGGCTTAAACTGCAATTACTATTGCAGGACTTGCGATACTGGTGGGACGAAAGAATATAAGGTGTCTGGTGACGGGTACAGCAGTCTTTTCACGGTAGGAATATATTTGAACTACATTCTAATAGCTAATATTGTGCTTACAGTCAGGCAACCTACGAACACCTGAAAATACAATGGCAGAAGTCCGAAAACAGTTTGAGATCGCGTTGAAGTCAGGAGCGTCGGAGAAGATCAAGAATTCGGTATCATCGACTGGTATTCGTGATTCCACTTCTAGTTCGATCCTCAATGCGTTAGTAGAGCTCGAAAGCGTGCCGCTGGTACCCAAGCAATGCCAGAAGCCGAAGTTACAGCTGTCCTGGAGAAAGAGTTCGTAGAACTTTTGCAAGGTCACAAGCTCGATGACGCTATTAACCCATTGTTGGGAATGGAAGGTTAGTTGAGTACTCTAGTGATTTTGAACTCTCGTTCACGCTCTTAGCAGGCCTCGATATACACATGGACACTCCAACGGAAATTCTGCACACAATACTGCTCGGTATCGTCAAGTATTTTTGGGGGCAAACCGTGTTTTTGCTCAACAAGGCAAAGCTCATGGGCATCTTTCAGGTCCGTCTTGAGTCTGTTGATAAGGACGGACTCAACGCTCCATGCTTGAATGCAGACTACGTCTGTCATTACAAAGGCAGTCTCATAGGGAAACATTTCAAAAGCTTGGCGCAAGTGATGCCGTTTTTGATTTATGATCTCGTCCCTTCAATTGTTCTCAATGCATGGACCGTGATAGGAGAGCTCGTCGTACTCGTCTGGCACACGAAGATTGTGGATACGGAAGCTTATCTTGTAGGTTTATGCAGAAATATGCGATAACTTTAGTTCATTCTTTTCTAGGCAAAGCTGTCTCGAACAATTCAAGATTTTCTTAATGTTACAGCACAGTGCGCGCCTAGCATCATTATAAGCAAGCCCAAATTTCATTTCTTAGTTCATCTCCCGGCGTATATTCGACGTTTCGGACCAGCAGTGATATTTTCGACCGAATGATACGAGTCCTTCAACCATGTATTTCGTTTGTCGTGTGTATACAGTAATCGCCAAGCACCAAGCCGCGACTCCTGCCGAACATTCGCTCATCAAGATATCGTCAAGCACATTGTCACGGGTGGGTATTGGTACGATAACAAAGCCTCAAAATGGGTCCGGGGAGGAGCGCAAGTTCTAGGGTATCTCGATGAACACCCAGAGCAAGCATGATTGCTCAGATTATCGGTCTTCAATCGTAATACTCCAGTACCTGGTAGTCCTAGCTTATTATTTCACTCTATCGCTACTGATTCTTTTCACACAGGTTCTGGGAAAGTTCAGACTTCTCTTGGTGCCAACGGAAAAACGGCAAGAAATGATATAGTAGCCTGGAAAGAAACTCATTGCTCGAAGATCCTGAAAACTGCCCAGCCTGACATCGCTTACTATCAAGGCAAATCAGTCGTAGCGAGGGAAGGGGATATCGCATATCTGAATAGTCATGTTATTTTCCACCGAATGACTGATGGTCAGGTGAGTGAATTCCTCACTGTATGGTTCTTGATTAATTGTTAGACATGCATCGGACGTGTTCGCGAGATCCTTGTATCATCCGAGAATCCGAACACCGTTGTTCATGTTGGACCCCAGCTCTTTTCATTCGCAAACACTTTACACGCTTCTGTCCATCTACCCTGTCTGAACCTGATTGATGACGAGGTTGTCACACCGGCAGTGGTAAATTTGATATCCCATTGATCGTGTGCGCTATTTCTGACCCTTGCGAGGCTATAGGATATCATATGCGTCATTAATCTCCAGCACAACTGTGTTGATTCACAGTGTACAGACACCATCGAGGAACCTGTGCGCCAAGAACGGCTCGAAACTTCTCGTACAAAACCTATCATTCAGCACAAGTCAACACCACACTACTTCATCAATGCCTACTCTATTCATAACTACGATCATATCAATTCTGTAATTCCTGAGACGCTTCGTGAATCACCGCTGAGGGTTACGAATGTCGCAGAGGTTCGGGAAATGGCCGTACGACAAATGAAGCAGAAGAAGACTTTGAAGAAATCTGATGACATACCTCAACTAGATGCTAATATGGAACATGATACCCAGATCCCTCTGGTGGCAGTTCCCTCCTTCGATCGGGCCCCTCCCAAGTCAAGGACTGCTGCAAAATCAAAGGCAAAGGCAACCACTTCCGGCACGCGAAGGAAGGCAGCAACATTGAAGACTGGTCAAGCAACTGCTGGACCCTCTAGCCAGCTTCCGCCTGCTCAGCAAGACTCAACGATTCATATCGGAGATCACCAAAATCAAGCCTACTTTGCGCCGCCACCAGGATTCCCTCCTCCCCAGTACTACTACCCTCCTCACCATTCACAACTTCCTCCACCACAGCTATATGGTCCGCCGCCACCAGCTCTGTATCTTTACTCCGGAGGTTCACAACAATGTCATGAGGTTTTAGAAAGGTCATATACCGGTGAGTTCTTCACCGTTATTATAGCATAAAAAATCTAACTACACTCAGGCTATAACATGTACCCAAATCAACCCGAACCGCCGCATCTACAGCCACAGCCACATCAACAGCAGCAACAGCACCTGCAATTCCATCCGCACCCCCACCCCCACCCGCAACATTAGTTAGTGGTGGTGGCATACTGCAACTGCGACAGTGCCTGCTTCCACTACCGCAACAAGCCTTAATCCACTTCTCACCTAACTGCGACAGTGCCTGCTTCCGCTACTGCAACAAGCCTTAATCCACTTCTCACCCACAGCACCAGGTGGAGGAAAAGCAATACTTGCTGCTCCCAGCGGTATCAAGGTTCTCTGGTATCTGTCGCACCAACCTGTCCTGTAGATGGAGGGACTTTGCTTTGCAGCCTCAAGAAAGTATTATCATATGTACTTATAATATGAATTTGGACCCCATCTCCCTCCTGTCTGATTTGTCTTGATGTGTGAGAATTGACGAATCTCGGTTGGGTGAATTGAATTGAATTAACGTAAACTCAATTAAGTGTGTTTTAGACTTTTGAACCAACTCGCAGCACTGGTTGTCCTGCTCCCTCACTGTCTGCGACATCATGATCTCACAGCATCCTGTGTGTGCTCGCAGGAAACCACAAGCTAGGCAAACGACAGCAAATGGTCTACTCACACCTGGTGATGCCCTGCTTGGCTGAGGCAGGAGCATGTCAGCCAGCAGCAGAGGATCTCGACCGCCTTCAGCATGTGGTTCACAACCGCGTGGTAATATCAGTCGCGCACGCTCACCTCTAGCAGCCCATCCACCATTGGCCTCAACTGAGATAGCTCAGATTGCTGCCATAGCTCCCATCAGCATTCCATGTACACCATCATCCGATGGCTCCCTCGACGAACCTATAACTATCGGTGTGCGTCGCCAAAGGGTGGATTCCGGTGTGAGTCTGGGTTGCCCTGTTACCCTTACGCCCCGCAGCACGAAACGGCTTAAAGTCTATGCAAATCAAATTGCGGAGGAAGTTGGTGTTCCAATCACCAGTCTTCACGAGTTTATCGATGTATGTATTTTTTTAACTTGCTGTAAATGTACATGATTTAATGTTCCTTCAGTGTGGAGGCATATACCAGATGCTTGTCAGGATCGTAGCCCTTGTGCTCAAGAACGACGGTGACGAAAAACTTAGATTGCTCGCCAATCTGAAAGAGTTACTGGGCTCTAAAGATTTCAAGGTATTATTTGCCGTGTCTGCACACATCACGAGTCTGACTTATCATTTAATGAGTCTGCACTTCAAAACCGTCTGACCGCATGCATGCTTTCGCCCAATATCACTGCATACGTGACAGATACACACCCGCAGATCTTGGTAGATTCTTTCCGATGCTACGAATGGAAATTGAAGCAAACTGACACCATGACAGAAATTCATCAAGAAACACCAAGATGTATTCAAAGTTCCAGCATTGCTGTTCGAAGATGTGGAACTCACCGCACTTTTTGCTAAGGTCGTCAGCGAGTCTCTCTCTACAATCCGTGGCAATATGAAATCTAAGGTGCATAGCGCTAATAACAATCGCAAATTTTTCTGAAATAATATTTTTTCAGTTGACTGCATCTATTGCTAAACGCACCAGTATCACAGACGTGGCCAGATCCCTCGCCCATGGTTGTATTGAAGTTGACGCAGCTCATTGGAACAGGCTCGCGTTTTTGGTATGTTTTTATCACAACGAATATTATATAGATAGTAACCTCTTGAGACTAGCGACGCTGCTTGCGTGTCTACTTACTCGGCACTGGTAACTACAAAACCGTGCCTCTGTGTACTCTTTACTCCCCCCTGCTTGTACCTTCTCTTCCGAAAGAAGTCCGCCAAAAAATCGGACCACAGCTTGGCATCGACATCGATGAGATAGAGCACAACATGCTCAACGGTGACGCCGAAGAGGACAACAATGACACTGATGCCTTTCAAGATGATATCGCTCATGAAAATGCAGCCCCCAGGAATGTTGATGGCGACGATGGCCATGATGGGAATGAGAACGTTGATGCAGATGCGGACCACAATAAGGACGACGCAGACTTCGAGGCTGATGTGAACGATGCGGCGGACATTAATGTGGACGGATCGGTCGTCACAGAGAAAGACCTCTACACAGCGGGAAGGTTTTGGAATTTTGTAGACTCCTCGCTCGCAGGCGCGCGCAAGGCTGCGAAGGAACAAGCGATGGAAGACAAGGGTCTAGCGTATGAGAAAGCATATAGCAAGTAAGTTTCTTGTTACCGGGTGTTGCACCTTGTTGCTGATTATCACAAAGCATCCTTGTGCAGTACCTACAGCAGGATCTTTCTGATTTTCCTGGAAATACCAAAGTCCCAACGCTCCTCTCCACCAACCACCCCCAGTGGCAATTGACCATTCAGAACCAACTCCTTTGGAGCCACGTGTAACGCTCGTTTATACTCTGCCTTGACACCATAGTAATCATGCCTGTACCTACTATCTACCAGTAATCTAATATTTTGTGTGGCTCGTTCCATTTATTGTGCACTCTTTCAGTGTGAGGATGGTGTGCGGGTGTCATCTAAGTATATTATATCTGAGAATTCAATCATATCAAGGTATTGAGCATATCTATATACAACATATGAAAGCTACCCTGTGTGACAGGTACGAACGAGATGTCTGTGCTAGATGTGGTATAAGATATATTCAGCACTTGTCATTTCCTATATAGACTAAAGCTCGGGTAACTAATATATTTTGAGTGTCTTGGTGATGTGTCTCAGTGGTCGTTAGTATATTTCTCAAGCCCGGCACATTCTCTCTTCACTAGGACTATAATATATTTATCTCCAATAAGTGGTGCGAAAGTTATGTGACTAAGGTCGTGGAAATATGCGCTACAGCTTACTATTTTTGGGACTGTATAATAGATTTTCGGCAGCAAGTAGTGTACAAAACCAGGGCTCTTTCTCACGACACTATAAGTTTTGCACAAATGCAGCAGCGCATAAGTAAACTACTACACCCATAGTAGGCAAGCCTGGGATCTTCGGAACTTCAGTCACATCGAGACTTACACTTTTCATTGTCACAGTCGGTGGAAGTGATCGTGTTCTGCAGTTGTTGCCGATACACCGCATGGATCACAAGCCATGCCAAGGATTAGCAACGATACATGAACTGCCGGTCTTACAAATTATATCGGCGTCCCGCTGACAATGCCTTTGCCGCATATACTGCTCTTGAGGATAATGACACCACGATTGCTGCATTGCAGGCTTAAGGATATTTTGCTGGTGGTGGCACCAACGATAGGCCAATACTCTCATCCTGAAGGTACGTTCGCCATTGCAAATGATCTCAGGTGTGGCAACTCGCGGATGCTGGAGTTGTGGTTCTGGACTCATATCTCCGTCATGGCGTTCCGGTAATGCTCGAGTTTGTAACAGCAGTGCGGATGCATGCATACTGATCCCTCGCGCGTGCATCTTCTACAACATCTTTGCGGTGCTTCCTGCATCACCCATCATGGTTCGCCTCAGTGGATCGGTGAAATGCTTGTTGTTTTCCTTGTAGTCGCAATTGAATCTGGGCTCGACGTTAGCTGAGTGTGGAGGATGTCGCACCTTGGAACGCGTGGTTACAATTAGAGCGCATGTATATCCATCGTCACCCACCCGCACACGATGCGGGCGATACTAGGTGAATTGTTTTCCAGCCATAGACTTCCGGAGGTCTACGTGATATCATGTGTTTCATTCATTTCAGTAGGAGAGACCTGATGGATTGATGAACTGAGTTACGAGTGAATGCCGACAGATTATCGATTATTGTCGAACATATTCGAGATGAGTCATGGGTTTGGTATCTTGCCCACAGTGGTGTAGGCTCTTCGATGGTAGAGTAAAGGCAACGTCCGTAATTTGTCATTCTTGAATTGACCCTCCGGCTCTTGAACATCCTCCACACGTAAAACACGTGCGATGAATAGCTCTGAAGCCAACCCACTACCGCCTTCTACTTGCTGCACCTCCATTTCCCACTCCTCCATGCTCGAATGCAACCACCGCGTATCACTCAAGGGCAACGACCGACCGACCACAACGCAGGAGAGCGCGCCTAAAGCACCTTTGATCACTGGGAGATCATCTGCAGACTGCGTCCACTGCACCTCCGAATTCGAAAAGGGGTGCAGATCTGGACGGGAGAACAATTGTGCAATATGAGGTTGTGCAGCAGAAAGGATATTGACGACCATATGGGACGACATTTGCATTTGGGGTTTTGATGCGTGCCCATTTAGAGCCAGAGCCATCCGTGAAGGGACGCGGAGAGAGAATGCGACAAGCGGATGCGGATCGAGCGCGATGGACGTGAAAGACGACAGTGTAGCACCATGAAAGATTAACGGTGCTTTTTTCTGGTATTGTACGGACGAATCACTCCGTGGTGCAGTTTCATGGTCTGGTAGGGTTGACGTGACTACCGCCACAGGCTGAGCTGTCTCTCGGAGAAGATTGCGCAGAGATTGTTTGACGAGCTTTGCTTGTGCAGATGACGCAGAGCTATAGCTTCGGAGTAGGTAGTGGTTCAGATTATGCGTCGCACGTCTGACAGCACTTGTGCATGACTGTAGCATATTTAAATTTTGGCTACATGAGATGCTACCAAAACGTCATTGGGAGTTGCTGACTAATACAAAGCATCATTTTCAAGTGACTCTGGCGGCCAGCACACTACGAGCTACGGGATTGAGTCGACTACATACAGTAATACACCGTCATTTGTGCACGCATCGGCACGCCCATCTTGGACACCCGGCATCCGTCATCACCCACTCTGTTCTGTTGACCATCAAAAGTCGTTCGATGCACCCACCATCGCTAGCAGCCCAGGTAAGTTTTGTTTGAATAGGGGAAACGTGGGCTGATTGTATGGTCTTTGTGAACAATCACCGGCACCAGTAATAGACACTTCAAGGGATCGATATCTGAGAGTTGCCATGAG